GCACTGTGAGACTTTTTAATATTGAAAATATATTGAAGTAAAAATAAAATCCCATTGACAAAATTGAGATATAAATGGAATATGATTCAATTATTTCCTCATTAAAGACTTTTTCTTAAGACTAATTTTATCTTTACAATTAAGATTTTAAAAATTAAAATTCTTTTTTATTGCATAAATGAAATATTTAATAACTAATAAGACAGCAGTTTATATTCTTCCATTGCGAAAGCAGATCTATGGTATAATATAATTAATATCTAAAAGACAGCTGTTCTGTCATGTCTGAGTAAGGTTAAGTAAAAAATAAGCCTTTAAAGAGCTCTTAACAGCAAAACAGTGTTTTCTTATCAAGCTAACAATCAATACACGTCAAATTAACGAAGTGGCCACTCAAATCTGGAGAAAAAAAAAATTTCCTGTACATATTATACACAATATATTAAGAGGAAACAACAATTACTGTGCTATATTGGGCTAACAATATATATTAGTTTTAAATGCTGGAAAAACAGTTGAACATACTTAAGTAATATGTAAGTAATTAGTAATGCTATAATAAATGACACAGTTTAGCGTAATCTATGGGATATTTGACCATGAAATATCATGGTCAAATATCCCATAGATTACGCTTTGAGTGGTCAACATTTTTTAAAAGACAAAAATAAGAAATAAAATTCCCTGTATTTTCTCAGTTTGTAAAGAAAAAAACAATCAAAATTCCCTGCATTTTCACTGTTATTTTAGGTGATTTTTAAATTCCCTGAACTTTCCAGGTTTTCCCTGTGGAGTGCCCTTCCGGGTCTGAGTCTTTTTTTTCATGAAGTATAGGTAGGTACAAAAAAAGTGTCAATATTATAAAGTATTTTATTTAAAATGTTATATTTTTAATACAGTCGAACCTGTTTATCTCGAATCTCATGGGAAATGCGAAAAATTTGAGATGAAGAAGTTTCGAGTAGCACAAGTACTTTAAAAATTAAATTTAATTAAGAAATTCGATTAAAAGTGCTTTAATATTTTTTATTAAAAAAAATACAGGCATTTCCGTAAATTAACTATACCACATATATCTATTTAGATTTTTTAAAAAAATTTAACATACCTTTAACACTGAAAATCATTAAAAAATTTTTTTAGATTTTTGACGACTTACCTTCATTGTTTGTTAAGTTTTTTGGGCATTTGCAACTCGATTATTAGAAATTCGAGAAAGAGGCCTTCAAAAAAAAATTTCAAAATAGACATGGACATATCAATATAGCCATTTCATACTGTATTTTATTCAAATAGTGCTCTTTATAAAAATCATTAATATAATTTGCTTCAAACTAATATCAAATGTTAAAATAAATGTTTGTTTGGAATAAGCACTATTTTAAGAGATATTCAGTAATTGCAAATGCAGATTTCTTGTTGCATATTCTAGATAAAATTCTTTACAACAATTTGTTTTATAAAAACTGATAATTTATTCAAATTAAATTGTTGGCATCTGATGCAAATCAGGAAGCAAAAAATACAGCTAACACAGCGAGTTTGTAATTTAAATGTAAACTTGAATTAATTATGAAGCTGACATTTGAAATAAAATTCTATGCAGTTCTTAACTTATAAAATATGATATAGAATCTTGAAATTAATATAAAATTAAGTTAAAATAATAAGTTAAGTTGAATATAAATTTAATAATCATTAAGACTCAAAATTACTTTACTCATAACAAAGCAATAATTCCATAAATTTAATTATTTTAAAAATCCTGGTGTAAAAAAACTGTCTCTTATTATACTATTTTCGAATATACGGGAAAATGTTTTTGAAAAGTTTCATCATTCTTATGTACAATAAAAAAAAAATCTATTGAAAAAAAAATTTCACTTTAAATTAAAAGAAAAGAAAAAAGAATTTTCTGGGAAAAAGGATAATTCAATAGCTTTATTTATTGTCTGCATAAAATTAAGGAATCGTTTCGTACAGTTCTTACAATCTATTGTATTTGATGTTTCGAAGCATAACTAATTTTAAATGCATTTGACGTTTTCACTGATATACCTTTTACTTGTATTTAGTGGCATAGCAAGCAATGAAAAAGAAAGAGTATATGTCCCTGGTTGTAGCATTAGTGATGCACAAAAATCTTATAAAATTAAAACTGAGTTGCCTATCTCAATTAAAAAAATAACTTAAAACACAGCATAATTTTACTAGTTACTAGGGGTGATTGTGAGTCAAAATCCTAAAAATTGCTCGAATAAAATCATTAATGACGTATTTCAAAATATTAATTCCTTTATAAATTTAAATAATTTATATTTTTAGAAATTCTAAATTAATTATACGCAGCATAATTTAAATTAATAATTATGTACTTTTATCTCTAATCATATTTATTATTCTACCAGAAAAATATTTTCAAATAAAAGTGATGCCATAGCAGCAAAGTTTCTTAAAATTTTAGGAACTTTTTTCAAAAAATTTTAGGTAAATTTTAGGGGTAATATATGATTTTGCTAGGATAAAAACAGATCACACGGTAGTTTATTACATAACAGAAGATTATTACAATTCATCCACACATATCATAAATAATTGCAAGCCATAAAATAAAGCTCTGAAATTTATTAAGTCAAGAATGAAATCTCTAAAGTGTAAAAATGAAATTTCAACTTTACATATTACCTATCAGAAATTAAGTGCATAATTCAGGAACAGGCAAAAGTGAGAATAAATCAAGAGAAAAAATAAATTAACACCAACTTGGATTTTTATTTAATTTTTACCTTCTTAATCAAAACTTTATTATTACCCTTTACCTTACTTTATTAAGAAAAACTATTGTGTGATATTATTAGATTTCAAATCAGCAATTTATATTAGAAGTTAGAGAAAAACAAATTAATCATGATCATTTTTCTAATATATTCTTGATATGATTTGTGAGATTCTTTTACTGCCCTCAATAGTGTTGTGGTGATCTTCAACACTCCTCCATAATTTCGAATGGTATCTTTGATTAGTCTAAGAGACATAATAGTATTCTCATGGTGACTCACATTAAGCATTGCTTTATTTATCGAAAAACCTCTCTCAGGATCAGAATTCCCATGTGGCAAAATTAAAACAGTTTTAATTAATGTAGTTAAATTCTTATATTTTAGATTATTGCTTTTTTATTTATATTTAGCCTGTAACTCTTAGGAACACCAACAAAATTTTATCAGATTTTTAGGGTCTGCACATAGTTTTAGGAATTTTAGGGGGAATGCGACCCCTGCAAGTATAAATTTCTAGTTATATTTTGAAATAAAATATACAAGAATTTTTATACATAAATGTGATCAATGAAATAAAAAAAAGATAAATCCTAGGGGCACAGTACAATTATGTATTTTGATGTCGCAAGCATAGTAAGGTATCTGCAAGCTCATAAAACTTTATGATAATAGAATACTTTTATTAAATATACAAAAAGTTAACTATTTAATTTTTTTTTCTTGACAAAAATTTATAGTTTTACATAGAAGTACATTCGTACAAAGTAATTATCATATCTACAAGTAATATTAGTATCATGTAATAATAATTTCGTTCCAAACGAAATTATATTAAAAGCTTTCCTAACAGCAATAGTTTCTTTTCGTTATAAAGCGATAGTCGCATAAAGTTTTAAAATGCTAGCAGATTGTAAGCTCCACCGCTTACGATGAGATCGTTAGTTTTAATTGCTGGAAAAATAGCTGAACATATTTAAATAATGGTTAAGTAAATTAAATATAGTATAGCTGAAATATCATGGTTAAATATCTCATAGATTACGCTTTGAGTGGTCAGCATTTTGAAAAGACAAAAATAAGTAACATAATTCCCTGTATTTTCCCAGTTTGTAAAGAAAAAAAAAATTCAAACTTCCCTGCCATTTCAGGTGATTTTTTAATTCCTTGTATTCTCCAGGTTTTCCTTGGGGAGTGGCAGCACTGTACATAACCTATTATGTTACAGTTCACTTTATTTTTCTTTTGTATTTGTCCCAAAAAACTGTACTTTGTTGGAGATTCACTTACCAGGGTAAAAAATTCAAATGCCACGGCCCTTCATTCAACTGATATTTATAAGTTTCACCTTGTAAATAGCTAGTTTACTTAACATTAAGTTCAAAACAGTAAAATTTAATGTTAATATCTAGTTTGTTCGTATAAGAACCTTTTTCTTATAAATAGAATGTTATAAAAGGTCAAAATGAAAAAATTATTCCTTAGGTTTTGCATCCAAGAAAATATTCACTCAAATACAAAATAATTGTGTATGTTGCTATTTAATTTTTTTGTGTGTGTGTTTTGTGAATATAATGTAGCACGTGTGCATCAAAAATCTTCGAAGAAATTCTCCGATCTAACTTTTTGAAACCACTTATTTTGGGCGAAAATATCTACACACACACATTTGTTAATTTTAAATGTAAATATCTTTTCTCCGGTGGTTGCAGCAGACAAACCTCAATTTCCTCATTAAACATTTTGTGTGCTACTATGTAAGTTTTAATACCAATCTTTTTATAGTTTTATATCTTAACAATTGGGTATCTGTTGCACATTAATCGTTTAATGCATAGGTGCACATTAATGTTATTGCAGCCTGAATAGGCAATCAAATACTTTTAAAAATCTACTTATTTTAATTTGTAATTTAATCCTTTTGTTTTGAACAACTTGGTAAAAATCTGACAGTAATATTTAATGTTCCTTCAAACATAAAATTTTGATAAAGTAGCAGCCCTGCCATTTGATTTGTGTTTTTAATTGTGGCCCCCAGCCTCATGTAAGTTGGAAACCCACTTCTACATAATTTAAGCAAGTACCTCCTACTAAAATTTGTTCCCCAATTTGTCCTAATCCCTCCCTCCCAAAAAAAAACCTTTCCGAGAAATTTAGCATCAATAAAACAGGAACTCTTTATCTGTGAACTACACACCTATAGGTCAATAACCACACAAAAAAGAATAAAACAAAACACTTTAATGCATTATGGACTTTTTACATACAAACTCAGAATGATCATAACTGCTAACATGGATAGACGCGATCATAATTGCTTAGAACCATTTTTATTCTTCATCACTGTCTTCCTGTTTCATAACCTTCATTTTCTTGCCAGGATTGCCATCATTCCTTTTCCTCTTGTTGGAACCTCTTTTTCCTGATAAATTGAGATACATTAATAAAAATTAAATCCACAACACTATAAACAGATGAACACATTTTATTTACGTTAAAACACATAAATACATAAAAGTGAATGTATAAGATGATAAGGACTAAACCCAGCAGCAAAAATCGAAAATTCTACTGTCCCCAGAGCAAAAAATAAATAAGGTACAATTCTGTTGGTCCTGACCTCTTAGAATCGAAACCTCTAAGTATTAAGTTATTACTAAGCTACACTCGAATTAAAAGTAACAACTAATAAGAAAGATTCAAATACTCAGTGTTAGTATTACAAAGTCTAAAAATATAAGAAAGATAAATTTAAATAATAAAAGCAGACGATAAAATTAGAACACCAGAAAGTTGATTTTTTTGAATTAGTTTTGTGTGGAATTTGAGTTTTCATATATTATCCCGTTACGGGCACTTTATCTAGTTGTTTTATGTTTTCTTAACATGAAAGAGGAAAATATATTAAAAAAGTTTAATGATATAATATTTTTTAATTACAAATCCTTGAAGTTTCTTAGTCTTATAACAAAATTAATGAAATCTTAAGATGCTTCGAAGTATAGAAATTAATTTAATATTTTATCTATCCTGTTACGGGTGAGTTTCCTAATATCACGTTACAGGTTTTTCTTGCTGTTTTATGATCTTTTCACTATCCCGTTACAGGTAATTCATATTTGTTACTGTTTGTGTTGTTTGTAAATAAAAGTTTATAAAAAAAAAACTGAACAGTCCTTTAATATAGCTTGATACGCTACAGTAAATTAATCCAAGCTGCCTTTCAATTTTATTTTTTTAAAGCAAAAACAAAGGCATACTAATCGTCCCGAAATATTAATTTCACGAAAACTGTTTCATAATTACCCCACACACAGACGAATTTCGTAGTCAGAAAAATACAAAAACTACTAGATGAAACTAATAGCTATAAATGGCCAGCAACATTTTCCATTTATGATAGACATCAATGTCATTAATTATGATAGGATCAATGTTTTTTTATTTAGTCAATGTTTTCGGCCTAGCCGAATACTGAAGTTATTCGGCCGAATACTGAATATTTATATTTTAATGTAAATAACTTAACATCCTGAATTAAAGAAAATTAATCTGTTAAATGATTTTAAAAAATTGGCATATAAGTTTTTAGTTTTCTGGGTTTTAATAATTTTTCTTGCAGAAAAAAAATAAATTAAAAAATATATTTAACAGTAGTAATGAGTTCTTATTTGAAATAAAATATATAAATTGCAAGTATAATTAGTTAAAATATGCTATCAATTATTATTTAGATTTGTAAAAGCCTTATGGTTGGCATCAAGATATTTAAAATATTACAAAAAATACATCAAGTTGTGAAATTTTTTTCAAAATATAGAAAGTTTAAAAAACAAATTTGTTAATATTTATTTCATTTTTAATTTAAAATTTGAATTTTTTTTAATTACAAAATTAAAATTTCAAAAGTGAAACTTTTTAAAAAGTTCTTAATTTTCTGAGTTTTAATAATTTTTCTGACAAAAAAGAAAGTTAAGAATACATTTAACAGTAGTAATGAGTTCTTATTTTAAATAAAATAGCATATAAATTACAAGTATAACTATAACTAAAATATGCTATTATTAATTATTTAGATTTATAAAAGCCATATTGCCTTGTTATTGGCATCAAGATATTTAAATTATTACAAAAAATAAATCAAGTTGTTAAAATTTTTTTAAATATACAAAGATTAAAAAAGCAATTTTGTTAATATTTATTTCATTTTTAATTTAAAATTTGAAAATTACTTTAATTACAATCAAAAGAGAAATTTTTAAAAAGTAAGTATTCGGCCACCGAATATTCGGTATTCGGCCTAAAATTTGGCCGGGTATTCGGCCCCATCACTATTCGTTACATCACTAATATCCTTAGAGGTGAGAAAAGGCTTTAAACCAACTTCTCTAAATGAAGCTCTGCTCATTATGCATTTAGCAAAAATTCTATTTCAACCTTATTTTTCTTTTCTTATTTGGGAAAAAACCCAAATTTAGGAATTCTTTAAAATGAACAAAAACCATTTTCAACTGCAAAATCCAACATTTTTTAAATTCATCTTCAAATTTCCTCTCACTGAGGAGAAATAATTCACGATAAAGAGATAATCCTAAAACTATACTGTTTGCATGTTTACAAGATGAAAACAGTACATAGTTGATTGATACTTCTTAAGAAATATCTTATATTCCACGAAATGGACAGTCCTAGATCATGAAACTTTCGTAGTCTTATACATTCTCAGGCTTAAAAAGTTGTCAACACACTAGGACAGTGGCCTTCAAAGATTTCAGACTCTATACCCTCCTAACTTTAATGTGAAGTTACACCTCCACTGCCACAAAATATGGTCAAAATAAGTAGCAAAACTAGAAACTGATGGTTAATAAATTTAACGAACAATAAATTACAAACAAAATTTTACGTTGCTACACATATTTTACCTGGTTTTAAAACAAACTCAAGAATCAAAAACTAAATTAAACACATACTTGAGGTAATTAAGGATATAAGTGAGGTCAATACTAGTCACTTTATTAGCATTAATGATCACTGTTTGCTCTATAACTTTTGAAAATGCCAAAAATTCTGAATTTACAATTCTTTCTGAAGCATAACTGTCCATGCCTAACTTTTCAATATTTCTCCAATAAATACTAAACTTACTCTTGTTGGACAGTCTTGAATTAGTGGAATGCAATACGGACACTTTAACACCATTTATCTTTAAATCCTTAGACTCATTAAATGCTGCAGTTGCATCTTCTTCAGTAGAGAAAGAAATAGTTGCTGCCCTAAAGAAAATTTATTAACAAGATTAACTAAAACATACCTTAGTTACTTTATATTATTTACAACTTTATATTTTTTAACATAAGTAAACACAGTTTAGAAAAAAAAAGATTATATGCACGTCTTCATACACAAAAGTACATTCTTGCAATCTTTACAAAATTATATCCTCACATAAAAGCATTTACGCCTCTAGCATCAAATGTTAATTTCTATACTCTTATAATTCATTTAAATTACATAATGTATTTTATACAAAATAACGAAGATGAAAAAAAAATTAAACATCAATTGTTGCTTATATTCTTGATAAGACTAATATTTACATCTTATCGTCAAACAGCAAGCATTATTTTGCCCAAATGCATAACTACCATCCTCATAAGGAGGACATAGCAATAAATTTGGGATTAAGTTACATAACAGGCAAAAAACTAATGAAGATGATCGAAGAATTTATACTCAAAGCACTTTTTAAAGTTTAAGTCCTAGAAGCATGAAAAATTTCATGCACAAAATCTTCGTACTTTTGAACTCCTACATCTAACCTTCCGAAAATGACAAGTGTCAATGAAAAATTTAGTAACTACTTGATCTTGCATTACTTAATTTTAATAAAAATAACTATTTAAAATTTTTATTCTAGCAGACATGCAACACACTCTTACTGCAAACATGCCAACTTCAGAAATTTGACACTAATGGTGACAACTACTTAGCGCAATAAGCAAAACAATCATAAAACCCCCCTCTTAAATGCAACTTTCTTTAACAGGTTGCACTGCTGGCCAACAACTGAACCAATGTATTGGCCAATCATGAACGAAATGCATAAAGCTATCTTAGCATGAATGAAAAAAGAAATCATCTGTTCTCTTAGCTCTGTACATTTTAATTAGGCCTGATCAACTATTTAAGCAATAAAATTTAAACAATAAACAACTATTTAAACAAGATAAATGCTTTAGAAAAAGAAATAGCATTAACTAATAGCAAAATATCCCAATATTGCATTTTTGTACTTAAAATGTCAAGAAAGATTAGTGAACTTAGCCAAATCAATCAAATAAAAAAACAAATGCAGAGGTACAAAACCTGCGGCCAAAAAGTTTGAAGTGAGCCTGCAGCAGCACTTAAACATAATAAAAATAATTTTTTTTTTTATTGCTGCAGATTTTCAATTTTACTAATATATTGGTCTGAAATACAAATTTTAGAATCATGTACTTCAAAACATGGTTTTTCGTCAGTTCCAAACTTTAGTTCAAATAAAAATTTTAAAACACTGATATTTTTAAAACTAGTTTTCATGACTTCAAATCACTTTTCAGTTTCAAATCGTACATTTTTATTATCACTTGGAAGTGGTATAACGTATATTCCAACGTTAAACCTAGTTATTTAACCTTGGATTTTTTATTTTTTTTTGGTAGTTAATTTTCTAAGTTGTTCTGAAAATCCCAACTTCTTTAATTAAACTTTTGTGTCTCGAACAGCACAATTTAATAAATACTCTTAATAGTACTTGCTTTACTCGTGTGGATTTCGACAATCTAACGTAAAATGTTTATCAATTATTAATACTCATCTACACATGGTTTTTTGAAAAACTCTGCAATATTACATTATAATTATAACGTAAGTAAAAAACCAACGTAACTGTGAAGAAAAAAAATTCTTAAAACCATGTCTGATTTTTTGTAGTCTAAAATTTAACATTCATAAAATCTTTAATAATTCTCTAAATATAAATGTCCTAAAGTTATTTTTCCAAAATTGTTAATCAAAGTGCTTATTTTGAGCTATGCTTCTCATTCTAATTTTTAAATATTTAATTAGCATATATAATGTTTAGATCCTACAAAAATAGAAAATAATCACTACTTTACCTTTATTTTCGATATGACTTTTTTTTAAAATCAGTTTAGAATTCTTCAGGTTTGAATAAAGTTTAATATTTAAATGCATTTAATTTTTTGTAAATATACTACTTAGGTGACTGAAAAACAAGTATCCAACACATTATTCTGTTTAAATACACGAACGTGCGGCTAGTTATAGGTCAACCTGCTGTACAAGCTATTACAATTATAAACAGAAAACATAACATCTTAATTGAAAATCGAAAAAATTAGAAGTTTTTCTTACCTAAATGAATTGCCATGACCCAGTGAAACTGTATGGGATTTTGGAAAAAATTTAGAGACTTGGTGAACTGTAACATCAAGGGGTAATCCAGGCACAAATAGTCTCTTAAGATCGTATGTAAGCTGCTGAGGAGACGGTTTAGAGCTCTTATGCCCAGCATAATCAACATTCAGAGTCGCACCTTTGAAGAGTTTAGATTTAAGGGTCTTTAAATTCTCTTCTGCTTTTTCTTCTGAAGCAAATTGAAGGAATGCAAAACTAAAATTAAGAAATAGCCTTTAGCAGAGTATAAAATGACAAAAACAGAAAAGGCAACAAAAAATTCCAATTACATAGGCACAATTTTAGACACTATTTACTATCTAATTGATACTATTGTAGAATAATTCTAGAATATAATGCAACCCAAAACACCTGTGACAGTTTTTTTTTTCTGGCTTCCTGAGCCAAACTTCCCAAGCATTAATATTTTTCTTTAAGTCACTTTTAATTATAACAAATACTAAGTTAAAGTAACAGAAACGTGTTTACAAAAGAAAATATAGAATAATAAATTACAAAAAATTTTAATTGTAAAAGTAATATTTCTTTAATTCTAATATTATATGCACTCTCTCGCCTTTTGTAGGCTGAAAAATGTATTAAACCTTTTTTAGAACGAACTACTTTTTTAGAACGAACTATCTCTTAAACTTTTGCGTTTTCTGAATTTCTCATTTTATACTATTAACCTTAAATTCTAGTTGAAGCCAGTCGTTTTTGTACTTTTAATATACCAAACAAAAATAGAAAAATCACGACTATTTTTTCCTTCACTGATGTGCAAGAAAGACAACTTAGAAAAAAATAATGCAGAGAAAAGAAAAAATCTTCCAAACATTTATGCAGAAAGGAAAATCAAATTCTCTTCGAATAAAAATTTCTCTACAAAAACTCTAACATTCTGTCCCCGCAATTCTGACACAAGACCAAAAACTGACATTGGCAGAATTAAGACAAATTCATGCATGGACTTTTGCAGAGCAATTTAACAACTAATATTGCATAGTTAAATTGTATTTCCAGAGAATGCTAAAATCTCATTTATTTAAAATCTGAGACGCACTGTCAATAAAAAATTCAACAAATGACGATTTCAGAAATAAAAAAGCCCTTGTAATATTTAACTTTAAACAGACATAGGACTAACATAAGTTAAAAATAGAAAGTTTGAAAGCGATTGGGTAGAGACATTAATAAGAAATATATCACATTTATTACATTACATTCTAATTTTAAATCACATTTATTACACACCACAAAACAATTAAAATTTCACAATTCCCTTATAGCTTATAATTTATTAAAAACTAGGGTGGTGTAAAAGCCAGAGCGAATTAAAACTTGAAAAACGGGATAAAATTGTGTCATTATTGAAAGTGGAATAAAATAAACCCATTTTACCATTTTCAAGGCACTTGTGTTATCACTTGCTCTGGACACTCCACAAAAAAAACAGTAAACAACTAAAAACTAAATTTTGCAAGTATTTGACTATTTTTGCTTGCTTTTTAAAAGGTATAGCATAACATAACTACTACAGTGAAACCTGCCAAGTTGACCACCCTTGCAGGGGCCCCCATCAGGGGAAGAAGATCATTAGTAAATTTTGTCTAGGAAATTCTATATTATGAAATTCTATTATAAACCCCTCATAAGTTGACCAGAAAAAAATTTCAGAAAATTTTGTCATTTTGCAATGTATGTTAAAATTTCACTTGTTGGGTGAAATAGTGTAAAAAGCTAATCTAAACTCTTTTGTGAGTTGACCATCTGGGGAAACTGTAGGTAGTCAGCTTTTGAGCATTTCTTTCATTTCAAAACATGGGGCTGATGTCAGGGATGAGAGTAGTCAGAAAGTAAAAAAGAGGAAAACCAAAAAACAAAAAAAAATTATATATATAAACAAAAATTTGACAAAAAAGTGCGATTTTTAAACTTGTAAACCATGTGAATATAAATCCCGATATGAGACTTTTAAATCACGTAAATATGAAACTCTACATCGAATTTAAAAAATGCGAAAATACAAATCATGATTTTTTAATTTTTTGATCACGATGCATAATTTTTAAATCGCGCGATATTACAACCACAAAAACGAATCACGATATTGGATTTTAAGCTCACGTGAATACGAATTGCTACATAGGGCTTTAAAAGCTCGTAAATACAAATCGCGATATTGATTTTTTAAATCTCGTAAGTAAGAATCGCACTGTACAATATTTAAATCGCCTGAATAAGAATCGCAACGTTCAACTTTTAAATCAGGTAAATACGAAAATCGAGATTTGATAATAAAATCGAGATTTTAAAAATGCATAAATACAAAACACGATATTGGATTTTTAAATGTCATAAATAAGAATCATAATATAAGACATTTAAATAGCGTAAATAAGAATCGCGATGTGCAACTTTTAAATCAGGTAAATACGAAAATCGATGATTGATATTGAAATCGCGTGAATAAAAATCGAGATCTGAATTACGAAAATACGAGCTATCTGCCGACGGATAAAAAATATGGAAAATCTTATTTTCTGTGCGTGAAATCGGAGAAAATAGCCAAAATAAGTAAAAATGCGGAAGGGTTAGCAGCTAGGGCATAGATTGAATTTTCTGTTTATCTTTGAAAATCGTAAATAAATATAATTATTTTACTTCAATGACTGAATTTTAAAAAAAAAACGGGATATTTATTTAAAAAAACGAAACTTTTAGAGAATCAGAGTTTTTTATAAAAAGGCTGAAATTCGAGAGACAAAAAAAATCTCATCCCTGTAGAAAGGTCAACCAGTTTTATCCCAAGGAAATGATTTTTAGAGAATCTTCAGAGAGAGGAAAAGGGACTTCAACAATTTCCCTCCGCGGAAAATTACTTTCCTCATAAAACATTTTAACTTGGGCACAAAAAATTTCAGCGGAAATTAGCGGGAAAAATGGAAAAATCTGAAGAAAAAAAAACGGAAATCCGGGAAAGAATCTCATCCCTGTGATGTAAAGTCTAAACAACGGCGCCAAACAACAATGAGATAATATTTTTGTAACAAACAGGTTTGTAAGTATATTAATAACAGAAATTTTTTTAAAGTGTACAAATAATTTTGTTTTTTGAAAGTTTTCAAACTACATGTTTTCGTGTTCTGATATTTTAAGAAATTATTTTTATTATGCACTTCACATGCATAAGTAACAAAATAACGTTTTTTTTTAAAAAAGTTAGATAAATATTAGAATTATTTGTAACAAATTGAAATTCATTAACAAATTGAAATTCACAAATTGAAATCACAATTCCTAAAAGATATTCATTTGGCTATTTGCTAACTAAAATTTTTAAGTCAATTAAATTTATATTTTTTAAATATAAAGCAACATGATATAGGCAGCAAAAAAGTAAACAATGACCCACCCCCTCTATAAGTTTCCCACTTGTCTAAGTTGACCACTAAGACAATGCACCACAAGTGGTCAACTTACACAAGTTTTACTGTATAAAGCAGCGAATTACATAAGCCCACAAATTATTTAGAAATCGTGGTAGTTAAAATCTACTAAATTGAATTTATTAAACCAAGAATCACAATTGATAAACTACCACTTTAAAATATTTCATAGTGTTTGTAACATTATAATTTGACGAAACATCAAAACACAATACATGCAACACTACTTTGCTTCAGTAATTTCGGGGTGAGGCTTCTAACGAAAATTGTCCGCAAAAAATGACAACTAATAAATTTTAGTTCGCGGGCCGCCAGTTGGTAACCACTGCTCTGGACTAGTTAAATCAGATCTAGTGTACTTATTTAGACCTAGTTGAGTTAGGGGTGAGGCTTCTAAATGTCCGCCACTCTAAAAAAAATTTTTTAATTTTATTTTGCAAGCTTGCAATCAATCCATAAACTATCATGAATTCAAAATAAATATACTAAGTAAGCTCTAGACTATCTAGTCTAGTCTACTTAAAGGCCTGTTTACACGGTCCAATTTCTTGAATCCGAGAAATTGGACGGATTTCTCTGTCCAAGAAATTGGATGATTCGTTGACACTATCCAAGTTCTTGAATGTCGCTGATTCGTTGAAAGAAAAACTTGCGCATGCGCATTGTTCATATTCAACATTATAAAATAATACTTACATAAGTTTAAAATTACTAAATAAATTCAAATAAAATCATAATAACACAAATAAACCTCAACAGATCAATTTATTTGGACTAAAATATATGAAAACCCACAACAAAATGACATAATTTGCTGCCAGCTTGTTGACGTCACAAAACCTAAGACGCTGATTGGTTAAGGGAGAAAAAACTTGGATGGAAAGTAGAACATGCTCTAATACCGTCCAAGAAGTTGGACCAAGTTCTTGGACGTTTGTTTACACGATCCAAGCTCAAAGCAAAACAAGTTTCCATCAATATCAATCAATCTCTGTCCAAGAAATTCGATCGTCTAAACAGGCCTAAAGGTAGGGTCTGTCTGATAACAAAATAGTGAAATGAAATAATGAAAAACAAATTTGAGGATAAATGATTAAATACAAATTTGAAAGAAAAAAAAAAAAGAACATCAAGTCCATCTGTAGCATTTTTAGTTCTTTTTTTCTCCACTCAGAACTATGAAAATATTATGGATGAAACCATGTACTATGATTGCAAAGGGTTTGTTTCTTATTTATTATTGCTGGATTATATTAAGCTTACAGTTAAGAAAACTATTAAAATAAAAAATAACTAAATTAAAAATAAACTAAGAAAGTATTTAATAGAGCAAGACTAATTATTTAACACCTCACTCTACAATCAACAAATAATCTATCAAATAAATGCACTTTTAAGTATTTTTTTGTACTAAAAATATAATATCAAAAGAAATCCAATAAAATTGTTATGACGTGGTTCCACTAAAATGTTAAATGTAAACATCACAGAGGTTTTTCGTCATTTTAATTTAGCATTGTTGTTGACCATTAAAGAAAGATGACTACAATGGTTCAAAGCAATGCAAAACATTATGAAATTAACAGTAATATGTAAAAATACAGGATATATTAAAAATATACTTACGCACGCGTTGATTTAGGCCTTACGTGGATAATGGCTGAAAGTACATCAGGAGAAAATTTTTTAATTTCTTCATTAGTAACATCCTTGGGTAAATTACCCACGTACAGTTGTTTTGCATCTCTTTCTTCTAAAAAAAATTAGAAATATAAGATGCATAAACTGACTCTAGCATATCTGCTGTCATTCAACAGAATAATGTCTAGATATAACCACAATAAATTTAGACTTCTTTACAAAATAAATCAGTTAAAACAGAATTAATTTAGGAGCAAGATCATACTAACACAAGAGATATTTTACAATAAGTTAAAAGTCTGAAACTTTATAAAATGGAAAAATTAATCGAGTAAAATTTAAATTGCACACAATACAACAAAAAATGAGAAATTAATAAATATTTAAAATTAAATTATACGCAACAAATAATCAACTTAAATGGATGAGGCAATTTCAGGCTACTTCCTTTTCTATAAAAATAGTTGCAATTAATAAATTGATTAAAAACTCTTAAATAAATCACACCTACATAATTTTTACCTCAATGACGGAACAGATATCGATGTGTCACAAATCATATTTCACACATAAATGACTAAATGATATTTGAAATTTTCATTATTGAATCTTAAATGGGATACAATTCCCAATCATTTTCAACACTCAAGAATGCAATATTTACAAAGTTAGAATATATATTGAATTTTTATTAAAAAATTTTAACCCATTAAATTTTTTTCTCACTACTTGGAAGATAATATTCAATATTTATAATTTCATTATTTCTTTTATTAAATGAAAATGAGTTTCAATAACTTAAGGAGAGAAAAAATACATTGTTAAAAACTATTATCCAAAGTTAAGTATATTAGTAAATAGCCCCTTAATATACAGATCATTTTGTAAACATTGAATTGTTTTGCAATAAGCAAAAAATAACTGATAAAGTATTTTTAGATGATAATTCAGATGAAGATGAGAATTTCAGAAATTTGAGCTGCATTTGCAAAAATACTGCATTACACAAATATCATTAAAATTTTTGCTATTAAGATATTAGGTGTTTTTAAGTGTAAATAATTTTAAGAAATAAAACAGAAATTTTTCTATCATCTAACAAATAAAAAAGATATTTATCTATAGAAATACTATCTATTTTTATCTAGTAAGTTACGTAACACCATTAATTTAAGACATCATTACCGACAAAAAAATCTTATAAGATATTTCTTGCTTGAATGGTGCAGTTTTCAAAAGAATCGTTAAACAATAGAATATTATTTCCCAATATACTTAAAATTGTAATGTGCTTAGTATTTATAATTAAAACTTAGCATTTTTAATTAGAGGCTTCACCTAATAACTTTGTGTAAACAATAAGAGATCAATTTAAATAATGAAACAACTTATATTTATCAAATGTTAGCGCATAATGTATTTATATAAGGTCAGTCTAAATAAGTCAGTCTAATAAAATAGAAAGTTAATAAGTTTCTGACACCTAGTTCAACTTTTATACACACTGGTGAAAGAAATTGAGAGTTTGCAGACTTGGCTGATTATGTCAGTGATTTCACTACAGCGCGGGAACGCAAGTATTGTTCAGAACCTTAGAAGAACAACAGAACACCATCCCTCGGAACCTCTTTCAGAATGCATTTCTCTGCAACCGCATGTTTACCGTAGGTAAGGTTTCTCCGCGTGAGAAGTTCAAATATTTTGTGCATTAATGTAAGATGGACAAATACCTTGTAAAGGCAATATCTTCTACTCCGAAATGGACAAATGGAAATGAAACAAATGTGGGCAGAAACGATCAAAACGAAACAAACGCGCATTTGAACAACCTAATGAGAATAGCTGATGAAAAAGTAGATGTAGAACATTTTCCATATGATGCAAAAAAAATATTCAATGCTTTAAAAATTAGAAGATTTTAAAAATGTATTATAAATTAAAGTAAATATTTTTTTAATTTTTAGATATCTCACTTAAACTTTTTGAAATCTCACCCTGTTTTTGAGAAAGGGTGAAAATACTCACCCTTTTTTTCTGTGATGAAAACACTGTATCTACAGAACTACTGGACTGAATTTAATGAAGTTTAATGTCAACATTGATGTAACACAAAACAAATAATCATTCAATAGTTGTAACACACACGCATGATCATGCATAACACTCGTCACACATTATGAAACAGCGGTTGCAGAATCAACAAAAAATGGGTTAATAGGAGATATGGTCACCTCTTAGATATACAGGCATTGCATTATTTCAGTTAAAATACAGCAGTTTATCATTTCCTGTGGCAATTGGTACCACTTGCTCAGCAACGCCGTTTGCATTCCATCATGGGTCATCAAGCATGATGTCTGCCCAGAGTTAAGGCTGAACAGGGACTCAGTGAAGACAACTGTCACCTATTGATCCATACCCAATCTACTACCTGCACCAGGGCTCGAAAAACCGCCCGTCCTCGGCGGTCAAAAATTACTATTAGTAACCTAGTATTTATTTTATTACTGTATAATGTAATCGTAGTATTTGTAATCCTGGTAACTACTAATTCATTGTGCAATTTATATAAATGTTTGTAATAAATAAGAGAAAATTATATTTTTATATATGTAGAAGTTATGCGTTAGTTTCAAAAGAGGACGGGTACATCGTTGGACAAGCCGTCCAAATTTTGCCGGGACGGGCAAAATTTCTGAGGTTTTTCGAGCCCTGATCTGCACCATGTTTGTGCTGGTTATAAACGTAAACATTTTCTAATTATAATCAACAAACAAGTATCTCATATAGCAAACTCCTTTTACTATCACAAGTGTACACAAAATATATATAAAATATGTTGCCAACAAATGAATAATGTAGGAAATAATATAAGAAATAATCACTGCACCTGCGTTCACGCACTTACATCTGGAACATCATCCTCACCCTGATCAGCCTCAAGAGGAATGATCAGTTGAACAGGTCAGGAGATTTCCTTGTCATCAGAACATAAAGTACAAGAGCAAAGTTTTTCATCGTGTCCTTTAATTAGTCCGGTTACCAATGCACTTTTCCACGCATGTCGTGGTCTTACATCTTCGTGAACTAATACTATGTCTCCAACACAAACATTAAATGATTTTTGAATGTTACGAACTTGGTGGAAAGATCTTAATTGTAATAAATAGTCCTTAGACCATTTCTTCCAAAATGCGTCGAATAAATCCTGTTGCTGCTTGTACAATTTTGTCAGATTTCTACTTGATGCTGCAGGCTGTGAAGGTATGGTTGTAAGTCTTTTACCAGTAAGAAAATGGGATGGTGTTAATGTTTCTTCCTTCCTCATAAACTAATGGCCGACTATGTAATGCGGCTTCAACACCAACTAATGCTGTAGAAAGACCATCTAACAAGGTTCGACGAAGGGATTTTCGCAAACATCCTTTTGTTAGTCCGATCAAACGTTCCCACCACCATCTTCAGGTTGAAGGGACAAGTCACACCTCGCTATAATGGACAAATGGTGATCTTTGGCAGTCATGGCGAACGTTCCCTGGCTTTCTCTCGATGGATCCGTTATCCTGCAACTAATTCCAGAATATTCACACGACACTGGGCGTTCAATTGAACTCCATCAATCTTACTAGGCTCCCCAGAATTCGCCCCCTCATACCATCATCTAAACTTTGGTTACTCAATTTTACTGTTAAAATTTGAATTGAACCTATTTGCAGCAAAAAACAAAACAAAACAAGAAACTCTCCAAGGTGTGCTAGAGAACGAAATGTGTCTTAACTTATGAGCACTTTTAAAGCCTGCTTCTCTACTGGTTTCTCTTGCACACACGTGTGTGCTTACGTATTTGATGAACAAAATTTGTATTTTTCTCTAGAAGTGGTCTTACATCCAGTCTAGTTCTTTTCATGAAATATACAAATTATCTTAATTTATTTCACCAGGAGTCAACAAAGCTCTAAAACAGCTCTGATGGAATAGCACTTATTTTCAAATGGTTCATTTGTAACATTAACAGTAAATTAAATTAAGTTAAAAAAGATTTACAGAAAAGTGGTTTGATTGATTTCATCTTTATTAAGTTAAATGAATGAAAATGACAAATTTTTCGTAACGATTGATCTTAATTTTTTGATCTTCCAGAATTCACAAGAAAAAACTTATACTCGAGTTAAAAAAATTTAAAACTGACTACTAATGAATAAACAGTCTTTAGGCATTGAACAACTAACAACCTCTAACATGAAAGTTGAGGGAATATGTTGATTGCAGAAAAAATTCCAACGTTTCCAGGTACATTCCGTAAATTTCAATGAAAATCCATACAATATTTTATAAATATATCGTGCAGTTTTTCATTGTTTATTTGTCAAAGATTAGATTTTGTGAGCAAAAACGTATAGAATAAGAATGGAAGCCTGGGAAGATTTCAGTAAAAATTTAAATTTCTGGTAACTTTCCAAATGTGATGTATGAATCTCCCAGACTGTAAAAAATTTCAATATTCCTTGCCTCTTAAGAGTTAAAAAAAAAAAATATCAGACAAATTTGAAAGTGCCATTTAGGTTTACAACATAGAACATGAAATTGCATAAGAATTATGTATAAAAGCTAATTCTTACTTCGCCTTTCTTCTTCTTGCAGTGCCACCAAATTAGCTGGAAAAAAAAAACTTTTAAAATTTGCACAACTTATTTCACAAAAATGGAAATTAGCAGTAATCTAATCAGATATTAAATTTTTACAATGATACTATATTGTCATTTATAAAAAAAAACTTACTGTTAGCTGGTGATTCTTTTTTTATACTTTTTAAGGTCTGATCATCCTTAGATTTGGGAGTTTGTGCAACCTTTGGTGTCTGAGCAGTTTTTGGTGTCAGTGCACCTTTTAGAGTCTTCTCATTTGCTTTTATAGGAGTTTGCTTTGCTTGCACAACTTTCTGTTTTTGTTTTTTACCATTCTGAGAGTTTTTTTGATTGATTTCTTCTTCCTCATCTTCATCATCGTCGTCCTCATCATCATCCTCATCGTCGTCATCTTCATCATCGTCGTCATCCTCTTCGTCATCATCCTCATCGTCGTCGTCATCTTCATCATCATCGTCATCATCCTCATCAAAACCTTTCATTTTTAAACCAAGCCCACCTCCTAAGCTAAAATCTTCATCCTCCTCATCATCATCAGAATCATCGTCGTCATCATCATCATCTTCCTCAGGTTGAGAACCTAATAAATTTTAAAAAAATACAATCAAACAAATGAAACTTTAAAGACCTTCTCGAAATCATGCTTGCATAATAAAGGATGTATCATTATTTTCATTTGATGAATAGTTACTAACCTACTCTAAAACACAATCGTTGATACATATGAACAGACCGCACCTGCGTCAAGTCGTGAAATGAAATGACACAGCTTATCGAAAGTCCCGTGTCTTTACCTCCCAGTTAGCCACGTGATACATTTCTAACGAATGTGAAACACATATGCAATTCTTAAAAATTTAATAGGGTAGAAAACATGATGATTTTCAACCTAGAATTGACTAACAATAGAGAGAACGCATTACATAGAATGAGGGTGTGAAGGGCAAGCTGATAACAGATGTCTGTTGAACGATAAATGAAAGAACCATGGGTCCACAACAAAATACAGGGGGGGGGGTCTTGTGAACAGGTGCTGTTTGCTTTCACAAAATTGTGAAAGATAGAGGAATCTCACTCAAATTTTGCAAGTTACAAAAAAAACACCTCAAATACTATACTCCAAACGCCGATGTTCCTAAATGGGAACATTGTAATTTTTACAGAAATAACAATTAGAAATATCTTGTTAAGTTAGAAAGAAATATATGTCCCCTGGCTACTAAATAATGCCAATAAAAGTTTTTTCTATTATTTTTCTACTAAGTTTTGAAATTCAGCAAATTTGACTTTAATTCTATAAAAAAAAATTGAATATTTTTCCAAAAATCAAGATCTAAATTGAAGTCATACTGTTCTGCGCCATTTCAGAAAATATGACAAATCTAAACAAATAATTAGGTTAGTAAAAAAATTCACTAAAAAATTTTCCCATTAGGAAACATCGGCAGGTAATAGGCTAATCTTGTTTTGTTTAAATATAAGAGTCAAAGAGTATTAATAAAACATTATACTTTTAATAAGAAATATTCTCTGGTAGATTTAATTATGAATGCTATTGGTTCTATATTTATTTTACTTTTTAAATATTGTTCAGATAAAATTGACAAAATTTGAGTAAGAGTTTCAGACAGGACGGTTTAAACCGTGGATTAATCCATTCTGTCCTAAACCTTGCCAACCCTTTGGATAAATAAATTTTATAATTGTGAGTAAAAAATTTTTCTAGAACAAGAAAACTGACCATTAGATTAAAAGTTATCAAGGGTGGTCTTTCCTTGGCACACTGGACAACATTAAAACATATAATAAAAATGAACAGTCGAACCTGTTTATCTCAAATCTCACGGGAAAGGCAAAATATTCAAGATAATTTAGGTATATATTCAATAAAATATTAAAAAAAATTCAAGATTACATTAAAAAAAATTTAATCAAGAAATTCTATTAAAAGTGCTTTAATTGTTTTTAGTAGAAAAATATAGACATTTCTAACTATACCACAAACATCTATTATACTATTTACATAAGTTTAATATACATTTAACACTCAAAAGAATTTTTCCAAGATTTTTGACGTATAATTTTATTTGTTTTGATTATTCTTTTGAGGTCAAAAAGATCGCAAATTCTTCATAGCCAACATTTTCCTGGGATTCAAAGTTGTTGATAAGAATTCTACAGCTTTTGATTCATCAATATGATCTTCAGCTTCATCCTCTTCACCTGATATTCCTTTGACATTATTGATGATCAATGTACCAGACGTTGCCAGGCAGTTAGTTGTCCACTTAAAACTCTTAATTTGCCTTTGATCCATTGTTTTTAATTTTGAGGTGAAAATTAATTCCTATTCTTAGCTTTCTTATCTATGTTGAAAAGCTAACCCCTGATGGTCACTACTCATTAACCCCTCACTTACTGCCAGAATCATTGTATTCCTTTCTAGTTAAGGAAGTGCAGAGATAGTGATTGAAATTCCAAGAAACACACCAAACCGGTTCATCCCTACTTCCCGTGGATTCACGAAATTCATCTCTGTCTACAAGTTCTACTGATAAAGAAAGTGATGATTTGTGTTCAATCATTAGAAATTCGAGAAACGGAGGTTTTGGAAGAAAAAAATTTCAACATAAACATGGAAAATACTATGATTTTAGACGGTAAATGTAGGTAATTTTAGAAATATCGAGATAAAGAGGTTCAACTGTATATTTTTTGCAATGAACCTATGGATCTCAAAATAACAAAGGGATCTGACAAATCAAATCTTAGAAGACTCAATATGACACAGATAGGGGACTGAAGAGAAAGACAAAATAGTTAACTAAAAGAAAAAAGCTTATAGAGGAATAAAATCTAAAAAAGTAGAACCAAAACGGACTAAAAGATGGGGAATGATTTATTATAGCAAGACAAAGTGAGCAAAACTTAATACAATTCATAAATTAGATAACAAACACTAACCTTTTTTAGAGTTTTTGTTTTGTTTTTCCATTCCTTTAAATTTTTGTAAGCCTTCTTTTCCTGGAGTTGCTTGTTTTTTTGTCACTGAATTACCCTTTGCTGGTGTGGCTTGTTTTTTACCAACAGGAGTCTTACCAGGAGTATTTTTTCCAGCAGGAGTATTTTTTCCAGGTATCTGGAAGCTCACTCTCTTGTCACCAAGTGACTGTTTGCCTTTAGGAGTTTTAGTAACTATAACATCATTATCTATTGAAATATGAAACAAATATAACTAGTCATAATATATTATACACAAAAATATTTTGATCAGTAAATTATTTTAGAGAAATTAATAATTTACCTATGAAGAAATTAAGTATAACAAATACACACTAAATGCAGAATGGTAGTTGACTGATTTTTGTTACACATAGGAAAAATAATTTAGTAGAAACTTCAGCTGCCACTATTTTTATTAATTTGGGCAGCAATAAAATAAATAAGGGTGGCAAATATAAATAAAAAACTTAAAAGATCAGAAATAAAATTTAAAAAATAAAAAACAATTTTGCTCATGTCCACATACAGCGAGAATTTTCCTGATTTTGAGATATTCTTAATATAAACATACATCGAAATAATTTTTTAAAAAAATGAATTACAGAAACTTTCATGCAATAAACTACTTCAAATGAATACAAACATACTAAGAACACTTAATACAGTGTCATAATATGGAAACAAAGATTAAAAAAAAAATAATGAAAGCAATTAAACCATTATTCAAAGTAAGAGGTTTTTTCTAAGCATTCCAAACATACACATTATTCAAATATACATGATATTCCAAATACACAAAAAAAAAATTCATTTAGAAATCCCAATTAATTTTAACAATTTTGTACAAATGATCTTATCATGTGAGCAAATATCTATTATATACTTCAACATTTCATTAATAATTATGATCAAAATATAATTTAATCTTTCTTTAGTAATCAAAATTTTTACCAAATAAAACATATAAAGATTCTCAAACATTAAATAAAATATGCTTCTTGGTACTTATAAAAATTTTAAGTACAAACTTAACTATCAAGTTTCCTGACAATTTAAAGTCTTCCTGTTTATTGAAATGTTTAAATACATGAACTATTTCTGTTTTTAGAAACTATGTCTGCTTTTAAGTCGCACATAAAATATCCGTTTACGTACTTGAACAAGCATTGAAGGGCTAAGAGTATGCAACAAGCATAATGTGTATGCATATTACACATATATTTCGGCAATTTTTTTTTTTAACCATGTCATGTGCTATGTTTTTATAAATTTTAAACTTTTCATTTTAATTGTTAACATTCTGTTGAATGATATATACATCAGTCTGCATTCCAGAGAATAACTTAAGAACAGAAAATCACAATTATTTTTTTCCTATCCAATATGCAAAATATAGACATCTTTGAAAAAAAAAACTCTGCAGAAAAAAAAAAAGTTTTTGAAAAATTATGCCGAAAGAAAAACCAAAATTTTTCCCTGTCAAAATAAAAAATCTTTCTGCGAAAACTCTGCAAAGTTCAGCAACAATGTCGTCGCAATTCTGCCACAGGGATTACTACATTTACATCTTGTTTGCTAGAACTAAATTCTTATTATATCTCTAGAAGTGGTTTTAATTTGAGTCACGTTGATACCTTTTACCTGATAACTGTTTACTTTTATTTATGTGACAAACAAGACCAAAACACAAATTTATGATGCTATTGAGTGCTGGAAATTGATCATTGCAATATGCATTATCCCTGTACACATTATAACAAATTAGTCAAAATTGTAGCCAAACAAAAACAAAAGGGCAAATATATTAGTGTTTAAATAATTCTTTTCAGATGGGAATTTTTAGCACAATAGCTACTCATTAAAAAAGTTTTCAAAAAAATCTGCTTTTTTCTCTAGAACACTATCTTTTAAATTCGCCTTTTTGGAATTACTTTTAACATTACCAATTTTATACCTTTGCGCTTGTCTCAGTACTCCGTTATTTCCAACAGAAGCTATATAGAAATTTTTTCCCCCTCAAAGCTTATCGGAAGTTGCGATCTAGATAATGGAAATTTAAATCTTGAATTCTTACATTTCTAATAAATTTCCATTTATAAAAATTACAGATTTTGTTGACTACGTAATGATGTTACTACCAAATGAAAAATCTCCGACACTAACGTTGTGTAACAATGTCTGTCGCCACAGCTCTGCTATTGGCAGGGATGAGAGTAGTCAGAAAGTAAAAAAGAGGGAATATACCTTTGCACTGCATATCATGATACATAATTTTTAAATCGCCCGATATTACAACCGCAAAAACGAATCACGACATTGGATTTTAAGCTCGCATGAATGCGAATTGCGACATTGGGTTTTAAAAGCTCGTCAATAAAAATTGCGATGTTGGTTTTTTAAATCTCGTAAATAAGAATCGCAATGCACAATATTTAAATCGCCTGAATTAGAATCGCAACGTCCAACTGTTAAATCAGGCAAATACGAAAATCGATGTTTGATAATAAAATCGCGATTTTAAAAATGCATAAATACAAAACACGATATTGGATTTTTAAATTCCGTAAATAAGAATCATAATGAAAGGTGTTTAAATAGCGTAAATAAGAATCGCAATGCGCAACTTTTAAATCAGGTAAATGCGAAAATAGATTATTGATAATAAAATTGCGTGAATAAAAATAGAGATAATTGCAGAGTCTGGACTTGGGATTTCTAAAAGGCTTGTTTGTAATGTTTTTGTTTAGACACAATAAATAAAAATCTACAAGATTAACTGAATGAGCAAATAAATATTTTCACCGCAAATCCACCTCTATCTTTTTTTGTTTGTTTTCACGCCAGAATACAAGAAGCAGCGACGTCTGAATTACGAAAATATGAGCTATCCCGCCGACGGATAAAAAATAAGGAAAATCTTATTTTCTGTGCGTGAAATCGGAGAAAAAAGCTAATATAAGTAAACATGCGGAAGGGTTAGCAGCTAGGACGTAGTTTGAATTTTCTGTTTATCTTTGAAAATCGTAAATAAATGTAACTATTTTACTTCAACGACTGAATTTTTCTAAAAAAGCAGGATATTTATAAAAAAAAAAATTTTAAAAAAATACGGAACTTTTAGAAAATCAGAGTTTTTGATAAAAAGGCTGAAATTCGAGAGACAAAAAAAATCTCATCCCTGTATAAAGGCCAACCAGCTTTATCCCAAGGAAATGATTTTTAGAGAAACTTCAGAGCGAGGAATAAGGACTTCAATAATTTCGCTTCGTGGAAAATTAAATTCCTCATAAAATATTTTAACTTCTGCAAAAAAAAAAAATTTCAGCGGAAATTAACGGAAAAAAAAGGAAAAATCTGAAGAAAAAAAAAGCGGAAATCCGCGAAAGAATCTAATCCCTGTATAGGTATACAAGGTGTGCAATAGACACCTTGTTTATTGCACAACATTTGTAAAAATCTTTAAAAATAAAATTTAAATTTTACCATCAGAATCAGAGTCATCATCAAAATCGTCATCAGACATATCTATAAAAAAAACAGAAAATAGTCATTGGACAAATCTAAATAACAGTCAAATCTGAATAATAGACAAATATAAATAAAATATAAATAGTCAGCAATTTAAAAACAAAAAAGTAAAAAACTAAGTAAAATACAGCAGTCTCATATCTGGGTGTTTACCAGAAGGGTTCTAATTCTCAGACACTTTTTAACAATCAAAATAAACAAAACAAAAAAAAAAAAATATGCAGCAATGCTAATGCTGCGTATTATTTCAGAAATACTTAAATTTTTCCTCTACACTTAAAATTTTATTCGAACATGAAGTTTCAGGATTATAGATTACTCTGATCCCAATACCAAGCGCATGGACTTTAATACTACTTATCTATAGATAAAAGATATTGAGAAGGCCATTGGCTTGCCAGTGACAAAGATGACGGAGCTTCACAAACAATGAAATAAACAAGAGAAATAATTTTTTTGCCATTAGGAAAAAAATTTGGTTTAGTTGGTCCCTATGATCAGCAAAAAGTAGGAGAGATTTTATTATTGTTCTATTTTAAAGGATAGAAAGTGAAGTCAAGAATCTCTTTCAAAACTCAACAGAATTGCACATGAGAGCACAGAACCTTTCCGTCAAATCAAGCTCAGTATATGCACAAGCAAATGACAAGTATTTAATCTAATTTGTAAAATGATTAAGAGTTTTACAACCCAGCCCAAAATGAATTTTTGCTGTATGATTAGTGAAAATGATAAAAGGAACAATGTGAAAAACCAGATTTTTGAGTAATTTGTGGCAAAAATCTGCAGGGTAAAGAAAAATATTTCTATTCGAAAAATGAAAATTAATCACTTTTAAAAAAATTTATACACCCTGTAATGAACCCAACCACCAATGAAATCTGCATGTCTAAATGTGAATTGACAAACCATATCTAAAATATTTATGTAGACTCAAAAAATACCTCGTTTAATATACCAATGGTTAGAAAATTTATAAACACACATTTTCTTTCATTTCTTTAAACTAATTTTAAAAGTTTAAATTATTAAAACTGTTAAGTATGTTAAATTCAAAGATGAACTCCTATTAGATAACTCTTAATAAAAAGGGATATTTCCAAATTGTGATCTTTGGCAATAATAATTGCTTAGGCACCACTGGAAAATTTAATAGAATAAAATATGTAGCAGTTTGCTTGGGGTGGCTAAAGACATAACTCGCTGATCCCTTTCCCTGAATCTAAATGTTCCTCTAATGTCCCGTGACAATGCCACCACGACTGCCACAAGGATAAAATATAATACACAACTAATCAACTATAATATAACACAAATAATAAAATTATCATGTCCTAATACATACCTATATCTTCTTGTTTAAAAGGCTTCTTAACTTGTGCTTTCTATAAATAAAGAAAAAACTTTCAATTTCATACACATTTAAATAAAATTCAAATACACATTCAAATATTTTTTTTTCCATGGAAAAGATAATTCTTTTCCTCTTTCAATAAAAACAAAATAATTTTAAAACTGTAGATTTTACCATTACCTCATACTCAGCTATAAAAATATCAAATTTTAAGAAAAAAGTGAAGAAAAAATTGTATATAACAGCATATTTTATATAGCAGAATATCTTATTTTTTTCAATACGTAATAATTCAGCGTGCAATCAACTTTGATACAGAGATTAGCAGGCCACAGGCGAAAAATCGCCCAAAAAAAGGTATTCCACCAACATCTTTTCAACAAAAAATCAATCTAGGCTTTAAAAAAAAATCCTAATTAATATCTGTGCAGTAATCAAAACTATTTTACTATATTGTTTAAAGTTCTTAATTTAGAAACATAAAATCAATAATTCAAAAACATCTCCAAAAACTTGACATAATCATGATAAAGTAACTAGGTATTGATAAATATTGCAGAGAAAATTGTTGTGAAAACCAAGCACTTTTAAATGACAATCATCACAGCAAAAAAAAAAATTCTTATTTTAATCCATAGAAATAGGCACTTTTTATAAGCCCTGAATTAAAAAAGGTGCTTTTAAAGGGTTTTAAAAAACATAAATTGAAAATAAGCACCTTTTCAAAACGCTATGCAGCCTAGAACATCAAAAAAAATTTTATAAATAATATGATGATAAAGTTAAATACTGTGGCGTACCTACCACTAAAGATTAAATATCAAATCACTAGTATATACGACATGCTACTTGATTCTATCATGAGGTACCTTCTGAAAGATGAAGGTTGACATAGTCCATAATTATAATCCTTAGGGGAGAAAGGGTACATTTCAACATGGGGCCCTTTCAACAACTAAAATTTCCCCCTTCTAATATTGCTTAATGATTGGTGAATATGCTAGTCAATAAGCTTTAGTTATACATAACTGTTAACATTTAGATTTGAGCACTTGTTTTTTACCACTGGGGTTTTACCCTGTGTGTGTAAGTAGTTTTAACATTCCAAAAGTAGTTTTTACATTCCAGTTGTGATTTTGAAACTGTTTTTCAACCATTTATCTTTTAATAAGTTAATTGATAATTATTTTATTTGCTAGTTTATTTAATTCTGCTTCTACCTTTATTATTGATTAGTAATAAGTCTTTTTCTAAGATGGTAGATAATACTTAGATAAGGTGGTAGATACTGTCTGTACAAGGAGCAGATTTTAACAGAGCTTAGGGGTACATTTCAACAGTGTTGAAATGTGACCCGAGCTTATTATTTTTTTTGTTAAGTAATCGTGAAAATTGGCATTTTAGATCAGCAACTACATGAAGTCTAACCCATAAGTTTACAAAAGCCTATTAATTACAATTGTTACATTTAAAATACTCAACTTTTTCAGTAAGGCATTATTCTAAACTTTTTGAAAAATATGTTACTTTGTTCAAGGAAGCATGTTTGTAATTATTTGTAATTTTTAAAGATTATTCAAGAACATTTGTTTACGAATAAAAATAATTTAATTTTCAGAGAATTGAAAAGTTCACGGGAGAGCATTATTTTAAATAATATGTTCAATTCTGGCATTTTGACTTCTTACAGTTTATACAAGGGGTGCAAACATACAACCAGACGTACTAAACCAGAAGTTAGTAAAGAAAACATTAAAAAAGCAATGGAAGCTGTCAGAAATGGTGCATCTCTATATATAAGATATAAGACAGCAATAAAGTAAATTTTATGAGAACGTAGGAAGATTCTGGAAAATTTTATTTTCCAGAAAAAGAGGATATTAGTAGTACAGAAAGAAATGACATTAAAATTAAACTACCTCAATCAAGTTTAAACGGAGGAACAGCTCAATCTGTATCTTCCATGACATTCTAGGTAAACTTAGAATTATTTAAGGACAAAATTATGTAGAAAAAAGTTAAATCAACCCAATATGCTTGTTCATTATTTTTACTATATTATGAATAAAATTAATTATCCAAAATGTATGATATTGCTATGTTCACTTCGATTGTTGAAATGTGCCCCTCCACCTGTTGAAAACTGCCCCACGGTAGTGGTAGATTTCAACAAAATGCATGGTTCACTAACTTCGTAAAATTAGATATTTTGTCTGACTTAGAACTTTGGAAAAAATTGAGAGGTTACCTCACACATAAATTTAGAAAGTAATAATTAAAACTTCCCAAATAATTCTTTAGTAAAAAATGGTGAAAGGTGCCCCCTCTCCCCTACAATACAATCAAATTTCATTCGGCCATGCAAATAGTAAAGCACCTTATCCTCCAATATTATTCCTACTCATTATAAAACTTTCAATATTGTTCCTACTCACTCGAAATTAATAACTGATTTCATATCTGAGGCATAAAAAAAAACAATTTGAAAGTTGATTTTCAATTTCTAAACTTAATTACTAATTTCTAAATTCTAATTAATTAATAATTTAAGTCTGCCCGTGTTAAGTTCAAAGAGAAATTTGAAGTTGCATTATATTTGAGGCTTAATTAAAGCATAGATAACTGGATTTAACTAAATTTTTTTCCATTATTTTTTGCCACTATAATAAAACTATCTATTCATAACGAAAAAGAAGCATATTTTACAGGTTCAAACAAAGTTTTTTTTTTCAAAAAGTTCTATTTATGCATTTATAAAAGAAACATGGAACCGGCTAATAAGGAATCAATGTTTCATAGATTTCACAAAACATTCTAATTCAGAAACTTACAATAAAATCAGAAAAACTGAAAACGAAGTGGATTAATTACACACATTGATTAATTTTAAAAACATATAAGATCTATATAGCGATCAAAAACATTCAGGAATAAAACACGTGGATTAAGTCGTTGAAATTGCTTACCTGATTAGGTTTTCCACCCTTGTTTGCTTTTTTCATAAAAACCATTATTTCTATACTTCAAAAACTCAGTATATAGTAAATTTTAAAACAACTAAAAAATTTTAATAACAATTTGAAGACTAGACACACACTAGTTAGAAAGAAGTAACAGAACGAAGTGGCGACAATGAATGGAAGCAACAATGCGGTTCGGAGCGTGCGCGTGCAAGCAGTGAAAACAAATTTTGTTGCCAAATACAAAGCAGCAAAACTTATTGCATATTTGCAATTGTGGATGGTTGACTGAGCAAAGCTGAACACAGATGGCGCTAGTAGTGAATTTCGTCGTAAGACTTCCATGTTACTACTTTCGATTAGTTTTTACGCCTGAGCTTGAAAAAGCATGCCACTCAATATTATTATACACTGTGGCGTAACTACCACTATAAATAATGAATACCAATTCACAAGTATATAAGACATGTTAACTTGATTCTATCTTGAGGCACCTTTTGATAGATGTAGGTTACATAGTCTGAAAAAGATTAAAAATTAATAATTGGTGACCTGCGGACGTGATATGAACTCGTCAACATCGATGGATGGTTCACATAAAACAGTTGATTTGCTAAATATAAACTGCTCAAAGAAAAAAAAATTCATTGAAGTAAATAGTCTCCCCGTTCAATAAACAAAAAAAATGAAGGAAAAAAATTAGCTAAATGCTAAAAAAAATGAAGGATAAAAAATTTATGAGCAAAAAAGTGCTATAAACAAAAAATGAAGAAAAAATTTACTGAGTGAAAAAATAATGTAAATAAAAACAGCATGAATTAACTAGTGGTATTAATTCATCGAATTCTATCACAGATAAAATTCTGGAAGGGGAGTAATGTGGCGTAACTACCACTATAAATATTGAATACCAATTCACTAGTATATAAGACATGTTAACTTGATTCTATATTGAGCTACCTTTTGATAGATGAAGGTCAGTGGCCCCCATCCCCCCCCCAAGCTCTTGGGTGCATTCTTGGGAAAATTCTAAATTCCCCCCCCCAAACTATTCGTTTTATTTAGTGTAAAAATTCCCCCCCCCCAAGCTTTAAGTGGGCGCATAGTGCGCCCACCTCCCCCCCCCAGTGGGGGTCCCTGATGAAGGTTGACATTATCGATAAATATATCCCTACAATACTACTGACCATTAAAACTGATACACCAGGAAGGTGACACACACGAACGTGAAATTTGTATTACAGATAAAGCATGTCGTGATATGCAAGTGATTAGCTTATCAGAGCATTCATGCAAAGCAGACTGTGTTAGCGACACCTACAATGTGTAGAAAAAAAGAGATTTGACAGTAAGTCTCTCATAAAGAAATTAAATTTCAGCGTTGTTCTTGAGTAAAAAAGTTTTTGTTATGTCTCGTGTAAGAAGGAGAAATGCCCATCATCCCGTGTCTGAGTTTGATCGAGGTCAAATTTGTGGCCTACCGGATTTGCAGTTTATCATACCGAAGTATTACTTCTCGCCTTGGTTGAAATCCCATGACTGTTAGCAGAATATGAAATCATTTGGGCTCATGACGGTCTTATGGAACGCCGTGCAGGATCTCAGCTGTCCCCATCGCTATAGCCGAGAAGACAGGCATGGCTTTACCGAATTGTACAGCTGTATCACGAACCCTGAGTCAACAAATGGGATTATTTTCAAGACAACAAGTGTCTGAACGAACAGTTCAACGAAGTTGCAGCAGCATGGACTGCCCGCATAGCGACCATGGCTTCGGCTACCCTTGACGCTGATTCACTGGCTGGAGCGCCTCCAATGGTGTGAACAACGACGGCATGCAAGCAGTAATGGCATGACGTCGCCTTTTCAGACGAATCCAGGTTCTGTATACAGCATCATGAGGGCCGCATCCGTAATTGGCGACATCGTAGAGAACGCCCAATGGCAGCTTGCATTTGACATCGTCATACTGGCCCATCACCTGTAGTAATGGTATGGGGTGCCATTGCATGCCTGTAGTCCCAGCCAGTACGTTCTCCAAATACCTCAGCGATTGAAATGTCTTGCCGAAAGACTGGTATGCTACCTTTCGTCAGTCACTATGGTCGATATTGTGGCATAATGTTATTGGAATGCTGTACCCGTTGATGTTATCCAATCTCTGTTCGATTCGATGCACAGGAGACTAACTGCTGCTGCTAGCAGAGCTGCCAGCTCTGAGTACTGAGTTCTCAGGATTTATACATCCAAATATCCTGTCTTCCAACTATAATGTATGTGCCCAATAAATATGATTTTGCTATTTGCATTCCTTGACGTCCGGTGGCTGAGCGGTAGCGCTTCGCTCTGTCGTGCCACAGGTCCCTGGTTCGATCCTCGGGTCGGGCAAGGTTGACTCAGCCTTTCATCCCTTCAGTGGTGCTAACGGTGGTTCATCTATAAAATCGAATTCTAGAAATTCTATGAAGAAGTGATCAAAGTAATTCTAAAAATTCTATTAAGAGGAAATCAACGCAATTCTAATTCAACAGTCAAATCTAAGAATATTTAAAGTATTTAATAAAAGAAAAGAAAGTGTTTACAATTTTAAAGCTCAACAGCTACATGAAATTCTAAACATCGACTGACTATTAATTCAGTTCTTTTTTGTTTTGAGCAGTGCGCATGCGCGTCAATACTTCTACGTTCAACCAGAGTGAGAAAGAGAAAAAATTTTACTTGACGGGAACAAGTGGGTCGATAAATGAGTACCAAGCGTGCTTGGGAACTAAACACTGGGGGTTCCGCGTTTGGCTGACCACCTGACCGGAACATCTGCTCCTGCACCCCAAAGCCCAAGGTCAAGAAAACTGAGATGGGCACAGTAGGCCTTGGCCCTCTAGGAGCTGTCGCGCTACTGAGTTTAGTAGTATTTGCATTCCTTCCTGGTGTAGCAATTTTAATGGCCAGTACCGTACTTGTAGGGCTTACATTATAACGCGTTTTTACAACGTATATATACTTAACGTATGACTAACTAATTAACACTACTTGAATTAATACTTAATGCAACATAATAATTATAGTTTTGCCAATAGATAGAGAAATACCTGAGTTTATGGTGCCTCATAAACTTGGGTAACAATAAAGATTATTTTTTCTCATGGAATCAACTTAAAATGAACGTGCAGCGGCTGCTGCTTTTGAGCCAATTTCATGCTAAACGCCGAAATGTGGCAAACTTACGTCGCCAGTTGGCGATAAGGACAATCACGATTGCAGACCTAACTGCACCTGTTTTTTTCTCAGTTCGGTCTGTGACGACGCCTGTGTATGTTACTGGGACAACCTGTCCGCCACGATGTTTAATCTGGAACTTAACTAACTTGTAACCTTAATTGTTATCCTTTTATTAAATTTATTATTATTTAATTATGGCTGGCATTCTGTTAACTAATCGTGCTAAGTGTTTCTATTCTTTAATCAACTTAATTATTCATTTTAGATCATCTCCCTATTTGAATATTATGTTTTTATTTTAGGAGCCGCGTTAACTTCCACGTGTCTCCTCACTGGTGACCCGGCTTTGAATCTATGCAATGTTTCTAAATTTATGCGAAGACCAGCTTAAATTTTTAATAACCTTTGCTCCTTTAGAACTAAATTTAAAATTTAGCGTTAGTTTTTGAAGAAATTTTTTTTTTATTTACGAACTTGTGATCGCACGGAGATATGGATGGATGGACACATGGATATTTTAAGGGTATGTTATCGAATTTCTGCTGACTTTTTGTGATTGGTCATTTCAAAATTACTGTTGCTTTAATATGTTTAAATTAATGTATTAATTTAACTTACTGCTAGTATCTCTGGTTTAAACTTACTGTTAGTATTGATCTACGGCGTACGGAGTCTGTTATCTTAGTGCATTATCTTCCGAAATGTTTGAAAATCACTTTCATTTGCAATAATTATTTAAACCTTTTACCCATTTTTAGTGAATGTATTTGCATTATTTTCGAGTTTAATTTGATCTTTGCGCTTATCACTGCATCATACAAGTTGTTTAATTTTATTTGCTGCCCCAACACTTTAAAATAATGCCGAATGTGGTGGAGCAGGTTAATGATGCAGATAATGCTGCACGTTCTTCAAATGCATCTCAGGTCTCCCATCTTTCGGTAAAAATTCCCCTGTTATGGAAATCAAAAATTAAACTATGGTTTATTCAGGTAGAGAGTAATTTTGAGCTAGCTAAAATCACTAATGATTTAACGAAATATAATTACCTCGTTTCATCAATAGATCCTGAAACTTTATCCTCAGTGTCCGATATTTTATTTGCACCACCTGCTGCGGATAAATACAACACTTTGAAAGACCGGTTAATAGCCGAATTCTCTGCTTCGGAAAACGAACAAATTCGCCAATTAATTTCTGAATTGCATCTTGGAGACGTTAAGCCGTCCCATTTATTGAGAAAAATGCGCGAATTAGGGGGTAAAAGCGTCAACGATGATTTTTTGAAAACTTTATGGTTTCAGAGACTGCCTCAAGAAATTCAAACAATCTTATCAATTAGCTCTGAATCTTTGGACAATTTAGCCAAAATGGCTGACAAAATTTCAGAAGTCCGTACGACTCCGACAGAAACTGGCGTNATTGTTATCCTTTTATTAAATTTATTATTATTTAATTATGGCTGGCATTCTGTTAACTAATCGTGCTAATTGTTTCTATTCTTTAATCAACTTAATTATTCATTTTAGATCATCTCTCTATTTGAATATTATGTTTTTATTTTAGGAGCCGCGTTAACTTCCACGTGTCTCCTCAAACGAATTTCATAAATGTGTGCACATTTTTTTCGATTTACATAAATCCAAGAAATGTTGGAAAATACACGGAAAAATGAAATTATTATAGGAGTACCAACTTTCGACTGCGCCTTAAAAATTGGGTCGATATTTTCCAGATTGCTGTTATCCCCAGGAATTTGAGGGTGAGAATCCGAACCCGATGAAAATAAGAAATGTTTATTCAGAGAAAGTACGTTTTTATATCTAATTGCGTAGCTTAAAACCTCGTTTACAAATAATTAGCATAATTAAAATTAAATCTATCGAACCAAAAGGTTTCAGATTCAGTCTCAAAATGCAAAAATACAATCATTAGATCAAAGTAATCCAGGGTTTGAGCTTTTTATTTTGTACATTGAAATACGATAAGATAATTCATTGTATACGAATTAATTGTTCAAATCTAAAAGTTTATTAGTTTCACTTCATCCAAATCCCATTCCTACATCGTTTTCTTTCTTTTAAATAATCAAAGGGAGGTGGCGGTCCCGGAAAAGGGTCTTCGTACAGCTTCCCATCATGATAAAATTTGTCTTGATCACATCCCAATAATCTTAAAAAGTCATTGCAGCTCATATTCATTGGAATTCCTTTCCTTTTAAGAGTAAAACATCCTGCAAATAATTAAACAATATTTTGAGATTTTTTCTGTGCTGTAAAGAATTATCTGAGGGTTTTTAACGCACAAATAACTAAAACATTTAAAGAGTTTTAAGAAACCTTTTTAAAAATTGGCAATATTTTCCCACCTGGATGAAAATTATCAAAATCAATACATTATTCCGATTTTCTGCATATTTTTATGAACTCAGACAATGCAGTTTTATATTTTGTTTGATTTCATTACCGTCATTGAACAGATTTGGGGTTACGGCTACTAATATTCAACTCCCGTAGCCTTGTAATTATGAACCCAATCCAGAAGACGAGGGAACTCCGGAATAAAGTATTGGGAGATATTAGGAGATATTTGCCTTCGTGGAGGATTTCTTGATGGAACTAACCCTCATTTGCGTTACATGGAGAGAAAAACCACGTCCTAAATCCACGATTCTAAGTCCATGATCCGTCAACCACTGTGGATATTTTACTTCAGTACTTTGGTCGGCGCATTCAGGGTGCGGGGTTGTCGGGTGCAGGAGAGCCATCGCTGGGATTCGAACCTGGTTCACCTAATAGGAAGGCGAACCCTCAATCCCCTGAATCACCAAAGCTCAATGCATTATTATGGGAAGTGTTTAAATATTAAAAAACTTAGACCACAAACTCTTTTCGTTTTCTCAAAACCGAGTCTTTTGCACCATTTTGCACGCTTTGCACCATTTTCAGAATAAACATAAAAGACGCTGGCTAAAGAAAAGCTAAACCTGACCTAACAGTAAATGTTTGAAAATCTGATCAGTTATGGAAATGGCTTAATATTTGAAAAAAGCATAATTTCATGCGATTACAGAGCCTTCGAAAAACTACCTTAGTATTTGGCATCAAATAAAAATAAACAAATTCAAAAATGACTAAGTTTGTTTTCCTGATAACGAATTTCAACGTTTCTATTTTCTTCCTTTATCGTTTTTATTTTAATGTAAACCATATTTCAGCTCTTTCATTTTAAGCATGCACTAAAGTCATATTAAAAACAAGATTACAATCCTCGTGAATTCAAATATCTGACATAAAACCTAATTTTAAGATTAATGCTGATAAACTGATATGATTGAAAAATTTCCTTTTTCATTCATTCGCTAAATATTTTCAAAATTATTATTTTATTTCATTTTATCCGTCGTTTAACAGCCTACCCAATTTTGATTTTACGACTACCAATGTTCAACTCCGTAGCTTTGTAATTTTGAACCAATCCAGAGGACAGGGAAACTGCTGAATCAGTTTCCCCAGAGGTATTGATTTGTTATGGGAAGATGGAGGACTTTGCGACTCGGCAGATTTAACATGCATCAGTAGCCATTTACTAAACTGGGAGTCTTCGGCCGGCGGGAATAGAACCCACGAACTCTTGGACATGGGCTTAGTGCCCTACCGACCAGGCTATCTCGGTTTTTTAAAATTATTAATAAAATTTCGGTCATTATGTCTCGAGGTTAAGCCAAAAGAAGATCGATCATTTAGAGTTTCAAAGCCGAAAAAAAATCGGGAACCACTGCTATAAATGATTGTGTTAGATTTACGATATTATAAATAAATTTTCAGCCTTCCGAAATTCCGGATTTTTTAAAAAAATAAGTTTTATGTTTGAATACTTCGAATGATCTTGATTTTATTGCATGGGTGACATATACTAATTTGTAATGAATTAATTTAACGCAAGTTCAAAAATTCACCTGTATATCCAGGGCATACATGTTCAGGAATAAACCAGTGTGTCTGACTAGCAGTTATTCCTTTATTATGACATTCTATTCCTACAAATGAAAAATATCAAAAAGGGAAATCATTAAAATAATATCTTGAAAAGCTCTTTAAATTGTTCTTAAATGTAATATAATGCATCGATAAAAGCTCACTATGAACGGTTAACCCAATCGCTTCAAATTTCGAAAAATGTATTTATTTATTTATTATTTTTTTTTTTAGAGTTCATTTCTTTTTAAACTATTTTTTCCATTTTTCCCATTCTCTAAGAATAACATAGAATAAGAAAAAATTATGAAGAAATATATCCGTGTTTAAGCTTAAAATCAACTTAAGTGGTGATAGCATTAAGAAAAATAATCATACATTTTATTCTTATGTTTATAAGATATAGTTTAAATTTTTTTTAAAAAAAAATTGTTAATTTATTGTTTGTGACCTGAAGAAATTTATGAACTTTGGAGAAATTTTATCTTTAGAAAATAATCACATAATTCATTTCTTAATTTTTATAAGAATTCCAAATTGAGGGTGATAAGAAACCCACATTTAAATAAACAAGGAATTAATACGATCAGAGTAGGGGAAGTTTGAGCGTTCTTGCTCGGTTGGCCTGTCCAGTTAAGTTGAGATATTTCCCTTAACCCTTTCATGGGCCATTTATTTCTAGGTAAATAGAAGTATTTTATATTATTATAGGTAAATTGAAGTATTTTTGGAATTGAAATTGTTTTAAGAATAGTAATTGATATAAGTAAAAAAGCTCATTTAGTTCATGAAAATGCCATTTTTTGGAGGTAAATATATTTAACACGACCTATTAGGAACTTATTGACTTTTATTTTTCTTTATTTATAAAATAAATTTTATAAATGCTACAAACTTCAAAAGGAATTATGTATTTTATAACATTTATACGTTTTTGTAAACTAACAAATGGCTACCAATTTTATTCAAACGCACTTCAAGAAATCTGAAGTTATTAACAAATGGAAACCTAAAATAAAAGTGGTGGGAAGTATACTTCCCATGACCTTCGAAAGGGTTAAAGCGCTAGATACTACGATAAAGTAACTCCACTGTTTACCTTGTGACCCTTCTGCTGCTTTCGATTTGAATTGGCTGCTACTGATCACATAGGTTAACTACCGACATTTTGTTGACTGGCTTGAACGGCGATGTATGGTTGCGACCGATCTGTAATTTTTATTTTCGCTTTTCTTTCAACTTTGTTTCAAGTTTTTAAATTTATAATGACTGATTGCTGCTCCTTTAGGCGTTCAAATAATACAAATTTGAGCTTCAAATTACATCGTTTACGTATTAAAAAAAGACCGAAAATATGTCAGCATAGAATTGGCGGCGGAGATAAATGGAATCCTAACGTAACAGCAGATTGTGTGAGATAAGTTTAAAATTATTTTGTCCAACCTCTGCACTTCAGCACTTGTAAATAAAAGTAATAGTTATTTCAATCGCTAGATGATGTAACGAACTCGGACCATTAAAAAATAATTCGGTGTCGAGAAACATAAATTTAGGTGTTGTCACCAGTTATAAACGTTAAATTTACATAATCTTCAAATTAATAAATTTTTTTGAAAACCGAAACTAAATTTGTTACCACCGGAAGTTTGGAATCACAAAAGTGAAACTAACACAACTGTTGCCACCGGAAATCGAAATCAAAACTAAAGCAGGAGGGGAAACAACTCAACTCTGCAACAAGAGGGGGAGACGACTCATCTTAATTCTGCAACATGAGGGGAAACAACTCAACTCGGCAACATGAGGGAAAAATCTTAACGCTTCAGCTGGAGGGAAACAAATCAACTCAACAATGTTGCAGAATGAACAATTCAACTCAACACTGCAACAGGAGGGAAACAACTCAACTCAATAGGCACCACCTAATTAGAACATCCAATTCTCCCCTACTGAAAGTAATACATTTTTTTATGCATACTTATAGACTTCGGCCCTAAGTTAAAACTATAAATATGTCACGAAATTCTATGCTATAAATCGCAACTCACCAACTGATATTTTGTCTCATTTCTTAAGCAACGATTTTTTCAGTACTACCTATGTCCGGGGGGGGTGTTATTCATGAAAACTACTATATTATTCTGAAAGAAATTTTTTCAGCTAAGCCAATTAAACGAGAAAGACTTAAACTTAGTTTTGTAGATGCTGTGGAGGAGAAAGTTAAAAAGTAGAAGAGTTTGGCTGCAAGTAGGGAGTGGTTAGAAATGCTTGGTAGAGACTCCCTAGGTTGTCTTGCCATGACTGATGATGATGATAAGTCTTATAAGGTTTAGCACAAAACCTTGTATCCAATATAAACCAATTAAAAAACATCCTTTAAGGAAAGAAAATGCAATTTTTGCTGGAACGATGTGTATCACAGTAATTCGATTGAATTATTTCAAAAATAAGTTTAATGTCATTACATAAGTTTACTTAATTATCACATCATCTTTAATGCACATTATATTATGCATCATGTGATTTTGAAACCAACCCGGAAATCAGCCTTCGTGAAGGACGCTTTCATGAAACCAACCAGTAGTTGCGTTACATGTCGTAAGACAAAGAGAACTTCCGGCGCTTAGCTTGGTGGCAAAGCCGATTGTGGCCGGTGCGAGATGGAAGCAGAATTCCTCCGGAGCAGCGGACAGAAGCTCCATGTTTGTTTAATTGTGGTAATTGTATTACATGCAATATGTACCCAATATACTAATATAGATCGTAATACGTTTTTACAGCCCGTCGTAACCATAATGTAGTGCGAAAATGTATATAAATCAAAGGTTTCAATGAATGTGTATGTTTTTTATATTATTAGAAGTGTAAAGAGCAACCATTTCAACCTAGCTAGACTAAAATAAATTAACAAAGCGAAACTGCGAAAATAGTTCCGTGACGAGCTCAAATAGCAGAAATGGAGTCCTATAGTTATTTATGCGATAGATAAGTTATTTGTGATCACGGTGTGCATGTAAATTTCATTAAAATGGTGTACCTTTTTGGCATTTGCAATTCGAACCCACATCGGGACTCAGTGATCGAGTGCCATGTACTTTCAGTATTTCGTGAGAATCACTTGTATCTAATTTTCTAAGTTCTCGAAACTTATCTCCACATCTGGAATTGAAATTAATATTACTGATTTTTCTTTGAAACATTTGTTGCAAAAGGAATTAAGTACTGCGTAAGATAATGTTAACATGAATAACATTATTGGCATGAGCTGGTAATTATTCATCTACAGCATAAGTCTTCAGTTTTCTACGTCTGATAATCGATTCAAAAATAATAAAATAAAATAAAAATTGCTTATTGTGGGGAGATTAGTAAGCGACAATGTCAATCTTCATCTATGAAAAGGTACCCTTATATAGAATCCAGTTAACATGTCTTACATACTATTGAATCGGAATTATATTTTTGTAGCGGTAGATTCACTACAGTACTCCCCACCAGAATTATACTTGTGACAGAGTTCGATGAACGGATACCACTAGTTGATGCATTGCTGTCTTGCGAAAAGCCGGGAGAGCTGTATTAAGATCACCGTACTTTTTGAATGCTGATCGTGAGAGATGTATTAAGTTCACGGTCGTGGTCGCTCCTGTGTTGCCATTAGCAGTAGAGTGAATACGTTGTACTTTATGTGTGATCGAAACTGAGAAGCAACAGCACGAGGAGATGGATAATGTCGCAGTCACAAGTAGCAAGTCAACTTTTCAATGTGGACCATCCATCGAAGTAGGCGTATTCAAATCGTAGAGGGCGTTTCTACCAAGGTAGGCGTGTTCACATCACGTCCGAAGTTTTTACAGTTTTTTTCAGTTAGCTAACTAATTTTATCATTGCAGCTAGTTACAAAATCTTACAAAAATAAATAATTTTGATTTTCTAAGCAGAACGCAGCTAACCTTGTATTTCTATCTCCTCCCGTTTCTCTTTAATTCAATTTTAAAATCATCATTCATTTTCTGTAATCCCAGTGAAAGTAATGGTATTATTTAACTAAATACAATTTTTTTTTAAAAAGAACAAAAAACATGTAAATTGGGAGTTGCAAAGAACATTTAATACAGTATATATAGCTTGTCATTATCTACAAATTTTAGATCGCTGTCAGTACTTGTTTTGTCAAATGGGCCAAAGGCTTAGTCAGATTCTCTATTAAAAATTTAGTATTTCACTGGACTGACATTAAAAATATTGAGATGAATAATCATGTAATAGCATGCGAAATTTTCGATTAACCAAGTAGCTAATTCCGAAACACTAAATTTACAATGAGAGTTGGGACCTAGCACATTCACATAAAATGAAGAAACGTACCTGGAAATCAAATGAGGTTCTGGCGTACAGTTTATATTATATCCATAGCCAAAACATTTATTCATATTAATTTAGAATTTTGCCTGAAATATTGAAATACATCTAAAAATATTAGTATAAAATAAATAAATTTTGATTGAGAATTTTAATTTTCTTACTAATTCTTATAAATCTGGGAAATTTAGCTTTCGAAGAACAAATATCGGAGTTAGATATAATTATGTGCTTATGTTAGCACACTGATTTTGTCATGAAAACGGGAATAAAATGTTGAGTTAACCTTACAAAAATAAATAAAAAGAAAAAGAAAAATTGGGTACCTCCAATTCAAGAAGAAGAAGAAGAACGCTGAAATCAGCTGGATGTGCATAAGTAAGGTGACATGATTGTTACGAGACTCTATCAGAAAGTAAAATATTCTGTCGTTCTCTACTTCTCTGAATAATAAATCTCACTAAATAATAAAACTTCTAGTAAAAAAGAACAACATTTTATTTACATAATAATTTTCAGACGATCATTTCTTGTTCCACAAAAAGAAGACGTTGTCATAACAACTCGGCAGTTTTAAAAGAAATCAAATGTTAGCTTTTAGCTTACATAAAAAGTAATTAACAATGATGGCATTAGGTTCGTTAGGTTATTGGGTAAGATTTATTATCACGATGAATCCATTTTCGGATCAGATTTGGTGGGTACCTGCGAGCAATGTCATGCGTGATTGTCAAACCTGACTGACTGCAGAATTGTGGCATTGTCTATACCACGATTCTGTAACTAATCTGGTTCGATACCCATGCTTGACATTGCTTGTAGGCATTTAATTAGTCCTGACATTCATTTACACCGTTTATACTCTTTCTGTTACTTATATAATGCATTCAGAAATGATACTGTTGGTACAGAAATTGAAACTAGTCAAGTTTGAAACTAGTTTTCATTTTGTGACACAGCTAACTTAACAGGTCATAAAACCAAATGGTCTTACGGGTCTCGTTGTTTTGCTCTGTATATAAATAGAATATGTTTCTGAAGCGTACAACGAAATTTTTCTCAAACATACTCAAAGCTTGTTACGTTATAGAACTGGTTGAACCTATTCTCTTGCTTCGGGGATCATCTTACTTATAAGGCAAACATAAAGAATCAAACCGAAACAGTTAAGAAGTTCGCGTTGTGTACTACAGCGTTAGCCACGTACAGCGTTTACAAATCCCAAAGTAGTGTGCATCTTTTTTTTTTTGGAAAATCCAAATCTGAAATTAAAAAAGCTCTCGTCCTGTTGCCTCTGCTCCTTCCTTAAGGGACTATAATTGATTGGTCGAGATTGGTATTGTTAAATGCATTGTTTTGGAAATATTTCCCTAGTTATTTTTAGATAATTGATCCGATGAGTTATTTTGAGATATTTGACTATTTCCATACATTTTGGACATCTTGTATACAGAGAGTTCCAACAATCTGAAACAACGACAATCTGCTCTATGAGATCCTCGGATGACTACTACTACTAATGTTCAACTCCGTAGCCTTGTAATTTTGAACCCAATCCAGAAGACAAGGGAACTCCTGGATCGAGTATTGGGAGAAATATGCCTTCGTGGAGGAATTTTGATGTAGCACCCGCATTTGCGTTTCATGGAGAGGACGACCACGAGAACTTATCACTCTTAGTCTGACGGCAAGGAGATTCTAATCCATGATCGATCTACCACTGAGGATATTTCACATCAGCACTGCGGTCGGTGCAAGCCAGATGCGGAATTCGTATCGACTGGGATTCGATCCCGGCTCGCAACATTGGAAGGTGATTGTTCTATAACCCTGAGACATCGTGGCTCGTTCCAGTGGGGTTAACGACTCCGTATTCTATGGTAAGTTTTCCACCCCTTGAACCCCTTTATCACTCCTCTGAATTTGTTGGTTGAATTCTAGAGTAAACACCCATATAATTCGATAAAACATTTTAAAACGTAAGTTCAATTATGCATTATTTCAAATTAATTTTCCACGATGTCTAAGTTTTTTTTATTATTTTTTTTTTGAAACTAACAAATAAAAATAGAGCTCGAATTATAAAATTTAAAACCGAGCTCTAATGGAAAGTCTTAAAATAATAATAAAGTAGTTAACTTTAAAACTGAAATTTAAACACTAAAAATCTACAATTCGGGCAACAATAGAAATTACTAAAATTTAAATAAAACAATCTCTTTCGCGATTTACTAAGAAAAGAAACATCAAAGGATACAAATAAAACAATTTAAACATTAAAATTTTTTTAAAATTCAAATGAAATAATTTTACAAAGGAAAATTAGAAGATAAAAATAGTTCTATGTAAATATAATGATGAAATAATAAATTTGAATAAATCTGTTTAATAATGAAAAATAAACGATAAAAATGGAAAAGTTTGGTCAGCCATAGTGTATGTAAAAATTTAAATAAATTATTTTGCTTGAAAACAAACACTTATGAGTATTTTTGTATTTAAAAAAAATTGTAAATAGATTTATTAAGTTAAAACTCCGTCATCTTTCAGGATGCATTTAAATTCGTAAATAAATTAGTCTGGGCGGGCGGACTAAACTGCACTTCTCTTGATGAAGTCCGTTAGTTATTATTTTTCATACTTTTTTTCTCATCCAAGCTCGCCACATGCTGGTTTGGCCCTTCAACTCTTTGATGCCTTCGTAGGGTCACCGACGTTGTTCTGAAAAAGCTTTTGGCGAGACGTCTGATCGATTTTCAAGGTCTTGGCGCGTGAAATCCCGAAACGCTGGCTTCATTTTAATTTCTCTTCCCCTTCTGTTCCACCGTTTTATCGATCGTTTTCACTTTCTGCTACGAAGCCGGAACTAATGAAACCAGCTTCGGTGAGTCATTAATATTCTATATTTTAAAATTTAATGAAATTTTAAGTTTTACAGAAATTCTAATGAATATCAAAGAAACGATCTTTGCAGCGAATCCGTAAAGTTGGTGCAATACTTTGGTGATATAACGGGAGTTGCAAATCTACTCCGGTAGGGGGTTACAATTTGAAAACAAATCTTCTGTCATATCCGGGATCTAAACCAAAGAGAAAGAACCATTTGGCTCAAATATTTATTCTCAACTGCAGTCATTAGAGCAGAGCAGTTTTCTCGTCACATTGTTTTCTTTCTATAAAATTTCAAATTTCAATGGTCGAAAAAAATTACACATTTTTTAAAAAAACAAACAAATAAGTAATTTTTATTTTTTAAAAAACATTATGGTTTTTAAAATAATTAAAAATTTAATTGTTGGGTATTTTGCAATAAATTGTCTTTTTTTTAAAAAAAATTTTTTGACAGTTAGATAATTAAAATAAAGCAAATTATTATAATTCGATATTACTTCATTTATTTTTATTGATAAATATAAAGTTGACAAACTGGGAAATACTTTTTACATATATAGAATAGTCAGACGAAAAAAAAAAAAAAAAAAAAAAAAAAAAAAAAAAAAAAAAAACAAGAAAAAGTCAAATCTAAATAAGTCGTGTAAATCGTAAACAACTAGCTAAAATAATTATGGTAATTTCCCCTTACATTTTGACGTTTAAATATTAAAAATTTTTGCAGCGATTTAGTTAATGTCTATGAATTCTTAGGAGGAAGGTCGCGAAAATTCTTTCTTTTTTCGGTGACCTGCCAGGGCCTGATTACCGAAAAGGCACAGGAAGCAAGTGCTTCCCCTGTAAAATTCTGGGGGGCCCCCCAAATGACTGAAATTGGGGGCCCAATTTCTTATTTTTGCACTGCACTAGTGAACGTTCATTTTCTGCATTGAAAAGAATAAAAAATCGGTTGAGATCAACTCTTTCAAATAATAAATTAAGTGGTTTAGCCCTTTTAGCAATAGAGAGTGATATTACAAATAGGTTACAATTTGCAGATATTATGGAAGATTTTGCGAATTTGAAAGCGAGAAAAAAGCCTATGTAATGGTAACCTATGAGTTTTCTTATTTTTTTTAAAATTTTTCTTCTCTATCATGCTTGCTCAATTTAATTTTACTCTGCTTTTTATTGTTGAACTAAACACACAAGACTTTTAAATATCTATCAGTACGAAAAATATTTTTGTTTCATGTTTGAAAATTATTTGGTATGATTTTTCTGGTGCAGTAGCAATAATTTATGATGAATTAGAATTTTGTGTTGTTTTGCCGCTAGTAAACAAATTGGCGTAAAATAAGAGACTAATCTTGCAAAGAACCTTTCGTATAACAACAAGTAATTTTATAATTTAGTTTAGTGAAATATTTAAATTTTGTTAACATGTTTTTGCTACTATAAAGCACGTAAAGAAGGGTCCAACATGATTGCATAGGATCTCTGTATTCCTTTCTAAGGTTCTAATAGTTTTCACATGGTTCTCGTCTCTAAAATGTATTGTTTATGGGCGAAAAATATCAAAAGTTTATTTTGCCCAAGTTAGGGGGGCCCCAAACTCCTATTATGCTTCCCCTATTTTCAGAGGTTAATCGGGCCCCGGTGACCTCAATGAATTTAATAATTTTATCATATTATTATATTTTAATTATTCTTTAGTGTAATAAGAATTATATTAATTTAGTCTTAGAAACTAAAAATTAATTAAAGATGTAACATTTTTAATTAACAAAGCATTTGCATTTTTGCATAAATTGTCATCTTTAATGAAATTTAATTATAAAAGGTTATCTGATATATTGCAGCGGAATTAAATTTCATTGCTTTTTGAATAGAATTTATAATTAAACTTTCAAACTTTAACTAAACACCTGATAACTAAATTTTTATTTATTTATTTATTTTTTAGTCTTGCTTTTCTTTATGAAAAATTTCTTTAATAGAAAAGTTAGGAGATTAATTTTTTTAACACTTAGATGATAGTTTGAAGAGAAGCAATATAAATTAATTTAACAAATGAACTGGTTATCGTTACGTTAATTTTAAAATAAAAAAAGGAAATAAAAGACTTTAAGAAAAAAACAGAATAACTTTTGATCTAACGTTTGGATTTTCGTGTGCTAGGACTCGAACTTAATAATTCATGAAGGTGACCTCAAATATGCTAATTGTGTGCTCACGATATTTTAAGTTACGATATCAGATTAAAAAAAAGAGAAGAAAAAATCTATGCAAGGGTAGACGCAATCTGGGAAATATGTTCCTGTTCCTTTGGGTTTGGCCATGAGAGCGGTCCTAAGTTTCGACCCCTTAATTTTACTTTTTGCGTATTGCGCCATGTCGTGAAAACTTCTTAAGTGAATTGAAAAATATACAGTTATGAAATTCGTTCATCCAAAGATAATTCCTTGCACAAAACACTTTTTTATAAATATTTAGAATTTTTGTTATTATTTTTTATTATAATTTAAAAATTTTTGAATTGCAAGGTATAAATTTTTTTATACCAATTTTGAGAATGTAATTTTAAATTGAAAAAGGCAAAATTTGAGAGAAATTGGTTGAACTGTTCCTGAGAAATCGAATTTTTTTTTTAAAAATGACTCTTTATTATATTTTAAATGTACGATCCCTTTATGCGTACACTTATTATTTTGTTTCTGCTTTTTTATTATTTCGTTAATTATTTTTGGGAGAAAACTAATATTTTTAAAAACATTAGCGATTTATTCGGCATATAGCATAAATCACTTGATAAAAATGACCAGTAGAGCTATAATAATTTTTAAAATCTAATTATTTCGCAAAATAAATTATTTTTTAACATTGTATTTGTGTTTAAAAGATACTTTAATAGGTTTAGAATATTTTTAACAGCAAAGATAAACTATATGTACCCGAAATTAAGAAATTCCACTAGATTAAAATACCTTCTCCATCACTTTAAGTTAAGTCTACGAGAAAAAGTTTTTTTCATTTTGTTCCGGTAAATTTTGTCTCGGTACCAATCAGAGAATGTTACACGTATGTCGTAACTCTTTAACGAAGTAAGATGAAAGTGACTCTAGTTGAAGTCAATTTTTTATTCAAAACCATACTATATACGGGTGTAAATCAAGTTCTCCAACACAGTTTGTCTCCTAAAAGGGACTCTGACTCTGAAAAGTGACTCTCGAATTTCAGTAGTAACTCTGACTACATTTCGAAAGTAGTTTATAGTCATTATTTTTTAAAAAAAAAGTAGTTATAGAGGACTGCATTTGTAATAAATTAGTTGTAGTTAACTACAAACAGAATGTAGTTTTTCCAGGCCGGATAGCCTGGTCAGTAGGGCGCTGGGCCAATGTCCAAGAATTTGTGGGTTCGAACCCCGCCGGCCGAAGACTCCCCATGTAGTTGGTGACTGATGCACGATAAAATTCTGTCGAGTCGCAAAGTCCTCCATGTTCCCATAACAAAACCTCTGGGGGTACTGGATTGGAGATCGATCGTTCTCTGATTCAGGTCAAAATTACGATCTGTGGATGAATGAATGGACGCATGAATGGGAGAGAGAGAGAGAGAGAAATAACAAAAAAAAACTTATAAAACAGGAGTGACGTATGATGTGGCAGAAGTCGAATTCTTGGTCATAGATGGCGCCACTGAAAAACAAGAATCGCACTCTACGCCTTAAATTTGCTCGGTTTCACCAAGCAGGCTTGCCCGTGTGGCAAGTGGCATTAGAACCAACCAACCATGTAGTTTTCCAACCACAGAACAAAGTCTGATGAAAAATTAAAAAGGGACAGGGAAAAAAGGGAAGTCTTATGCACTGTGAAAAAATCCAGATCAGATTACGGTGAAATTCCATTTATCCATTAAAACATGTTTTGGAACAAAAAATCTAATAATCATAAAATCTGAAAACCGTAATTTTTACAGTAATGTTTATTTAAGTAAAGTGATTCAGTGGTTTTACGGTAATTGTTACTGTAAAAATTATTACAATAATGTTTTGCAGTAGACAAAATTATTGCAATAATTATTTTTGCAGTAATGTTTATTTAATTAAAGTGATTCAGTGATTTTGCGGTAATTATTACTGTAAAAATTACGGTTTAATATTACACGGTAAAAATGGATTTTACAGATGATGCACCTAAAGTGCCGGTACTTTAGACCGTAATTTGATCAGGAATTTTTTACAGTGTGGTGCAGGTGCATCAAGATTGGTAGGACCTGTATTTTTCTGGTGACTTAATTTAGCATGACAAAGTCAAGACCATTATACAAAATTCTAATTTTTGCATCAATTTTTTCAACACCTTATAATTAAACTATTATAAACTGAACATTAATTGAAAAGAAAGAAGAAAATTATTCGACCTTAACAAATATTTGGAAAGATTGACCAACAACCAAATATTTGGTGCATTCTCAACAATAAAGTATAAAAATACGTTTTTCTTTCTTTACTTAATTTTTAACATGAAAAAATAGCTATTCTCAATTTTTGGATTAAGTGTGCAACTAAAAATATATCTAAAACTTAAATTAAAAAATAAAATTCTAATTCGTTTCATATCTTTTAAATATATGAAAACTTTTTATTGATATTCTATAATAATATATACATTATACCTTTGAGGTCGCATTGAAAAAATTCGATAAATTTTCAAACTACAAAAAATAATTTTATTTCATTAAATCTGATACTTTTTCATGAATTAAGAAAATTGGTTTCAATATTAGTCAATTTAAATCATTACGATCTGCCTAGATATCCTCATATCGAAATCCGGGCTCTTGTAATGAAAAAAAATTACTCAATTATTAAAAACTACTCAATAATAATAATTACATATAAATTAAAAATTTAATTAACGGGTTTCACATGCCGCAATGTGTTCGTCCTGAGAATTGATACTTCATGCTTACTTCCTAATTAAAGGCACATTAAATATGCTTTCGAAACTCGTTGAATACATTTCTTATTTGAATACATTTCAGTTTGTATATCTTATATGAAAAGCTTTGTGGAAGAACTAGGTAAGTACCATTTCAAAGTGGCTATAATCAGGATAAGAAGAAAAAAGTGTTATACGAACTATTATATTATAGATTTATTACAAGTATTCTTTACCTTAGTATTATTTCCTTTATTTTATTTACCTCTATACAAGTTGAAAGAAAAATCACGCTAACTTACTAAAAATTAGCGTGGATTAATTATGTTCATAGTAAAGTGAACGCATCAAAAATTCTCGTACATAAAGCATACCCTAGTGTAGTAAAACACCAAAAGTGTTTATTTTTTTATTACTTGGCTTAAAGTAGCTGCCACCATTTTTAGTATTGGGTAACACGAAAATTTATAATTACAGTTAAGTTTATGACACACATTAGAATAGGTTCAGTTATTTTTAGGATACAATATAAAGTAAGAATCATTCATTTAGGAAGCACGTATATTCTAATTTTAGAAATTAAATTAGTTTGTTAATCAAACATGCACACAGAGATGAATACTAAGTTGATTAGTGAGAATACTTAGATGAATTCGAACAACGCCTAACCGAATGGAGGGAAATAGAAGATAAATATTATAAAATTATTTACGACAGTTGACCAACCTTTAAGGATTAAAATATTCTTTATGGCACATTGGCACAACTAAAAATATGCATCATTTTGAAACGGCTAACTTTTGTTTCTGTTGATGTTTAGCATCGTGAAAGTTGAAAGAGAACAACTAATTCTTATACTTGAATGTAAACAATCGATTGGCGATATCCAAAGTATGCCAAAATTGATGTTTCCCGAAGTGAAAATAATTCTCAAACGTTGTGAATGCGCGAAGTTTGGTTTGCGATTTTTACATTGTTGGTGTTTAGATTTGACTACTCTTCTTAAAGTGTAAACATTTAATTTAGCCTTAACTTGAAATACAGAGTTCCTTATCATTGAATAGTTGAACTTTAAATTAGAAGAGAGACTAATTTTACAGTTTTTACAGTGTATTTAATAATTTAGATTTCATAATTTACCTAAAAAAGCCAAGCATTTTATAGAATGTTTAGTTATTGTATAGAATGATACATTGGGCTATTCTATGAATGAATGATAAGTAATTGAATCGAACTGTATAGAATTGAGGGTAAAACATATATAAGACACTGTTTGGAGAGTTTTTTATTCAAGATTTTCAGATTTTACAAATAAAATACGAAAATGATTGCTGCATAAAAAGTATAATTAATGCTGTTTTTTTTTCCAGAATTTTTGCTTCTCTGACGTTTGTGAAACGTAAGGGCAGCATGGGGCTAACAGAAGTGGAGGCCGCTGGTTGCAGAGAAATTTTAAACTATTTAAATGAGCACAAAGTGTTGAGGATATTTGCTTGGAAATTCGGCCTCGAAGATCCAGCCAGCATTGTAGCCTGTTTGGAAAGACAGCGTCTTCTAAAGGGATACGGGGACAGCAGCCATATGACGACAAGAATGAAAGCCATAGACTATATCGTCAGAGATGCCAGCAACCCTTTAGAAATACTAAGCAGGCAAGATGTTCGAAAAGAACATATGAAAAAGTACCTCGAATCCCGAATGATGGGCAAAGAAGCAAAAGGAAACAAAGCCGCTCGACTAAAGAACATAATTCTCAGTACATGGCTCTCGGCATACAGAGTTCCTGACGAGGCGTTAGATAACGGCAAAGCTGTTCTTTTGCACTTTTTATCGACATTAAATGGTGAATCTGGTACTGAACCATTACCGTTGAGGGAAACGTGTGAATTTTCTTCTTTGGACTTCATATCGAAGCGACAAACGGGTTATGCTGGAAGATCTGGCTTTTATCACGGCGTGTCAGAAGTAGCTAAAAAGAACAATACTTTCAGAAATGACATCCGATTTTTCCACTTTGATGATTCGGACATGAACATAAAGGTTCGGGGTGCTGGACAAGCTAGAGAAACGGGGCTGTATTTCTATGTTATACTAACTATCATTCGCGACCAATCAAGAAATCTGACCCTTGAAAAAGCCCAAATTGTTACTAGTATCGACAGTGAGAACTTGCTGATAAATTTGTTGCATAGTCCACAGTTTTGAACTGTCGACATCACATACAGGGAAAAGCAGGGTTTTATAGATAATTAATTTTAAAATAGAATTGCTATTAAATGAAGAAGCTTTTCTTCATGGTCGATCTTGCAAAACTTAATTTTTTTAATGCTATGTTGTTAAGATGGTTTCAAAATGTCACACTTTCATCAAAATATAACAGTTATCTTAATCGTTAATCAAATTAATATTGAAAATGTTGCATCTTTTTTTAAATATAATTGTTGGCTATTATTAGTATTTATATTCTAGTATTTTGTTATCTCATATTCATTTAAAAAACTTCTTTCATATATAAATTTTATTTCATAATCTACAGTGATAAAAAGGAATTCCGTAAATAAATTAGGAAGACGAAATTAATATTGAAAATCAAAATTATATTTTTAGATTATTTTGGGTCATCATTAGTATTTGCATTCTACTTGGCAATATTTGTTATTTCGTATTCATTTCAATAACATTTTTTTAATTTATAAATTTCATTTTACAGTATGATAAAAAAATCCCGATAACGAATAAGACATAATTTATATTTAACTAACTTATTCATTACAATTTTGATAATATTATAATTTTCAAAAATATTCATTGAAACATTTTATAAATTGTGAAAAAGAATCTGATAAAATTACCGTGCTCTATGGTAATGACATTTCCGGTGTAAAAAAACATAATTCTGGTTAATAAAACTAAAATATACGGTATTTAAACCATTTATTTGGAAATTTTTCCTTTCATATGATAACGGTTTACTGGAAATTCTGGTTTTCAAAACTAGTTCTTATTACCACATATTTAGTAAAAAATTCAAAACTGAAAAGTAAATTTAACTGAATAAATGGTTTTTATGCCATACTCTAAGGTATCATGATAAAATTACCAAATTTTACCACTTATTATTAAATCATATTTTATTGTTAATTTTACTAAAATCATTATCAAAGCGCTTTGGTAAAAGTTCCAAACTTTTTGGTTTTCCCATAGAGCCAGAAGCAAGGTAAATTTTACCATATTCTGGTAGTTTTGACCATACTTTTTTCTCAGTGTAACTATATACTTTATCAGAAACTCTAACAACTAGTGTAGGTGTGAGGGATTGAAAATTGTTAAATTGTGTTAGTGCATTATTAATGCCGATAGAGAGTGAATTGGGTTCCTAAGCAATTTTTTAACTTTGATGTTTTATTGATGAAAGAAAACATTTCTTAATCTTATCTACCTCATCAATGAAATTACAGACTTTAAGATTACAATAATAATGTTAGTATTGAAAAAGGCCATGCACAACTGTGTAACAGTTTTTATACAAGTATCTCAAATCCATGTCCATGTGTGAGTGATTTGATGTATTGCATATTAACAACCGAAAAAAAATAATTGTTGATCGTTAATATTATAATTTTAATTATATTAACGATATAATTATCTGAAATTATCGAAAAATTTAGGTAGTAAGCTGTTAGTAAACAAAAAATTATTAAGTGTCAGGTTTTAAGCCTATGAGTTGTAATTTTTAACTGATTATAAAATTTTCTTATAATTCGGGGTGAATCCGAGAATAATCCACCCCGTGGCGATTTTTTGAAATCTCACCAAACTAGGTTTCACTGTAGTTGATTGGTATATGTTTTGTCGAGGGAGGTATGTAAGAGAAATAACAGAGTAAAGATAAGTTATTTTATTTTTATTTCATTAAAAATATATTAATAAATTTCTAATAATTTAGATTGTTTTTTAATAATAAAACAACAACTTTGATCCAAGTAATAATCGCCAACTTGGCGAGATTTCAAATAGCCAAGGGTGGGCTATTCTGGGATTTTACAGTTAATGTTTAGTTCAAAAAAAATATAGCCATTTAAAAACGTTTATTCTTGATTTTGAAGTTTAAAAAAGACTCTGCATTTCTATTTTGCTTAAAAATATTGGTTAAAAAAAACTACCGAATTCTGCTCAACTGTCACTATATTTCGGAATAATTATATTTCATGCAATCCTAATCGTTTAATTTAATTAGAAACTTAATGAAAGGAAAATGATTTGATTTTTAAATGTGTTGCGTTGTTTCATAACACTAGCTTGTCTTTCGAGAATGAGGTAATCACCCTTCATCTGAAAAACTCAACGCATTACTGTGTGCACCGGCACAGTCATGGTTCTTTTTCCCTAGCGCCACATAATCTCACTTCAGTTGTAGTTTATCTCAGTTAATGAATTTGAACTGTAGGAAATGCGCCTCTTCCATGGCCAAACCACATTGCATCGCAGATCTTCTCAGATTCGTTTGATTCACTAGATGACAATCGCTAGTTTTCTCTATTTCTTGTGCTAGATGGCTTCAAATACTCAGCCACATTTCACGGATCAGATATTATTTGACGAAACACGGCTCGTTGATAGCTATCCAACTTCAAGATGCAGAACTGTACTGGCGATGTCACCCACGGTTCGATAGGCTATTTTTTGAAAACAACATATTTTGTCAAAGCTTGAGTGAAGTGTGTGTAAACAGTGATATGTGCTAACCGACAGTTCGGGATCGCTGTAGCTACATGCTCTCACTTAAAAGGAAGTATGGTTGATCAAAATAAATTTTATTCGATTGATTATTTCAATACAATATATTAAAAGTTGTGCAGTATTTAATTTAAAAAAAATACATTTCGTGTTTCTTATAGAAAATATGAATGCAGAGTTTTTTTTCTTTTTTTTCCAATTTTTTTACATTGACATCAGTAGGGAACACTTTAAGGAGAAGGTGCAATCTGTAAATATTTAGTGCTGTCTGTACACAAAAGTACAGTAGTTCTTAAAATTAACGCAATACTCAAATTTCGTCGTTTATCTCCTGTACCGAGTTTTAAATTTGTTTTAAAGATGTATTAATATCATATGCATTCAACAGAGACTCATTACCTACCCACCAATATTCTAGAAATTTACCATATTGTTGCTAAGGTTTGATTTTCTGGGCAGGTGCCATGTTGAATAGCCGCAGTACTCTCCTTTTTGCATGTCTTTGTAAAAGACAGTCAGTACTGCTATGTGAGGATTATGTCTTGGAGCCCTATGTTCGCTTTTTGTTTCATTTAAACTTTGAGGATATTTTGGACCACGTTATCTAACCAGCCGGTCTCCAGACTTTAACCTTATTATAGAGCATGTCTAAGACGTTCTTGGGGTGATAAGTGCAACTCACAAACGTCCAGGGCCTGAAATGCAACGTTGCTGAAAGAGTGGGACCGATTACTACAGTAATACTTCAACTATTTAAATTCCTATATGAAATTACTGAGAGAAGCTTATATATATCATTGAAAATACCCTGTGAACAAAACACACTGTTAAACATTTTTCAATTCTGTTCTCTGTAATCACTGTTTCTTTCAAACATTCCTATTCCAATGATGATAGTGAACGATCATGCGTATTTATTATAACTGTTGCATGCTAATTTTGTTTGTATTACATCAGCCCATTTTTGATTTTCCTAATTTTTTAACAGTCTAGAGGTATCGGAAATAATCGACGAAAATATGAAAATTCTTTTAATTAGATCTTTTGTCGGCGGCATACAAGTATTTGATGTGTAAGAGACATGTTATGGTATGTTATATTTTTCTGAAGTCAAAACCAATATGGTTTCACAAAAAATTAATATTTGCCTCTCAGGCGACGGCTGGTTCAACAGTTGTACCCTAAGTCTTTATTTTTTTCTGTTATAAAAGTATATGTTGTATAAGAAACATGCTATGGTATGTTATATTTTTCTGAATACAAAACAAATATGGTGTCACAAAAAAATTATGTTTGCCACCCAGGAGACGACTGGTGCAACAATTGTACCCTAAGTCTTATTTTTTATTATAAAAGTATTTGATGTATAAGAGAGATGATAGGGTATGCTATATTTTTTGAAGACAAGACAAATATGGTAGCACAAAAAAATTACTATTTGTCTCTCATATATCAAATACTTTTATAACAAAGAAAAAAGACTCGGGGTACATATGTTGTGCCAGCTGTCTTCAAAAGGTAGCTCTCGGAACATAATTTTAAATTTATGAAATGAACTAATGTGAATGTTTTCTAAATTATCAAACCTATTATATCAAAAATTTATGTAAATTTAAAGGAAACGAGTGGTTATTAAAATTAAATTAAGTTAAAGCGAAGGTAGAATTGTAAGTAATTTTAACTATTCTTTCAATGTTTTATTTTCTTTATTCTTTATACTGAAGTCTGAAATCATTTTTTTCTAAGAAAAATTGATTCTGAATAATATATTAACAGTTTGTTTTAAAAGGCATTACAATGGGAAACATAGTTTATAAAAATGAATGAATGTTCGTTAAAAGAATTAAAATTTTAAATAGGTGGAATTATAGGAACGACAACGCACAAATCTAACTTATGAGTTTTTTGTGACTTGATTTTAGCTAGTTTACATAAAATTGGCTAAAATAAATGGTATTATTTTACACTTAGACATAATTAAGTAATTGTTGCTTGTTTGAAGATTGTCACAACGCAACCTACATATCAAAATTTATTTTTTTATACTTTTTTTTTCTCCGCAATTTTAGGATTCAGCCGAAACAAAATTAATATTTGTAATTAATATAAATATAATGATTAATTTATATTAATATCTGTAATAATTTAAATATAATAATATTTAAAATTAAGCTTAAAATGCGTACTAGGTAAAATTGTAAGCAATAGTGAAATAAAATTGAATTCATACTTTTTATACGCTTTTTTAAGAATATGCTATAAACTGTTTATTTATATGACTATTAAAATATGTTAATTTATAACTATATGAAGAAATTTTCCTTTAATAAAATCGTCAAATATTGTGAAAATTTATTAATATTAATCATTTTCACATATGTTACGTGATCGAAACAATTTTTTTTCTAGAAAGCAGTCTTCCTCATTATGGCAATATAAAGATGATTCTAGATATCTAAAACTACTTAACTAAGTATGTACAGTCTACAAATATAAAATTACAAAAAAGAAATAATAATAATAATATGCTCTAAATAACTTTTGATTTAATTATTAAACTTAATTATTTCATGTATTTTCATGTGCTAATTAATGAGGAGTCAATAAATCAGAAATTCTGAAAAAAAAAACATACTTTATTTGAAAAAAAAAATGCCTTTTTTATATATCGACTTCAGATTCTCAGTAAATAAATTATATAATAAGATGTTCTATTTTTAAAGTTTTACAGCACAAAAACTATTCAATTGATTTTGTATTAAATATTAGATTCCGCATGAAATTATTACATGCATTGAAATTATTATATTATGTTGAATTATATTATTATATGCAATTGTTATATCCGTATGAAATTATTGATATTAGATTTCGTATGAAATATTAGATTTTCCTCATTTAAAATAACATTATTTAAGGTTATGTAAAAAATTTCATGCCTTGGCTAAATAATTACCAATTATTTTTTTTCTTCATTAAATCATTTTTAGTAAGTAAGTCTTGTAAATGGATCATGAATTCCAGAGATATGGCAGAAAACATAAAAAGTACTAATAACATTAAAGTAAAGCATTTCCGCAACAGCCCGTTGTGGACCAGGGGGGTCAGAGATTTTAACGCTCCACACTTTCGTAACCAACGGTATTATTGTAGCAATGTGGTCAGCGCTGCGCACAGGCCGCCTTTACTTCCCTGGTGCCCATAGATCTGAAACTGGATGGGTTTCAAGCCGTCTCTGGTAATCGAACCCCAGTTTTTTACAATTACAGTTCAGTGACATGGGAAGAAAAATTCGACTGCTTTCTTAAACAGACATAACTCGCTACTATAATATTGAAAATCAAAAATATCTTTTTAGATTATTTCGGATCATCACTAGAATTTATATTCTAATTAGCTGCATTTATTACATATTTAGAACCATATTTTTCTAATTGCGACTACTTCCATGCATTGAAAATCAAAAATAATTGTTCGAAAAAATAGATGTTTTTTTTTCTTTCAGAGATAGTATGTTTTTGTGTCTTATTTTGTAACTCCGTAAATCGTTAGCATGAATTAATTAGCATACTTAAGGTACGCTTCTTGGGGATACTAACCCTCTTTCAGTACGTAAAATTCTGATCATTTTAGATCTGGAATTATTATTAAAGGTAGTTTTTTTCTCTTCTTCACTAGACTGTAAATCTAATAAAAGCTATAGACAAATTTTAGATGAAAAGCATCTCGTTAACAATCGAGAAATTTTGTCATCGATTGAGTTAAAGGTGTTAATCATCTTTACTCAACGAGGGTACACAGACAAGGAAAGGTATTTAAGTTAATTTTTATAGCAACTAATGTCTCTTTAATTTTGTTAAAGAGGGCTGTTATATCTTCCTCTTATTGGTCACATCTAGTTTCTGTGATAGTGCAGTTAAAAGGTTAACAGTTTTCGTGCATCGTAATGCTTTAACTAATACATGTTTTGTAAACATAAAACAAAAGAAAAAATTTATATTCCATGCGAAGTTATTCTGGTATGATTTTGTGATATTTATGTACTTGTTTGTTTCCTAAAAAAATTTATTGGAATTCAAATTTATGCACAAAAAAAAAATGCTGTGAGAGTTTCCCACATAAATATCTAAATAAACATTTTTACAAGCTGCCTTAATTTTATAAAAATACAAGCCAAAGAATTCGGTTTAACTCTATTATATCAGATCAATATATAACATCAAATATCACAGTAACAACTATTCCTTCGTTTTAAATTTCAATTTAATATCGAATTTGCACATCTTTTATAAAACAATAAACGAACGATCTTTTATGAAACTATAAATATGCATTGTTAATTAATGTACACAATCTGTGTATAAAGAATAATCCCCAAATATTCATCATATGAATGTTTGAGATTGCAGTTGTTGTTATTTTAGCAAATCTAACTACCTACTAATATTTTTGTTTTTGAATGATAAATGTAGGTAAAAAAAATGTTAAAAGTTTCAGCATGTAGTTTCATCTTGTTACAGTGAAAAGATATAGTGCATTTACTATGCAAAGGATAGGCCTGATTATTATATATTTCTAGCTTTATTGCAAATATTATGCTTGTATGCTAAAAAATATCCACAACCCTTTAATTGTATATGTATAAAAAAATTTTACGGTGCTTACATTTTTTTCCATTTATTTGTGCCAAATTAAAGTATTTGTCAAATGTTTTGCCCTTTTTTGTAGTTTGTTGAAAATCATTATTAGTTTGTGAGTTCTTATCCACGAGTATACAGGGTGTCCCAAAAGGTCGTTTACAAACTTAACATGCTGGTCTGTCATGTCATGATGAACAAAATTTACATGGGAACTTGTGTCCGAAAATTAAAACTGCGACCGCTAGAGGGCGATAATTGCACGAAANGCCATTCGCTATCCTAATCAATTGATTTACATTAAGTTGATTTAAATTATAAAAAAGAAATGGTTTAACTTCTCATTCCAGGGAAAAACAGTACAACAGAAAAATTTTAATAACAATTTACTCATGACTTTTAACAGTTTAAGTCAAGTTTTCTTGATGATGTGTTCTACAAAAACAAATTATTTTGACGGTTTAGTATTAAAAATAAAATATTAAAATTATATTTTAACGAGTTTGTTTTATTTTAACAACATAAAATTTTTATTAAATGTGACAACTATAATGTTCAATTTTTGCAAGTTAAGTTACATTTAAGGATGAACACCTTCAGTGCCCGTTTTTCACATGGTCTTAAGTAAATCAGACAAGCTTTGCCCCAAAAGAAATCATTTCGAAACTTTGGGAGAATATCTTTTGAAATTAATTTATAACCTAAGTACAATTATTAAGCAAAATTTTTTCCCATTTTTTTTTTCAAAAGTGAATTTTAAAGCATTTAAGTACAAATGAGCCCCAAATATAAAATGCGGAAGTTCATTTATTTTAAATAATGTTTAAAGCTAAGTAAACATTTTCTACTTTTGGCAATTTTTTAGATTAATTAAATTTATATGGTATTAAGAGCCTTACTACTTTTGTTCAATGTCGTTTTTATATTATTTCAAGTATATATGCGTATTTTTATGCGTATTTTTTTTCAAACAAATGAGATTCCCAATGAGAATTGTTTAACTAAATATATTTTAATACACTTTTACATAAAACTTTTATGTATATTTTATTTTTTGCATTTACTTAATTAATAAAAAAAATTCAACTTAATCCCAGGCTTTCACGGTTTTCTGATTTAAAAAATATGTTAGAATAAATTTAAATAGTTTAAAAGAATTTCAATTTTTATTAAAACCATTTTATGTGATGAAGTTGCCCTTGATAGTTCTTTTTCAAAATCTTCTTTAAATAATACTCTCATATTTGGATATTTTTGTTAATAATTACCTTAAAAGGTTAAAGATAAAAATATTTGTTAACTAAATTCTTTGTTATCTCAATAACGTACTGACTCTACGATAAGAAATAAAAAAAATGCGACTGCGTGATCAAAATGCGTAATAAAATATTTCCATAAGCGAAATCACAAACATTTCACATTTAATTTTTCATTTCAATGCATAATTATTGAGTATAGATTACAATGGATTTCTATTATGAATCTTCTCTCATTTATGTTAATTAATAATATACATTTGATTCGAAAGAACTTCATTCAGTGAATATTTTTTTATATATTCCTTATTACGCTAAGTGTGGACAGGATTATGTTGACAGTCAAATGTTTCTCCTCGGAGCATTTCGATGGCTTCGATACGCATACTTTATACGCTATGTCGATTCCTCTCTTCGGCATGATTAATAATCAAACAGCTTTTTGATGAGACTTCTCAAACAAATAATTCCATTTTGTTTGAATGGCCCATTTCCATTTTGAAGCAACTAAATGAGTCTTCTAAAATGTTTTAAAAAGAGTTTTGAACTAAGAATTAAATTTAAAACTCCATTAAATTTTGAAAGCCTTAATTTTTTTTAGAAATTTATTTATGCTACATTTAAGTTAAAGACTAACTCGTAGAAGGGATATTAAGACCTCTCTTACAGCTTCACAAATACGCCACCAGATACGGAACTTGCATCATCTAGCATAAAGCGCTTTCAGTGATAGCTTCACCTTATTTTCTAGAAATTTTTTTTTTTTAAATTAATGACTCACTTCATAAATTTATGCAAACTGCATTTAATCAAGCATACAAATTTTCTAATAAAATATATACTACATATTCTTTATAAGATTTTATCTTGAATGCTTACGCTATGCGTTAAGCGGCTTGAAGTTGTTTAACGCATTTTATATTCATTTTTATGTAGATAATGGCATCTTATCTTAGCGTAAAAATTTTTTACGTTGTTGTGTCTTATTTGTATTTATTTCTATTTTAATTAAAGGATATAGCTAATGATCAGCTTTTGCACTGTGTAATATAGCTGACATTACTTATGAAGCGAAGATACTCTTGTTTTTAAGCATTGCTTTATTTTGAAATCAATTTTATGTCTGGATTCGTGAGCGTCAGGTTGACTTCTAACAAGAGAAGAAGAAAAATCTTACATGTACGATTGAGATTGAATTATTCTTAATATATTCAAAGTTTTCAAACATAAATTGTGTGACTGTTACCTCCTTAGTCTGTTTTACGTTTCTATATACTAAAATTATTGACTGGTAAGTAGTGAGAAATAAAATTATTTCCTGAATCAAAAACACTTCACGATGGCGGTGTATATTCATCAAACGTATCCTCAAGGAGTAGATGTTGCATACCAAGATTTGGGAAATCGAGGTTTGCAACAACATCAAATGTACGCAGAGCCTGTTATTCAACAACATCAGATATATCGAGATGCTGCTGGGGTACAGCAACAAATATATGCAGAACATTTATTACCGCAACAGGTCTATAGAGAGGAAGATTTGCAACGGCATGCTCAATTATATCGTGTTGAAGATTTGCAACACACTCAAATATATCATGAGGTTCCTCAAGAAGCTCAGCCAGCAGCCCCACCCCCTCAATCCACTCCAGCACATGTTTGTGATATTTGCAATAAAACTTGCAAGTCAAAAAGTGATTTGCAATCACATTATGCTGGTCACACTGGGGAAAAAGCTCATATTTGTGATGTTTGCCACAAAGGTTTTACTCAAAAAAGTAGTCTTCAAACTCATTACTTAATTCATACTGGTGATAAACCTCATGTTTGTGATGTTTGCAACAGAGGGTTCACTGATAAGAGTACATTGCGTAAACACAGTTTAATCCACACTGGCCAAAAACCACATGTGTGTGATATTTGTCAAAGAGGCTTTGTCCAAAAAATTACACTACGAAAACATTACCTCACTCATACTGGAGAGAAAAACCATATTTGTGAAATATGCAATAAAGGTTTTGCTCAAAAAAGTACTCTCCGAACCCACTATTTGGTTCATTCTGCTGATCGAGAAGGTAAGAGGAAACCAAGAAAAGGTAAAGGTAAGAAAGGGGAGGACAGTAGAGACGAAATTATTGTACCTGTACCTGATGAAGAGGCAGTTATACAGCAAGAGCAACAGATGCAGGAACAGGCTGCTGAAACAGTAGAAGTAGAACAAGGTGTTGATCTAGAGCAAGCACAAGTTCATGTTGTAACAGCAGTCCCTGCTGATCAAGAACAAGTTGATATAACATTTGCAGACAACAGTGGCTCACATGATCCAGCTTTGCTGCAAGAACAGCAAGTATTTTTAGAAAGTGCACAAGCATTTGCAACGATTGATCAGCCACTCACACACATGGTGCATCAAGCTTTGAATATTGGACCTCATGGCATTCAGCCTCTAATGACTGTGGATCAGCAAGGAATTGCCCACCTTGGTCAACAAGCTTTGTCTCAACTTGGTCATCAAACTTTAGCTCAAATTGGACACCAGACTTTTGCTATTATTGGTCAACAGCCTTATACTTCGATTGACCAACAGCCTCTTAGCCATATTGTTCATCAAACCATGGCTCCAATTGTAGCTGATCAAAATGTGCCTCCTCCTGGTTTTCCCTTGACCTGCGACCAATGTCCAAAACAATTCAAACGGAAATGTGACCTCCAGAAACATTACATGATCCATACCGGAGAGAAAAGCTTTTTCTGTGAGACATGTAATAAGGGTTTCATGACAAAGAATGCCTTGCAGAAACACATATTTGTGCACACAGGTGAAAAACCTCATTCCTGTAGTATATGTAGCAAAGCATTTACAAAAAAGAGCAGCCTTGCTACACACTATCTTATTCATACAGGCGAGAAACCACACAACTGTAGTTATTGTGATCGTAGATTTAAAGATAAAAGTACATTGCGCAAACATCTTCAAATCCATACTGGTATAAAGAATCATGTTTGTGAAATTTGTTCCAAAGCTTTTGTACAAAAAAGCACCCTTCGTAAACACCAAGTTACTCATACAAAAGAGAAGCTTTTTCAGTGCGAAACCTGCCAGAAACGATTTACTCAAAAATATAGCTTGCATGTTCATTATCAAATTCATAAACGCCCTAGACCATTTCGGTGTGATCAGTGTGAGGAAGCATTTACGAATAAGCTTGAACTAGATAAACATTACAGAATACATACTGGTGAAAAACCGCATACCTGTCACATTTGCAAAGAAGGATTTGATGAAAAGGCACGATTAAATCGTCATATGTTAGGACATACTGGTGAAAAACCTTTTGTATGTAACATATGTCAAAGAGGTTTTAAAGACAAATGCAATATGCAAAGACATTATCTGACACATACAGGGGAGAAGCCTTTTGCTTGCGATTTATGTGAAAGACGATTCAGGGAAAAGGCAAAACTTCTTAAACATAAAGCTCGCCGTCATAAGAGCAAGCCTAAGACGGTTAGAACGCCACAGCCTATTCGTAAAGTAATCATTATCAAAACCCTTTCTACTGATTATTATTATAATCGAAAATACTACTAAAGTCTATTGTTTTTGTCGCTCTAAATATTGAGATGCTCATTATTTTGGATAAACGAATCGTGCATGTCCTGTGTGTGAAGTTTCAGTTTATTAGCTTTTAAGTGTGAAAGTATTTGCATAATAGCTATAATTTTCTATTTTTAATAAAATATTCCTAGACAAATAATATAAATCTATTTATTATAGGGCATTAAAATAAGGTGCATTCATATTTAACACTTCAACTGTCTAAAATTCTGTTTAGAATACTATCTGTCTATCAAAAGATTAACTCCAAAGATTGTTTTGAAACTTCTTTTTTCTTATAAATATCTGTTTGTAATGTTTTTCTCACAATGGGAAATATAATGTAAAATATATTCTACTCAAAATATAACCAAAGTAAATATATGTATAACTCCAATATAAAATAGATAATTCTTATGAATAAACTTTAATTTCCCTAAAAATTAAAAAAATCTATTAATGAATAGGTTCCATGGCTTTGGCTATTGTATAATTCATACACATTTTGAAGGTATGGCTGTTACTAAAGTCAATTATTTGAGTATATTTTAGGTGTTACAGCGAATGGCCGTTATCTCATTTACAAAATCGGAACTGCCACTTTCTGCTGTACCTACAATACAGAGTAATAATCTATTATAACAGTATTCTCTAACATTTCTCATATCTGGGGCTTATCTTGTGGTAGACAGATAGTAGAACTAACCACAGAAGGCTTTCGTGTGTGTTACTTTTTTTTAATGCAAGAACGGTGTATATATATATAGCAGTACAGACTTTTGTGAGTGTGCTTTTATTTTAGTCCAAAGACTGAATCGTTAAAAGGTTAAATTTTGTGTTTTGATTATTAATCTCATTTTATTTTTTAAGAAAAATTCTTTTTTTTCTTTTGTTGCTTAAATCTATAATATGATAGCGTGAATTGTAAATTTAAAAATTTGGTTATTATCTGACTTAATAAATGTTTGTTATGAAAAAGATTTCTTTAACTGAAATTGTAGCATTCAAAAATATTTATCAGTATTCTTATGCTTTTTGTTATGTGTATTTCTTTTTTATTTCTAATGTTAATTTGTAATTAACATCAAATTCATTTTCTGTTATTGTATTTTCATAAACTAAAATTTCTCATTAGTGTTGCGGGGTAAGAACATAATTTATTCAGCAATATTTTTCATTGATAAATTTTAGATATTCTTTTAATACAATATTTCTCTATTCCAATAATCAAGTAGAATTTAAAAAGAAAAAAAACAGATTAAAATAAAATATTCATGTCCTAGTTTTATTGCTGCTCTAAGCATTGACTTGTGATTTCTTTAAACAAAAATTATCTTTAAATATCTCTTTAATTTTTTAACTAAAATTTTCTTTGCACTTCCTCTAGCCACTGAGTTCGTAGATTTAACTGAAATTTCTATTCTTATATGCTTTTTTTTGCTCAACAGAATATTTTTTATTTCTTTTTTTAATTGTGATTGGCACCAAAGACGTGTTAAAAAACAACAGACTTGAAAAAAATATATGTAAAACAGATATTCTCGAAAAAGCAGAGCTTGTAATTTGACTCTGAAACGAATTAATCGGCTTGAACTAGTTCTACTAGCACTGTTTTATAAAAAACGAGCACTATTCGCTTTGTTTATCGACTCAAAATTGTGTGTGTGTGTGGGGGGGGGNTTGAATATTTTCTTAAAAGCAGTGCTAGCGGTATCATTCTAGATTGCTAAGACTGGCACAATTTGTTGTTTTTTGAAGTTGAAATTTTTTTGTTTTTTTTTGTTTTAAATGTAGGATGGCTTCACTATTTATCCTTGAAAATTAATTAAATGATAAAGTAATCATAAGACAGTTTCATAAAGATCTATTACAGAAATGATATGAATTTTGCTTGAAAACAAGATTGAACATCAACTTTTAATGAATTTGAATTTTTCATTATCCAATGAATTGAAATTCTTATTTATCTTTTATATAAAATGTATCATGTACATAGGATTATAAACGAAAATGTGAAATCAATGATTCGAAAATCAATTTACAAGTTTTTTAGTTAGTGTACTAATCTTTATGTATATTATTGTTTTATAGGTTTGTATTATTTCACAACCTCTTGAGTTATAAAATAAAATTAGTGATCTATGCTTGACATAGTTCGAATGTGTATAATATTTAAGATTTATATATTATTTTAGTAAAAGAATTAACTGTTTTCTTTTCACTCTTATGAGCAGTGCCTTTCATTTTTTTTCTTCTCATGGTTAAACAAATGAATTTTTTTCCCATCTAAAGGGGTCGTTCAAATATTACTCAAGCATGTAGTATGAGGATTTGCATTTGCTTGTTTATATCAATAGTGCATAAGTCATGGTGACAATCTCTTAAATAATGTAATTCCTTAAAAAATTACTAAAATAAATATATATTTTAAAAAAAAAATTTTTTTTTCGGACTTAGCCATTTGCTAACAAAGAGGAAGAACAGGTCCAGTAAAAGATTTATTTTTGTAATATTTGAACAGTCCCAACTATTGCATTTCACATAATTTATGTGTCATTTCTCTATATGAATTTTTATTTTTTTTGTAAATTTATGCATGTAATATATTACTAAGTAGTTCTTTCAAAAATAAAAATAATTTCTCTGTACTTTGTCCATTCCATTTTTTTAATTAAAGCTATTTCTGGAAACATTTTTAAAATCAGATAATTTTCAAGTTTGTTACATCAAAAGAGGTGTAACTTTGAATTTATTAATAATATATAGTTTGTCTATAGAAAGAACACCCCTCACTTCTTAGGCTGACTGCAATGGAAACAAGGAAGAAAAGAAGAGAGCTTCTCTTTCCCGATTTCGGTTCTCTTGTGAACCCTAGCTAAAACCTGTCTTAAATATTGAACCAACTACTTGAAATAAAACCTCATAACCGTAATCATAAGTGCTTCAGAGGAATGACATGAAGAGTTCTTTCCATAAACAGAATAAAGCAGTGTTTGTTTCATGGAATAAATTTAAAGTTGTATCTTATTTCTCTCTTTAAAATGTCATTAGCTTAAAGAGCTTTTTTCATCATGTCAGTATGGTGGCTTGCAGTCGGAATTTGGAAATGGTTCTTATGGATTAGCCAGGAAATCAGCATCAAGTCTTAAACTATTCAGGCATTCGATTTTTTTTAAAAATCTATGCCTTGTATGTTCCCATAATATGCAACATACATTGGAAGAAAAATTCATATTTCATTCACAAAACTCAATTTGATCATAATGAAATATTCCTTAAATAGATTTTGAATAGAATATAATCCAAAACTTGAGTGAGCAAAAATCTGTCATGAATAAAAAATGTACTCATTGTAAAATTACCTTAGTGATAATTTAATATAAAGAAATACTTTATTTGCCTCAGTGGCATTTTATTTCTTACTAAAGCAAGTTATTCTTACGACAAATAACTTTCCTTTTCCATACAATTGTTTTCCCTTTGTTAAGTGAAAATAGTGAATTATGCAGAATTCAATCAGCTCTTCTGATTAGTAAAAAAAGTAGTACAAAAAAAAAAGTGTTATAGTTACACAAATCCCACTGAAAAAAATATAGTTAAATTTTTAAATTATCCTTATTTATATATTTCTCCTATTCACCATAAATTCTGTTATTTTTTATTTTGTTAGGTTGCCTTAAGTAATGTTGAATAATGTAATATGTTAAATAATAAAATTTTGTATTTTCATGCAAATAAAAACTTAGTTATAAAATAACTACTTAGATTTATTAGATATCCTTGCTAAAATGGCTGTAGAATTTTACACCAAAACTGCTTTATGGCACTGCATACCCATTAATACTTTACTTTTTTGAGCAGCAGCATGTGTAATACGATACTCAAGTTATGGATCGAGAGGTGTTTGAAGTAGTACAACACGTAATGGAATCGTGATGAGTTTTCCATCTTATTTCATGACACAGATGGAAATACTTCAGCCTACTACACTGAAATGTCCCAAACTCCTACTTAGGATGGTTTGTGCGGTTCAGGGGTGATTGTGAGCCCAAGTCTTCCAGAAATTTTCTTGGAGTAAAAAAAACATAAAGTTTAAATTGAAAAAAAAATTAAGCAAGGTCTTCTCCTCAATATTTCTCAGTTTACTTAAAATATATTTAAAATTTTACACATACCTATGATGACCTGGAGAAGTAATTGAAAATTACAAATGTCTTTCTCGAGTTTATGATTATAACTATTTACTGATAATATTGAATATTAATCTTGAATATAAGCTTATAAAGTAGCTCTCCTTACAAACAAATAAAATAAACTTTCTTTTAAAGTTCCACCTTTGAAAATTTGATTTCCAAAAACTTTTGTGATCAATGATTTTTTGAAACGTCTGAACCTTTGATCTCCAGAAACTTCTGGATCACGGTTAGAGAAAAATCCGGATTTTTTCCGGAGCACAATCAGCCCTGTGCAGTTAAGTGGTTGCCAGGTAGATTTTTGATCCACTCTAAAAAGATTTCAAGACTGAACTTATTTTTTGTTCAATTAATACTGTCTTGCATTGTTTACCAGAAATTTATAGCTCACAGCACTAAAATTTACCTTTCCAAGATAATAGCCTACATTTTAAATCGACCATTTAGTTAAAAAAATTTTATAAGTTACAAACAAAATTATTACAATATCAAAACATGTTGAAATTATTCTTTAATAAAATCATTACCACAGTTTTGTAAAACAAAAATGATAGCTAACCTTTTATATCTTTTTACAACTGTTACTGAACGACTAATATTTTCCTGAAACCATTCACCGTTATTTATTTATTATCCAAGCACTATTTTTTTTTAATAAATAATCTTGATTAAATTTTGGCCAGTATGTCAATATGTTAGGTGCAAAATACAAGCTTAAGCAGATTTAAATTCAGCAATGGTACCCATGTTAAATTAGTATTAAATTTCAACGCATATAGAGCTTTCAAAATATCATGGGCATCTCTTGAGAAATAGTCAAAATTGAAATCAAAGTATTTTTTGGTGAGCAACTGCTTACATATACTAGTGAATATTTAAACACAATTGTACTTTGCATTAACTTTGATTGTTTATAAGTTGTACAAGATAATTTTAATACATAGTAGAAGTCACATATTTTAATAGGAAGTTAAATGCAGGCACCAGATAATAAATTATATTTTAATTAAGTATTAGTATTTCTTATTTTAACATCTGAAAACTTCTGTATTTCCATTAAAAGAATTTTTTTTCTATTTACTTTAATTTGGAATAAAATATGAACACACTTAAAATATTCAGTAAATTATTCAAATAATGATCTGCAATTATTGTTAGACACAGTGTTTCATAAAAATGTCTATTTTATTGGTAATTAATAAATAAAAAGTTAAGTATGTCGACGTGAAAACTTCTCCAAATATATTCCACTCTTGCTCTAATTCATCATTACAAGTCTTGCAAAATGAGGGGAGAGTTTCAGACTAGATACAAATATATTTATAATATGCTGTTTATTTCCAATTACCAAAGGGATGAATAAAAGAAAAGATAACAAAAATAACTATTTAAGTCATAATTGTAATAAGTCATGTAAAATGTATTATGCGATTGGATTTAAATTATAATGAATACCCAATTTGCTGTAAAGTCATTGAATAAATGGAATTTCCAGTAGAGATGTAACGAATAGTGATTTGGCCGAATATTCGACCAAAAAAATCTGCTGAATGGCACATTTTTTAAAATTATTAATAAATATTATCTTTTATATAGAAATAATTTTAGTTATTATTGAAAAATAATGAAAACTTGGCTGTATTATTGATAAGGGGTAAAAAGAAAAAAAACTTTCATAGATAAGATTTAAAAAAAAGCATTTTAAGTTTAACAAAAAAAGAAATAGAAAATATATCCCCTTAATTCTTAAAACAAACCATTAATGCTAACAGCATTTTTTGGTAGAAAAAAAAAAGTTTGATAGAAATCAAAACAAAAATAGTTCTCAATTTTTAAACGATGAAAGATTTAGCGATGAAGGGCTCAACTTTTTAATTTTGCCATGCATGCATGCCATGGGGTAGCAGCAAAGTTTTTTAAAATTTTAGGGTAATTTTAGGAACTTTTTTCAAAAAATTTTAGGTAAATTTTAGGGGTAATATATGATTTTGCTAGGATAAAAACAGATCACACGGTAGTTTATTACATAACAGAAGATTATTACAATTCATCCACACATATCATAAATAATTGCAAGCCATAAAATAAAGCTCTGAAATTTATTAAGTCAAGAATGAAATCTCTAAAGTGTAAAAATGAAATTTCAACTTTACATATTACCTATCAGAAATTAAGTGCATAATTCAGGAACAGGCAAAAGTGAGAATAAATCAAGAGAAAAAATAAATTAACACCAACTTGGATTTTTATTTAATTTTTACCTTCTTAATCAAAACTTTATTATTACCCTTTACCTTACTTTATTAAGAAAAACTATTGTGTGATATTATTAGATTTCAAATCAGCAATTTATATTAGAAGTTAGAGAAAAACAAATTAATCATGATCATTTTTCTAATATATTCTTGATATGATTTGTGAGATTCTTTTACTGCCCTCAATAGTGTTGTGGTGATCTTCAACACTCCTCCATAATTTCGAATGGTATCTTTGATTAGTCTAAGAGACATAATAGTATTCTCATGGTGACTCACATTAAGCATTGCTTTATTTATCGAAAAACCTCTCTCAGGATCAGAATTCCCATGTGGAAAATTAAAACAGTTTTAATTAATGTAGTTAAATTCTTACATTTTAGATTATTGCTTTTTTATTTATATTTAGCCTATAACTCTAATTTTTTAGGAACACCAACAAAATTTTATCAGATTTTTAGGAATTTTAGGGTTTGCACATAGTTTTAGGAATTTTAGGGGGAATGCGACCCCTGGCCATGTTTTTAGAAAAAAAAAGCGACTATAAAAGAATAACGTTTATTAGAAACACTCTTTAAAGAAAGGATAAAACAATGATAAAAAGAAAAGGTTTATTTTCTAGTCCAGCTGTCATAAGAGAAGTGAAAAACTAAGGAATTACATGAGATATTCTGGATAATGTTTTTCTGCCAAATTATGGATTTACTATTCAAAACTTTCTTTAAATATGGAATTTTTTTTTTTAGCAAAGGGTATAGTAGATGGAAATAAATACAGTCTACAATAGTAGAATAGGGATATTTTGGTTCTATCTGTTAAATACAAATTAGAAATCCCCAAAGGATTTAACAAGGGAGCAAAAAAATTTCAGAGCCTGATATTTCCCCAATTTTTTTTTTGTTTCAATAACCTTTACAAAATATTTCTCTTGAGTTAACAATCTAAATTATATGCTGAAAGTGGAATGTTTACGCACATTACACAAAATTTGTTTCATAGATAAGTAACATATTATTTAATTTAAGCAACATTTTTATTTATGTGTACAACTGAGTTCATGTGTTTGTATTTAGTTCATTAGATTAAATTCTGTTTCCAAAAATCAGATTAATAAATTACGTAATACTTCAGAAAACTTAGCATAAAAAAGTTGCCAAGTTAAGTTAATAAATCATTAATTTGATTTTCTGATATTTGAAATTTTTTTTAGCTGGTTAACCATTAAGCTATGTGATGTGATACCAAAAATTCAAAAAACTTAAGTATACTTTAGTGAGTGTGCTTTCTTTTATAATTTAAATCCTGATTTCTTCATCACCCTTTATAAAATTGTTTAATAATTTAAGTGGCAAAAGGGCAACATCGATACTAATACAAAATCATCACAGTTCATTGAAACAATATACAAGTAAGAAAAAGACAAATTTAAATCAATAATTTTATTTTTTCATTTTTACACCTTCATTCCTATAAAAGAAAAGAGAAAAAATTAGGTTTGAAAATAACAAAGGTACAAAATAAGACAATGCGGAGATACAAGATGCAGCTTATTATTTCTAGAACTGATAATCTAATAAATCCTGAAAATAATTACTCTGAGAATTATAGACCCTTAATATGTTTCTAAGTAACATCCATCTACTACTATAAAACACATTAAATGAGTGTGCAATTCACACATATTCAGGAGTTATTTAATCACTCTTAAGAATAAATAGCTACACCTTGTATGATTTTGGAAAAAACTCTTAAAAAAAAAAAAAAAAAAAAAGACAAAGATTTAATTAGTAAATTATATATCAAATGATTAAATTCGAATCAGAAATGAAAAAATTATTTTATATTATTCTTTCTTTATTAATCATAAACACAAACTACATTAAAAATTTTAAAAAAAAAGTTATATAAACAAAATCAAATAAGCATAAATGAAATATGCTAATTAAGCAACAAATTTAAAAGTTATGTGCATCACTGTCTTGTTTTTAATATCTAGATCTCACAACAAACAATGATTCTGTATGTCCGAAAGATTCAGTAAATAAATCATTTTATAAATTATTCCCTAGCTAAATAAAAAGTCACTCTAATAACTAATTCTAGTTTCCTAATAACTAAACTTTTCAAGATATTTATTTTTCATTTTCCATTATTTCTATAATTTGATCTTTCTTTTTGAATTCCATTTTTTTCCCCCCTGAAGAATTTGCAATTTCTGAGCAACCAATTTCAATTTGCTCTCCCCATGCACCAGTTTTTGGAATGACTCTTATTACTCATTCCAGCAAAATGACTTACTTTTAACACTATATGTTTTACTTCATTTTAAAAAATTTTTTTTTATTCGCATAAAAAAAGTTTTTTTTTTTTGTATAATTTACATAACTGCAAAGAAGAAATGTGGGTCCACTATAAATGAACCACCAATTTCTCTTTAACGATATGAAACATTAAATAGTAGTCCGAAGGGGACCACTAAAAACATTCACTGCATTCGTGTATTCATTATACGAAGTGAGACTAGAATTGACATCATATAATGATTTTAACATTACCCTTCATTATTTATTTGGATTTAAACTTGCACTAAAATCAATGATGACAATCTTACACAATATTGCTAACATTTTATATCATTTAAAGATTATCCATTAAACACATGAACCTGTCTCATAGTATTTTGCCTAATTTTTTAAAGTCTGACACATTTACTTAAAAAATATATTCTTAGAGCACTGAAACTTTATTATATTATATAAACAATAAATATCTCATAATTAATAAATAGTCGAATCATTACATTCCTAGTTTTGAAATAAATACATGCAATTAATCTTTTTATATACCCTAGTAAATATTCACAATTGCTATGATGTGGGAAAATGACACGAAAAGATTCAACATGTGAAAAGATGATTAAAAATTTCTTTAGTATCCTTTAACAACGCTCAAAATAAAAAATAGTTTTTAAAAGTTCAAGGTTAATTTAGTAATAAATTTGGCAGAAAGGCAACAAAACAGAAATTCATCACACTGAAATTGTTAAGGAAAAAATATGTTACCTCAGGTACTTCCAGTTCCCCATTATCTATTTGTTTTATCAGGTCATGAGGATGACTACCATCTATTGTGCACCCTACAGATTGGCTAGTTCCAAGGATTTCTTTCACTGTACCAGAAAGCTTTCGTGCCATAGATCGGGGCTGCATTGTCCTTGCAATGTTAACAACATCTTCAAATGTTATATTGCCATTGTGTTTAACTAAAAATATTAAAAAAATTTTAGTAATGTTGAATAATTAAAAATTACAAAATCAACAGAACTAATCCATCATTTGGAAATAACAATTTTTTTTATTTGCTTCCTCATACAATTGAACTTGGCTATTATGAGCTTGTCATTGCACAAAATTTCTGATTATCAACTCGCTATTAGTGACTGAATATTTAGAACTAGCGAGTAAGTTTAATCTAATAAAATGTTAGGTTTCAAATGAAGCCATACCTTTCCCAGAGTTGACTTTTTAGTAGAAAAATGTAAAAAATAGAGAGCAATAGTTTCAGACGAGGTGTTTGTGTACATTATCAAATATTTTCTAAGCAATTATCTATCTGCACCAGCAATATTTTTTGGAAGCAATGTATTGAAATAGGTTATTTATTTTTTACTGTTTAAAATAATAAATAGGAAAGCCTTTTAAAATAACATATTTTATGATAATTTTAAATGTTTTGGGTTAATCGCCCTACAGTCATGCAAGGGTATAAGAATACCTGATCACTTAAAAGAGTTAAAACTTATTTTTCAGATAAAATATACCCTTAAACTTTTACCTGTAAAAAAATTTTGAATGGAAAATTCATGTAAAATATTTATGTTACACAAACCTTAAATGAAATCTTCTTTATTTAACAGTTTAAATTCCTTCTTATGAGTAGCACTTTAAATTTACTTTTATAAATCTATTAAATCAAAATCTACAAATCTATTAATACAAATCAAAATCTTTGTAATATTCTAACATGCATGTTAGTACATTCAAGAATTGTGTAAAACAAAGTAATTACTTCCTCCTTCATAAAATAAAAAGTTACATTTTCTTTTATCATGAAAGCTGGAACAATGCCCAAATTAACTTTGCACATTGTTCAATCTTAGTTCACTAGAAATTCTTTTTTTAATTGGGAAAACTAACATAATGCAGAATAAAAAAGAGACAGGATAAATTTTTATCTAATGAACAAAGAAAGCACTACTTTGTATCTGATTTTATAAATTAAAACATCAAATGGTCTAATTAATCAGCATATATAACGTCAATCACTCAAAACATTAAGACTGAGGCTAAGTACGTGAAAATCCGATTAGGTCATTATTCAGGCTGAGCTAACGATGTTGTGGGAATCTTAATTTTGTAGCAAATTCTGAACATTCACCACCCTTTTTAAAGTTTCAATTTTGAATGAAACACAGAATTAAAAATTTTGAAAATATTGAATAATTATTTTTTGACAGTTGTAGTATATCTAAATAACAAATATGTCACTGCTAAAATATTGATAAAAAATAGTGCATTTTCTACAGAAATATTAATTGAAAATTTAAAGAAATATCATTTTAATTGTATTTAGCTAACTTTAAAGCTATGAAAATTCTGCTCATATTAATAAAGCTATAAAATAGATAAGAACACATAGTTAGATAGAATTTAACTATTAAATAGATAAGAACACAAACCATTAAAATTGATATTAAAAAAAGGTAAGGAAAATGTTTGAATCTTTAGCTATTACTTTGATCAACTAAACACCGATTGCCATGAATTAAGACAAGAGGAACAAGATCATTTACTGACCTAGCTCACAGAATCTGGCTACAAAACATTTGAGAGTAATCAATAGAAACAATGTGAAAATAGAGCAAGGTAACAGAAGCAGTTTTCATAACGAAAATGCTTCAGAAGAGTGTATAAGTGTTTAGTGAAAATGTTTTGTCATTGCCACCACATATCATGTGACAAACTAATCACCAAGACCCAAACTTTGATTTAACTCTTTCTTAAAATAGTTAGAGAGTAAAAGTGAAATGAACCCGATAACCACACACTAAAAGCATTTCATCAATTAGCTTGTCCTCCATGCTAAAATAATAAATTGTTTAAAAAAGTGCAAGAAAATTTATGAAAGCTCAATATTGAATATTCACATTTTTTTCTGGCAATGACGTAAGTGGAAATCTAATAGACCCTATATACTATACATTCTTTTTCAAAATATTCTTATCACTGAGAAACATATGAATTGCGACACCTGATTCTTTCCCAGAATTGAAATCTGTAAGCTCACACGTTGCCATCACAAAAAACTTTGTACGACATAAGTTGAAACAATAATTAAATCTAAAATTTTTTTGTATATCATACTATGAAAAATTAAACAACAATTTGTGTCATCTTTCATAGAAGAAATTAATATTTATTTTGCTACTATTACTACTCTTAACAAAACAAAGTCTGATAAGAGTGAAAAAAGCAGCATTACTTTATATTGAATGCTTTCTTAATGGCAAATGAATCTGCATCAGTCTTACTAGTCTGATACATGATTAAATTGTGTATAAAAAATTGATTTAATAACTTTAATACAACAAACAAAAAACCTTTTTTTAATTAATTTAAAGCATAAAAAATGTGAAACTATTAGATTCAATAGAAATCCGGAGAAACTTAATCTAATCAACTAAATTGAGCCAGACCACTAACTTGGACAAAAGTTATCTATCAAGTCTAATGTAAGTATTAAAAACAAAACACTACTACATCAATTCTTATTAAAACTCAAACATAAGTAACATATTCAATGTAAATTAACAACAAACTTTCATATCTTAAAACCAGGGTTGGCAGGTTTTTGACATGTGACAGTTTTTGACAGTTTAAACCATGGTTTAAACCGTCACGTCAAAAACCTCACTGTCAAAAATGTCGAAAATGTCAAAAACCTATATTCATATGTGAAATTTAATTAATACATAAAATTTATATATTTTTTATAAAGGATAGTGTTTCTAAATATGTTCTAGAAAAAATAAATTTAAAATTTTGAAGAAACACTTATATTTTGAATAGTAACCAAAATCTTGTACTTTTGAAAGCTCACATCTTTTGTAATATTATGTATTCATTTTCATGTGTTATTGAAAATCTGCAGTGATATTATTAAGAAATTTATTTATAACCAAATTTAGTGTATAGTATAGATTATACTAAAAATTAGACATTTTTAAAGATAAACATTAGCAGTTTTGTACATTAGACATCTTTTAAAGAAAAATCTTTTTAATATTCTTTTAAATCTTCTTAATAATCTTTTTAACATAAGACAATACAAATTTAAGTGCTTTCTGTTAAATACACAGAGTAGTTAGTGTCGATTTACAGTATATTCAGCCTATTCATTTACTATGCTGAAAATTTAGTTTATCCAAATACTTGTGAATTTCATTTTGCTGAATACTATATACATAGTTTTGTTGAATATCTAAATATTCAGCTGTTGAATAATTACTTCTTGCTTTCAAGATATGCATTATTTGTATTCTTAATACAAGTGGGGGAAAAAATTAAGAGGTAAAAATTGTTTTAAAATGATAAGTGTAATAATTATAAATAAATATAATAAACAATATGAATTATATTTATCATTATTCACAAATATAACTACTTTTAAATTCAAATTAACATACTGGATAATAAAGATATTCGGTATAACATTAAAAAATTTTTTTTATACACTTGTATCAAGTTTGTATTTATACAACATAACTTGTAAGTTCCTTATAAATATTAGTTATATGTTCCTTATATGTCAAAAATGCATAGTAATAAACTTTTAATTTTCTTAAGTATCAAAAAAAAAAAAATTTTTTTTTTAAATATAAATATTTAAACAATTTTTGTGCAAAATTTTTCTGCACATGCATTTGAATATAAATTTCTGAGATTTTAAATCTGTTATTTTACCTTAATTTTAATTAAAAAATATTTTAAAACCTGCTGATTACCTATAGTATAATTAAATTTCAATATAATGCATGGCAACTGTTGGTAGTTTTGAAGTTTATATATTTTCTTGGCAAACTTCAGTTTTTGACATTTTTGACGGGTTTTTGACGGTTTAAACCAGTATTATACCCTTGTCATGTCAAAAACCACTTTTTGACGTCAAAAACCCAACCCTGCTTAAAACTAAAATATAGTTTTATACAAATATTTTTAAATATAACATTTTTAATAAAAAATAAAAAAAAATTTAGGAAAATTTTATGTCTTTTAACTTAAAATACCACTCTTCAGTTCAGCTCTGCAACTTCCCAAATATGTACACATTGTTTTGTTTTCACAAATAATTAGCATAATTAGCACAGTTTAAAAATAATTAGCACAAAACATTACCATGTTTAACTTTCTTTCGGTCTCTGGGAGGTTCTTTTAGAGCCTTGATTATGAGAGATGCAGCACTGGGACATACTTCAATGTTAGCCTGTCTGTTTTGAATGATTAGTTTAACTGTTATTTTAAGTCCTTTCCAGTCTGAAGTTGCTTTAGCAATATCATCTCCTACTTTTTTTGGAGACTGGAAAAATAATATAAAGAAATTATTATACAAGTAACAATGTAGAACACAATACTTGTTCAAAAATTATAAATTGAAGGCAATAGAAATGTAAGCTACTGTAAAGCACAGTCGGACAGCAATGCAGCTTTAAACTAACAATTTAAAATAATTAACTAGTGTAGGAAATTTTATAATGGTCTTTTGAGCTAAAGAAACAATTTGTACGGTGAAGCTCCGCTGTCATGCATATATTAATAATCACTTTCAGTACAATCATGTACAAAAATAGAACATTCTTTACTGGCTCTGAGCTACAATGCTCCTTAATATTATATACTAGACTAATAGATATAAAACCTTTAACATACATAACACATAGAGTAGAGCTAAATCAAGGTCTATAGAAAGCATATAGAGGATACTTCGGTATTGTGATTTGCTGCGCCATCTACAATTGCCAAGATGCCAAATAGATTTCAAATTTATTACAGAAAAAACATGCAGATGTTTGACCAAGGGTGGCTTCAAGTTAAAATTTTCAAGTTGATCCTGTTCCCTGATTTTTTTTTTTTAGTTTCTTTAGAGCTACTGCCCAGAAGTTGCCAAGACTTATTATTATTCTACCAGAAATCACAATACGGATATCACCAAAATATATAAAGTCTATAATCAAGTCTTGGAAACTTCCTGTCAGCGGCCCTTAAGAAACCAAAAAAAAAAAAAAAAATCACAGAGAAGAACCATAAAAGGTATAACTGTGTAAGTGGCAACTTGGCACAACAGATCACATTACGGAAGTATCCCCTTTTAACAAATCGTATTGGTAAGAAGAAACCGTTTTGCGAACCAAAAACTTTTTTGCAAACAATTAAAATCCAATTCTAGATCATATTTCACTCACAATAGAAATTGTCTACTAAACTTTCCTTTAAACAGTAAAACCTTAGCTGATCAAGTAAAATTGAATTAGCAATTTGCTTAAGAAAAACATTAACAAAGTTAACATTTGACAACAGATTTTATAAAAAAGTGATAAGGACCAAAATCTCTAAACGAGATAACAACAATAAGGCACATTAAAGACCTATCATAATAACAAATTTCACAACAGCTTAACTTACCAAACCAAGTGGACCAACTTTTGGAGCAAGAGACGACGTTGCTCCAACTTCTCCTCCAACAACTCGAAGATATACTGCAGGGGAAAATACATTAATAGTATTACAATATAGCTTCAGTTACATTGAAGCTTATAAGAAACGATTACTAATAATATATAGACAATTTTTAAGAATATTAACTTTTTCTTTATGAAAATAAGAAATCAGTACGTTAATAATTAGATAGAAAATTTGCCAATTTCTAAACATTCTAATAAAGAGAACAATTGTCTCGAAAATGTAACTTTCAACGATTAATGGTAAAATTCTGAGTTTACACGGATATATTTAGGAATTCAGCTTTTTATTTCGATGTACGGAATATAATGTATTGACTTACCAGTTTTAATTTCTGCTGGATCAAACTTAGGTGGCATTTTTAATAATAGTACAAGTTATAACTTTAGAGAATATTAATAACAATAATGGATTAATTCAGATGGAAATAAACTCCAATTTCCCTGAAATCCTCGCAACAGCGCTATGCTTTTTACTTGTTGTGATTTTAATGAAAGACAGTCGCAGTCACAAATAGACAATCGAGGTTTGGTTGGCTATAGTGGATTGGCACGGTGCTGTAAGTGCGCTGTTCAATTTTAGTATAAAAACACGAATAGAAAAGCGTGAAATAACAAAATAGGAAATAAATAATTGTCGCTACAGTTTTAGCTTAAAAACTATTAAAATTAGCTGAATAATTACAAGAACAAGAATTTTTTAAATATTGCAATGATAATTCTTAATGGATTGGCAACAAACTGCTTCAATCAATAAATGCTTGATTGATGATTATCAGTTATCAAAAGTTGTTTACCCGGACAGAAATCAAAGCGGAGTGAATCGTGATTTAGTGTTACAGAACCAGAAAGAATTGTAGCGATTTAGCATTTTATCAAATTCTATTTAATATTTATACCTGGTTTTGTTATCTTAATTACGGCTATGTTGGACATACGACCAAACAATAGTATATATGTAAATAATTTAAATGAAAGAATAAAGAAGGAAGGTATTCTGACCATTCATTTTTTTACTCTTTCTAACTATTTGTACGCATATTAAATGTAATTGTACTAAAATTGCGCATTAGTATAGTCTGCTATGTGACAAAATTCATTAAAGAAAGGATCTGTATCTATGTTTAACTATCTTTGTAATAAAATAGTTGTAGTTAACTACAAAAATTCCAATTAAAAATCCAGGTAATCACTCCTTAAAATATACAGCGTGCTAACCAACCCATTTCGTGAGAAATGCATTTGAAAAATTGAACATACACTATATTAAGGGTGCACAAATGAAGTACTTCCCGCGACAAAACCTGAACGCAAAGGGAAAAGTAGCTAATTTTTTTTCTCTTTTGGAAATAAAGGAAAAATTTGAATCATCACACATTTAAACGGACATAAAACATGCTGCTTTCATCATAGATCTGTGCAGTTTTCTATCGCTTTTCGATGACTTTTATTACGGATTTCCAAATGGTTTTAAAAATTTTATTGTTTCTGATGCGAAAATTTCAAATTAAAGTTCTTAATTTTTGACAGATTTTATTTTTGCCCATTTTGTCGTTATTCCAAGTGATGGATAATTCCGTGGGCCGCGCCAACTGCAATTGCCATGGTTCCCAATAGATTTTTAAGCTTGCAAATTTTTTTTGAGAAAAAAAACATGTAGTTGTTCGCTTGGTGGTGTCTACGACTCATACCTATCCAGTTGGTCCCTTTTTGTGATGTTTTATTTGTTTCTCGCGGTTCCCTGCCCAAAAGTTGCCAAGACTTCTCAATTATTCTGCCACTGATCATAATATAGAAATCTTTCCATCGTGTTTTTCCATCGACTTTTCGATCGTGTTTTTAGCAAATGTTGGATTATCATGTGATTTTTGATATTTTAATATATTATTAAGACTCACGAGTTACGTATTGTGCAATTTAATAATAACTTTTGAGGTTTTTATTTGTGCTAACTTCATCATTAATCCAGGGTACTTTTCTACTATTTTTTTGGCAGTTATTGCTACGCAATTTCAAATTGTTTGGAAAAATCTTAATATTTTTTATGAGTAGTATTACGACCCTCAAACTGGGGAATTAAATGCGTGCTTTATTTGTGCCAATTTCAGAACTGGGGTTTTGACTTCAAAAACTAATTTTTGACCTGAAGGTTGTAAAAGCCATCAAAACCCTACTTTTTTCCTTATGTTGATGTACAGCAAGCAATACATTATTTAACAAAATTTTCTTTGCAATTAATAATTAATCTTCCTCTCAGGTACATATATAATTATTTTAATACGTTATCAAATATAAATTTTTAGAAACTGTGAAGCATATTTTTTAGTCTTAATTTGCAATAAGATTAATAGTCAAATTTTTGCACTTACAAAATATTAAAAATATGCTTAAAAAAATTGAGGTTCATGATGTAATAGCATTTGATAGCAAATGTACTCTATGCATTCAATGCAAAAACAGTGTTCTGTACTATTTCATTTACTTAGCAGATTTTTTCAGCAGCCTAGCCTTTCTTACAGCAAAGATTTAACAAAAGAATTCCTAGGCTAGCTAATTTGTAGCCCTATTTCAAACCATCCTTTATTAAGGCCATCTTATCACAATTTTTAGAGTGCAATGCTTCAAATATTTTAATATTTGAAACTAATAATGTGATATGTATAATGAAATAAAATCTATAAATGTAGAATAAATATTTTTTTAAATAAATATTTATTTTACTTAAGATTTTGGAAATCTGATATAATCATTAGAAAATAACCTAATCATATTTTTATCAATTATCTTAAATAATTTTTTGTAAAATATTTCATATTTTTTTAATTTATTGTTTTATGATTTAAGATGCTGTTTTTATAAATTTGAACCAATTGAAATACAATGTCACCAAAGATCTGGGCTTTTGACAAGAAGGTAAAAACTGTCATGCGTCAAAAACTTGTCAACCTTGCCGATTACATTACTAAGGGATTTCAGGATTTTTTATCGTTCTTTTGGCAGTTATTATTACTACGCTTTTCCTCATAATTTTGAAATTCAATCCTGATATTTTAATATGATATTATTGTTATTTGTGAGTTTCAAACAGTGCATTTTAATAATCACTTTTAACTTGCATTATTTTTTGTGATTGCATCGTGAACCTAAGGTATTTTTCTATCTTTATTTATTTGTTTATTTTTCCAGCTTTTGCTACTCATTTCTATACATATTTTTTAAAAAATCTTGATATTTTTAATGCAATATTATTGTAGTACAATGATATAATTCTATATGATATTCAAATATGGGTTTTTAACTCTTTACTGTTTTTGAACTTTACTTCTAATTTTTTGTAACTTAAACTGTTTAAAATTTAACATTCATAAAATCTTTTATATTTCACTAAATATAAATGAATTTGTACATTTTTGAGTAATCATTCTTTAAAATCTGACTTTTTAATTATTATATTTTCTGCTTATTGTTTTTCCTAATATGTTCTCATTTAAAAAATTTATTGTTACATTAAAGTGTCAAGTAACAAAATATATAAAATAATGTTTAAACTGTATTCCATTTGTAAATAGAAAAATTTTTATTAAAAGAAGCAAAAAAAAAAAAAAANAAAAAAGTGAGAAAGTAATGTAATTTAAATGTCAAGTAATGTATAATATTTTTAGAAATACAGTAAATAAAATGAAATAGAATTAATAATATAATAAAATTATTATAGAAAAAGTAAGAGAAGAAGAAGCAGTCCAATGTTGGATTCAAACATTTGGTTGTTAGACATGTACTCTTACTGGATCAATGTGCCATTATCAAAGTGAACATTTAGCTAATGTATAAAGAGTGCTTGCATGTTCAAAGGCATTTATCTTGAAATTGCCTTAGTAGTGTGCTCTATTTTACAGGGTTGGCAGGTTTTTGACATGTGACAGTTTTTGACAGTTTAAACCATGGTTTAAACCGTCACGTCAAAAACCTCACTGTCAAAAATGTCGAAAATGTCAAAAACCTATATTCATATGTGAAATTTAATTAATACATAAAATTTATATATTTTTTATAAAGGATAGTGTTTCTAAATATGTTCTAGAAAAAATAAATTTAAAATTTTGAAGAAACACTTATATTTTGAATAGTAACCAAAATCTTGTACTTTTGAAAACTCACATCTTTTGTAATATTATGTATTCATTTTCATGTGTTATTGAAAATCTGCAGTGATATTATTAAGAAATTTATTTATAACCAAATTTAGTGTATAGTATAGATTATACTAAAAATTAGACATTTTTAAAGATAAACATTAGCAGTTTTGTACATTAGACATCTTCTTTTAAAGAAAAATCTTTTTAATATTCTTTTAAATCTTCTTAATAATCTTTTTAACATAAGACAATACAAATTTAAGTGCTTTCTGTTAAATACACAGAGTAGTTAGTGTCGATTTACAGTATATTCAGCCTATTCATTTACTATGCTGAAAATTTAGTTTATCCAAATACTTGTGAATTTCATTTTGCTGAATACTATATAGTTTTGTTGAATATCTAAATATTCAGCTGTTGAATAATTACTTCTTGCTTTCAAGATATGCATTATTTGTATTCTTAATACAAGTGGAGAAAAAAAAATTAAGAGATAAAAATTGTTTTAAAATGATAAGTGTAATAATTATAAATAAATATAATAAACAATATGAATTATATTTATCATTATTCATAAATATAACTACTTTTAAATTCAAATTAACATACTGGATAATAAAGATATTCGGTATAACATTAAAATTTTTTTTCATACACTTGTATCAAGTTTGTATTTATACAACATAACTTGTAAGTTCCTTATAAATATTAGTTATATGTTCCTTATATGTCAAAAATGCATAGTAATAAACTTTTAATTTTCTTAAGTATCAAAAAAAAAATTTTTTTTTTAAATATAAATATTTAAACAATTTTTGTGCAAAATTTTTCTGCACATGCATTTGAATATAAATTTCTGAGATTTTAAATCTGTTATTTTACCTTAATTTTAATTAAAAAATATTTTAAAACCTGCTGATTACCTATAGTATAATTAAATTTCAATATAATGCATGGCAACTGTTGGTAGTTTTGAAGTTTATATATTTTCTTGGCAAACTTCAGTTTTTGACATTTTTGACGGGTTTTTGACGGTTTAAACCAGTATTATACCCTTGTCATGTCAAAAACCACTTTTTGACGTCAAAAACCCAACCCTGCTATTTTATCTTAAGGGGTGAACATCCTTGAGTTACAGTACTAATATAAAAAGTTTAATCTCAAAGTGTTATTTCTGAGTCGAGCCATCTACGTGTTAGACGAAGCTTGGAGAAAGTTATCAAAATACAAAAGCATTGCATCAGTTGGTTGCTTGTTTGACTATTGTTTGTTTGTCTCTAATTCACACAAATGAAATAAAAATTATGGAAAACGCATAATGAAAAAAATTACAACACAGAAGAAAAAAATTACTTAACCAGAAATTTATCATTTGAATTTCTGGTAAATAGCGATTAATAGCATATAATAAAACATGGTTGATAAATGTAAAATATGAGTAACAAGTTAAAATACTGTATGCATAAAGAATTTCAGTTCTTTCTTACTATTTTTCCATACAGCTTTTAAAGAAAACTGTTTTATCTTCCTATGTAAAATATCTGAAAATTATGATTATTATTAAAATAAATATTATGTTTCTACGGCCTGTAGCAACATCTAAACGTAATATATGTGTATATAATTGAAAAATTAAAAATAATCTTCAATTTTTAATCATGCATTTGAATTATCAATTTTTCACATGTCCAAATTCTTACCTGATGTGGTTTATCTAATGTTCAAAAAAAAAAAAAAAATTATATAATATTCTGCTCTACATAAATTTCGAAATTGAGCCATCACTTTTGACATTATTTATATGTGCCTATTTAATTGTAGTGCACATAAGTCGTTTTGTTTATTTATTTTTTAAGTTATTGCTATGGCTATCCCTGTTTCTTAAAATGGTGATATTTTTAACATGATATGATTATGACTTTACAATCATTCTTATAATTTTTTTTTTGTGTGACTTGATTTATTTGTGTTAATTTTCTCTTAAATCTAAGTAACTCTTCGCTTAGATTTATTACCATAGGAAGTTGTTACTATCTGATTGTAAAAATTCCAATATTTTTATTATGGCAATTGAATTTTGAATTGCATGTTTAATCGTTTTTGACGCATTTTGTATGTGGTAATTTCATACCAAGTCCAAGTAATCTTTTAACTCCTTTTTTTCCTCTAGTACTTATTGCTAAGCATTTTTAAATGATTCTAAAAATCTATAATTTTAATAAGATATAATTACAACACTCAAATTTTTAATTGTTCATTTTAAATTATCACTTTTGACACACTTTGTTTCAATTTCATCACATGTACAAAAAAAGATTTTTTTAATGATGTTTTCGACAGTTTTTGCTTTTGTTATACCTATTGTTTTAAAAAATGCAAAATTTTTACTGCATTATTATTATGACTTGCAAGTTATGAATACAACATTTAAATTATTTCTTTTTGACATGCTTTATTTGTTTATTTGTGCCAACTTCATTGCAAATCCAAATGATCTTAGGATCATTTTTTGATCCCTTATTTCTACACATTTTTCTATGTTTGGAAAATTGATATTTTTAATGCAATACAGTAAATACGCTATCAAATAATGACCAACGGACACACAACAACTAATTTAAATTATCACTTATAGAATTAAATTTTAAAAATCTCAGAAATAATATACAGTCAATTGAATTATATTTTATGTAGAATTCCAACATTAGTATTTAAGCTTTTTTTTTTATGAACAGAACTGTTTGTACTGAATATAAGTTTTTATTTTACTAAATATAGGAAACATAATTTAAGACCAGTTGAAAGAATTTAGGTTTTTAGTTTATTTTGTCTCTATTAGAGTATGAGAGACATTTTTATTTTATTAACACTTTTTTTTTTCAAACTGTACTGTAATCAATTGACTAAAAACAAAGTTATATTTTTGTTTCAGAACTTCGCAGATCATTGTATGCTATCTTTTCTCAATTTGGCTCTGTTGTGGATGTAGTTGCACTGAAAACAGCAAAAATGAGAGGTCAAGCTTTTATTGCTTTCCGAGATATTAATAGTGCCACTAATGCTTTGAGATCTATGCAAGGTTTTCCTTTTTACGATAAACCAATGGTAAGGTTCAAAAAAATAAGTTCCTTTTATTTTTTTATCAATAAAAAATTATGTCATGATAAATGGAAGCAGTGGTTGTGGAACAAATTTATTGGGAGTGCATTGACATTATGATATTGACGGGATGCAAATTTTGCTATTAAAACATATTTATATCAGTACTTCAAACTAGTAACTTCTTACAGTGATTTGTTTTCTCTTCTGTTTTTGTCCTAGTATGATGTGACCAAACTTAAGAAAATTTCTTTTTTTCACATTAGCTGCAATGCTGAAACAAATAGAACTACAGTAGGGAACCAATTATCCGGAACGATCGGGACCATGGCTATTCCGGATAACTGATTTTTCCGGTTTTCTGAATCACTACAAAAAGCCGTTTTTTTTATTGTTAAACCCAACTAAAAAAAAAAAAAATTTATGGAAATAATCTTAAAAAGAAGAAAAAACGATGAAGTAATACACTAATGGTTATTTAAAAAGTGATGGTAAGGTAAACATCTTTCAAAAAAGAAAGAAAAATCCTAAAATCTTATGAGGAAAAAAAATATTTTTTAAAAAAATGGCGGGAAAATTTCTAGAATTTCGTTCCGGTTTTTTGGTTTTCTGATTTCCGGATAACGGGCTCTGTACTGTATAAGTTTGACAAGAATGAGAATTTTTAACAAAAACTCAGCGAGAAGTGATTTTTTTCATTGTTTCTCTTTTTCCCATTGGAAATTAAAAAAATTTATCTTCATGTTCTGTCATTTTATAATTTTTTTTTTTTTTTTCGAAATCATATTTCTTTTTGGATTGGGAATTTTTTATTCTTCTTATTACCATTTTAAAATTTGGGAAGGATCTGCAACATTGTTTTAGGAACACTGTCTGGGAGAATACATTTAGCGGTCGTCATAAGATCATTTTTAACTAATGCATTTATGGTCCCGCGGGTCGTATAGACTTTTTTTCACATGTTTCAAATTTTCCTCATTAGATTCACACTATCACTTTAGCGATAAGCCTGATATTGTGTTATAGTTATATTTTAATGAACTTATTATCGTTCCACTAGGCATGTACTAGGCTTTTTTCTAATCGTAAATCCAAGTTTTAAGGCCCACCGGTTAGGTTGCAGAGCTGTTAGCTTGTCTAAATGCAAAACCAATGGCTGCGGGTTTTGAATCCCGCTCAGGGCATGGATGTTTCTTTATATCTGTTGTCCTCTTTTGTGTGTTAATGTGGCCCACCCTATGAATGGGTATCAGTGTCAGTGTGATGTGGGTAACGTTGCTCGCCTCTTAGGTGCACCTGTGACTTAGGTTCACAGTTGCCCTCTGGGAAATGTTAAATGAGCAGCACTTCCGACATCTTCCGAGGTCTAGAAGGAAAGTTCAGTACTTGTTGTTAAGAATAAAAGTTTTACGGCCCTAGTTCCGGGTTTCACAGTCCATAAAAACTGCTTAATTTTGGTACATGGTTTTTAAATGTCCTCAATTTTCAGTATCACTATAATTGCTAGGAACAATTTTTCAGTCTTCAAAAATATTAAAAACAAAAACAGGGGTCGCATTCCCCCTAAAATTCATAAAATTCCTAAAACTATGTGCAAACCCTAAAATTCCTAAAAATCTGATAAAATTTTGTTGGTGTTCCTAAAAAATTAGAGTTATAGGCTAAATATAAATAAAAATGCAATAATCTAAAATATAAGAATTTAACTGCATTAATTAAAACTGTTTTAATTTTGCCACATGGGAACTCTGATCCTGAGAGAGGTTTTTCGATAAATAAAGCAATGCTTAATGTGAGTCACCATGAGAATACTATTATGTCTCTTAGACTAATCAAAGATACCATTCGAAATTATGGAGGAGTGTTGAAGATCACCACAACACTATTGAGGGCAGTAAAATAATCTCACAAATCATATCAAGAATATATTAGAAAAATGATCATGATTAATTTGTTTTTCTCTAACTTCTAATATAAATTGCTGATTTGAAATCTAATAATATCACACAATAGTTTTTCTTAATAAAGGTAAAGGGTAATAATAAAGTTTTGATTAATAAGGTAAAAATTAAAATAAAAATCCAAGTTGGTGTTAATTTATTTTTTCTCTTGATTTATTCTCACTTTTGTCTGTTCCTGAATTATGCACTTAATTTCTGATAGGTAATATGTAAAGTTGAAATTTCATTTTTACACTTTAGAGATTTCATTCTTGACTTAATAAATTTCAGAGCTTTATTTTATGGCTTGCAATTATTTATGATATGTGTGGATGAATTGTAATAATCTTCTGTTATGCGATAAACTACCGTGTGATCTGTTTTTATCCTAGCAAAATCATATATTACCCCTAAAATTTACCTAAAATTTTTTGAAAAAAGTTCCTAAAATTACCCTAAAATTTTAAAAAACTTTGCTGCTACCCCTGCAAAAAGTTGTTCCTTTACTGCCTGGAATGAGACCATGCAATAATGTATATACCCTTATGGATAAAACATGTTATTAATAGGAAAAAAATGGGGGGGGGGGGTAATTGACAATTTATCTAGATTAGCCCACAATTAACTATGTTATGAATGTCTAGCAGCAAAATATAAAACTTGTTTTAATAATTATTTCAATGTTTTCCCCAAATTTCTTTATTTACTCTTCTTTTTTAGTATGTATGAAAAAAATGCAAACTAATTTACGTAATGAACATAATAATTTCATTTAAATTAAATTACAATAACAATAATTATAATTTCATATAAATTAAAAAATATTGTAAGGTTAAAGGAAATCCATTGTTCTATAAAGAACATTAACTTCACTTTTCCATGTATGCTCTTAAAATAAGTGGCATAAATTTCAATTTATGTATCAAATTAATTTTTCATTAATTATTTGAAAGTTTTGTTCTAAGGCCAATTATTTTGCTTTTTAAGCTTAACCTAATGATCTTGTTCAATAAATTTTGAAAAAACCCACCTTGGAAAGAAATGAGTTTCTTTAAGTGGGCCCATTAAAAAAAAAAAAACCAATTTGGGTTCGCAAAATTTGCTTGGACCCACTTTGGCAACGCTTGGTAGTAACTACAAAATTTTATCAGTACTTGCGTTATAACGAAATTGTTTTCTTATTTTTTTATTTATTTATTTTATTGAAAAAGGGTAAATAATGGAATTTTTTCCTTATTTTTAGCGCATATCATACTCTAAATCTGATTCTAATGCCATAGCAAAAATCAAAGGCACTTATGTTGATAGATCAGCTCTTGGTAAGCATGCATTAGAGGCTGCAGAATTGAAAAAAGGAAAAAAGAAAGCAAAAGAGCCTGGAAAGGGAAATCCTTTACTTCCTGGATTGATTCCTGGAGTTGCATCAGGTTCATTGGTTCAGAGTATGGTTGCCAATTCATTACCTCAGACAAAGCAAACAGTGTGTAAGTAATAGTTTTATTACTTTTAAGTATATGTGCCTCAGCTTGTACAAATGAAGTTAACAACTTTGAGGTGGCCTAATACTATACTCTATCATCCATAATTTTGTTTTCCCATTTTTTGTGTGTCTGACAATTTATTTCCCTCTTGATTTCCTTTCGATAACAATGCAATGTTGTTTGTGTTCAATACAGCCTAAACACTTCTGGTTCTTTATCCCTTTAAATTTTAATACTATTGTGTATACACACCTTCTTAGTATGTTTATTTGTACATAAAAATTTTTTGACAGAATCAAAGATGACTATTAGTTTTGTAAAGTGTATACAGTGCACTCCCGATTATCCGGGTTAATCACCGGGACAGGTCGCACGGACAATCGAAAAACACGGATAATCCGAAAACTCCTTTTATTAAAGAAAAATTCAATATCAGTACAAAAAATATGAAAATTACTAACATTTGCATGCATAACATCAAACTAGGAATTTTCCTTATTAAAAAATGTGTAATGCGTCTTCGACATATATCGATGCACATATTTCACGAACCGCAGTAATGTCACTGTAATCAAATTCTCCCATATAATCTAATAAAGTTTCCACAGAGCAGCAGAATAAAAAATTGTATTTCATTCATTTACTACATCTTCTGCATCAGTTACTATCGTCACTATTTGATTTAACAACATAGCGATGTCTTCATCAGTCAAATACTGAAAGCCAGGCTCACATGCATCGCTTTGAAACCAATCTTCTAAATTTTCTTCATCAAGGCTTGTTCGAGAATACTGTTATATTTTTCTTGAACATCTGAAGAGGATTGTTCATCAAGCGGTATGATCTTTCTCATAGATCGTGATAACGTAGACAATTTTGCCTTTGACCATGCTGCTGATATTCCATGTACTGCAATCCAATAACGAATATTGCTTCCAAAAATTTGGTGGTGTTGTAATTCATGAATCAAAATTTTTTAATCTTGAAAATGTTTCTCTTTATCTTTTTTGTGTGACTCCGGAATGAGCACGGATAATCCGTGCACGGTTAATCGAGAGTGTACTGTATTTAAAATTTCACTGTAATTGTATTTCTGGATAGTTTGCCCAGTAAGTGCATTCCATTTTTCAACACCTTGTAGCCTTGCTGTATTTTAAAGATTATTTTATTTGTATGTTTTAAGAAATTTTGGAACCTCATTTTATTTTTCTGTGAATTGTACTTTTTGACTTCGGATCTTAAAGCAATTTGTTGCAAAGACATATTTTTCCAGTCTTTTTATTAATTCAGGCATCATAAAATGTAGTTTTTTATGGTCTTCAACATTTTTGCTTAGCTATCTATTTATTACTTTTCTGTTCCTCTAAAACTGTTTAAATTCTACTTAAAGAGTTGTTTATAACTTTAGACATATCAACAGGAAGCTTTCTTCACTATTTTTTAAGCGACATTCAATTAATTTTGTAATAAATACTTCTGATCGCAAATAAAATAGCAACCAAGAATTATAAAATCAGAGTGTCAAAAAATTCTAAAAGATTGACTTCAAATTAAAATACAAATTTTAATTAGCAGACAATATTTTTTTTAAAGAATATGTGTACTCAACTTAGTAATTGTATACTGTAAAAATATCAACATTATTAATGCATAGAGAAAGGTAAAAAACAACTTAAAAACTTTAGTAAAAAAAACAACAACTTTGAAATTATTATATATAATTTGTAATACTTTGTTTTTAAATATTTCAGGAAAATTGATATTATTGTTCTTAGTAAACTAAAGAATATTAATTGCATAAAAATTTAATTCAAGGTGGCCCCCAAAAGCCAATTATTTTTTTCCCTAGGTCCCTTTACCAAAAAAAACGCTCTACTTGCATAAATATTTGATAGAAAAAAAAAAGACATGTTTACTTTTATATTTTTGAAATTAGACACATATAAAAAAATATATGAGTTTTCTCTTTATTTTTCGATTTTATTTATTTTTATGGAAGTGTAAAACTAACTCTATAAAATGTTATATGGTCCTGATCCTTTAGTTTAGATAGTTATACGTCACCTTCGGTGTCATTTATTGCTGGAGACCCTTTGTACCCTTAAATTTCAGCAACTGATTGAAAAGTGCACAAAAAAGGGCATTCTTGAGACTAAAGTGCAGAAAAACAAAAAAACATTCTTTTCCTAGTAATGTAGACTATGAAAATTATAGTCTATTCCTAATTATAAATCTACTTAACTGAATAGGAGAAAGTACTTTTATCTACTTGACTGACTAGGAAAGTATTTTTATATAGAAGGGAAAAAAATATTTATGAAACATTCCTACCACTGCCAAACTAAATTTAATATGTATTTATTTGTTCTGGTTAAAGCTCACTTTTTTTTAAAATCATTTTCAGCTACTACTCCTACTATCACTGTGACATCAGAACAACCACCAAATCAAATCCTGTTCCTTACCAACTTGCCAGTAGAAACAAATGAGTTGATGTTATCTTTATTATTTAACCAGTAAGCAACTTCATTATTCTTAGAAAGTGTTTTAATATTGTGTCTTTTACTTTAATGCTGTTGTTTTAATATCATGAAAAAAAACATATACTACTATTTTTAATTGTATATATATTTTCTAATAAACTTATACTTTATAACTATTATATCTGTGCATGATGTTGCACACTTTGTGGAATGCTATTAATATCTACTGTATTACCCCACATTAGCCAGTATGCTTAAATTGCTGATAATTCTGGGCTCATTTTGCAAGATAAAAAGTGAATTTTCCAACTCAGTTCTACTCACAAATCAAACCACGATAGAGGAAATAATCATAAGAGAAATGGTATTTTTTTCTTCTTTTTTTTCAGGATGTCATGAGTTTATTTTGAGGGGGGGGGGGCAAATACAAGCCTGTTTTCTTCAGCTGATTCTTTATAGTTAAGAGTAATCAAACAGCACTTCCGCTTCCTAGTTCACTAAAGCGGTCCGATTTCTATTTATTTATAGATGCTCTCTCAAAATGAGTAATTGTGTGGTAGGTGAACACGTTAAAAATCGAAGCTGTTAAGCTGAAAAGATGTTGGAGCTGTGTTTTGGCTTTTATGCTGGAAACTTTAAATAAGCTTGATGAACTAAAAGGTAAAATAAGTGCCACAGTGAAATACTTTTCTATACTGAGGTCTTGTGTACAAGACTGGATAAAACAAAAAGAAAAATTGATTGTTTTTCAAAGTGATTAAAAGAAAAAATTACCATCTGAAAACAAGAGAGCCAAAACATGCAGTTTCTTAAAATTGAAAACATTTTGTTGGTCTGAGACATTTTGTTGGAGAGAGAAAAGTATGAAGGCTTCTAAACTGTTTTAGAATAAAAATGCATGCATTACAAATTTTAAAAAGTTTGCATAGTAATGAAAGCAATAATATTGATTTAGCATCTAATGGTTAGTTGTAAAGGTTTGTAAAATGTCATAGCATTGTATCTATATCTGTGACAAGCATTGAACAAAAGATTCTGGAAAATACAAGGTAATTGTGCAGTAATTTTTTTACTTATTTTGATTGGGCATCCGAAGATATGGATATTGGTTGCATTAGGAATATGGACAAATCACCTTTACGGTTCACTTTACTCCCACATAAAACTTTGACTAAAGGTCTTAAAGTTATACCTTGTAAAGCAATAGGAAATTTAAAAAAAAAAATAAAAAATTGCACTGCACTGTTGTTATGAGTGCTATGGTAAATAATGTGAAACTCAAGCCTATGACTACTTTTTTTAAGGATTAAAATACATTCTTGAAGGTGAATTTCCAAAGAAGGTAGTGGTAACTATTGCTATCAAAAGCAACAATCTTTTCTAATCTCAGCATTAGCACGGCATCCCTTCATGAGCCTGGGTCTTCCTCAGAAGCTTTTCCCATCCTGCCCTTCTCCCAGTTATTGATTTCCAGTTCTTTACTTTTAGGATCGCAAAATCCTCATCAACACAGTCCTCCTATCTCTTTTTGGGCCTTCCTCTTGGCCTTTTATTGGAGGGGGTTGCATTAAAGACTCTTACTGCTGTTCGTTCTGGACTCATTCTCGCTACATGCCCGGCCCATCTCATTCTACTTAGTTTAATAGATTTAATGATATCATCACTATTAAAGTTCTTATATATTTCAAAAATATATATTTTTCTCCGGTTGTTGTTATCGAGGATAGTGACAAAGATGGTTATGGTAACTATTGCAAAGATGGTAGTGGTAACTATTGCTATCAAAAGCAACAATCTTTTCTAATCTCAGGATTAGCATGGCGTCTCTTTATAAGCCTGGGTCTTCCTCAGAAGCTTTTCTCATCCTGCCCTTCTCCCAGTAATTGATTTCCAGTTCTTTACTCTTAGGATCGCAAAATCCTCATCCACACAGTCCTTCCATCTCTTTTTGGGCCTTCCTCTTGGCCTTTTATTGGAGGAGGTTGCATTAAAGACTCTTACTGCTGTTCGTTCTAGGCTCATTCTCACTACATGCCCGGCCCATCTCATTCTACTTAGTTTAATAGATTTAATGATATCATCACTATTAAAGTTCTTATATATTTCAAAAATATTTTTTTTTCTCCGGTTATTGTTATCGAGGATAGTGACAAAGATGGCTCGTCTTTTCTAATCTATCTAAAATCTAATTAATATTTATGACTATAAAGCCTGGGCTTATACTCATCACATTATTATTTCAAACCCAGGTCCCTTCTAGTGCTAGGTTGTGCCAAACTTTACTGAAAACAACAGTTAAATCGAGTTTCAGACAACATTTTAAAACGAAACTTGCTGTCATGACAGATGATTTTACTCTTTTATTACAACCTGATGATGTGTTCACTGGAACAAACCATTGAAATTTAAGGGAAATTATGCCTAAGAAAGTTTACTCAAAAGAATATTGTAACTGTTCTATTTAAATCTAATAATTGAATATACAAATAAAAAGTTAAACGATAGTGCAAATTTATTTATTTGTTTTATTGTTCTAGTTGGTCAATATGACAGCATGAATAAATTTTGAAATATCTATTGAATTGATAAAATCATTTATTTTTATTTATATAAGATGTTATTATGAGTTAAGTGTATGAGCATTCACATACATAAAACTTAGATTTTGATATTTCTGTAAAGTTTAAGAGAGAAAAAAAACATTTATAGTAATAAGATTTTCTCATTTTTACATTAATATATTCTGGTGTGCCTCAAACAATTTTTGATATTTTTAATTGGTTGTCAATCAAAAAAGTTAGAGGAACGTTTATTAAAAGTGATAGAGTTGCTGCTATAGAGTGAGAGTTGCTGCTATGAAAACTAATAAAATACTGTTTCTGTAGAGTTACCATTTAAATCCTACATTTTGGATAAAGGCTCTAAGGTATGACAATGATGTGTTCTTTTCTTGTGCAAGAGATATTTTAAAAATTATCTTAGTAAATTTTTTAAAAAAAATTGCCATACGTTATTATTTAAAACTTGAAAACCCAGCTTATAAAAAAAAGATTTTATTCAACTCAAATGTATAAAATTTATATTGATAGGTTATCCTTATAATAAAATATTTGGATGCTTACATCCTAAGAAATGTTCTTTGAAATTACATAAAGAAAGGAAAACATATACTCTCAAAATTGCATCAAGTTTGAAGACTGAAGTCTTAGTATGGAATACTAGCTGCATTTTTTTTTCTCTAATTTTCCCAATATTTTAATGGCCAGTAGTATTTAATGCTGTAGTAGGGAAACTTTTGTAACTGTTATTGTAAATTTTGATTATCTATTGTCACTTTTTTTAAAAAATGAATTTGTAAAATTAATCGCAATTTTCTTTTTATAAGTGAGTAGTGCATAGATTAAAATACAAAATTTATTGTACACAATTATTTTATTTTAAAAATTACGAGTTGATATTTAATAATAATTTTGACTAACTGACAATCATTTATGCTCTCAAAAATGATTTTGTAAATATCCAAATCCATGTCTTGCAATTTGTTTTATTCAATTTTTTGAATTCTTGTTTTAATTTCAGATTCTCTGGTTTTAAAGAAGTTCGATTGGTACCTGGAAGGTCAGACATTGCTTTTGTAGAGTTTGAAAATGAAGTTCATAGTGGAGCAGCTAAAGATGCTCTTCAAGGATTTAAGATAACACCTACACATGCTATGAAGATTACATTTGCCAAAAAATAAGCAATCAGCATGCTTTGTTGCCTTGTTTTTTTCTGCATAATTATTTCATTATTGTCTGTGTTATTCTTCTCTGTGGTAAAATGAATTGTGAATCAACTATTTTGTTGACGAAACAAATAAAATATCTCAACTTATCTGAAAAAAAGTAAAGTGTGGTGATGTTTGATCTTCCTTTCTTAAAAACATTGTCATTGTATATTTCATATATTTGGTAGAATAAAAGGATGAAAATAAGAATAAATAAAAGGGATAAAAATTACTGTCATGATTTTTTTTAATTTTCATATTTTGTTTATTCATGCTGACAAAAGAATGATTACATATTGAAAGAGATTGCTAAGATTCATTACAATAATTTTCAATTTGTTTTAAACTATTCTAAATAGGTTTAGAGTTTTGGACTGGACGCATGTAATTTATTCTCTATAACAATCCAAAATTATATTAGAATGACTAAAATCCAAGCCTTTATGAACTTATTGCAAATAATAAATTAACAGGTTATATTTTTCTAAGATTAGTTTTAAATGAAGCCAGGTAATTTCTATCATATAAGTTCAATATAAATTTAGATTTTCTGATTCATGGTATTTTTAAGTTTGTGTTATAAAATATCTCGCTATAATTAAATTAAATTCTTCATAAACTTAAAGATTTCCAAGCAAATTAAAAAGTTACAGTTAGTAAGTTTTTGATTTTTATCTGTTACAGTGCTTTTCGAATTAAGTGTTAGGCATAGTTCACATAAAACTACTTCACAATGTGTTTGTGCAATTTATTTATTAAATTTAAGATGTGTATCCACATTTATTTCAAATTTAGTTAATAAATAAAATGGTTTTTTGATTTTTTTAAAATTTGGTATTACTTCTTAAATGAAATTTCTACAACAGAAGACCTTTGGATATTAGCAGAAAGGTTTTAGTCAGAACTGGAAAAGCTATTGTGTTCCAAACTCTAATAAATAAATTTTATTTAGATTACAATGGAATTTTTTTTTTTTTTTAATTTATTATTACTTCTTAAATGAAATTTCTACAACAGAAGACCTTTGGATATTAGCAGAAAGGTTTTAGTCAGAACTGAAAAAGCCATTGTGTTCTAAACTTTGCAAACTTTTATTAAAATGCATTAGGCTAAAACATATTTCTTATTGTATCACTTGTATGTGTAAAGCTCCCATCAGAAGCTTTTTAGAATTCTCTACACTCACTTCTGTAGTTCAAAATTTTATAAATTATCTAAAAGAGCTTGCAAATAATTTTTCATTGAGAATAACAGTAAATATATTCAAGTTACCTTTTTTATCGTTTTCTTTCTTTTTAATGTAACACTTTTAAAATAAAAAGATTAAATTTCATTGCTTGCTGGTATGCCATGTTGTTATCATTTTTGCATTGTCTTGCTTCTTTCAATTTCTAACGAAGCTTTCATATTTGATAATTAAATCATTTCATTCAAAGAGAAATAGTCTCAGTGGATGTTAAAAGTTTTGTTTAATCACAGTAACAGAAAAAGCTGAAGATCGCCCAGACTTTTGTGACCTGGAAAAGCTCTTTAATTTTTTATTTTATTTTTAAAAACACCATTGCTCATGTTTTGCTCTGCTTTTATCAATTAAAAAGGTTTTTGCATTAATGGAAAGATTTTCTTATTGCCTAACATGTGAAAGGAAATGTAGAAGTGCAAGTGATACTTGACATAATTTAGAAAAATTGATTTATGAATATTTCTACTTATAATAATTATAGGAAAAAATATTATGAATTTTTTTATTATTTTGCAAGGCATATGGGAGGCTTAAGTTTTACATTGTAAAATTTATATAAGTGCTAAATGACTTTTATTGAATGATTTTCAAGAAATTTGGTTAAAACCTCCCTCTTTTCACAGAGGTTTGATCTACTTATTAAAATAAAATAAAGTGTAAGAAATTTTTAATTGTTCCTTATTTTTCTATACACATTTTTTATTTATATAATTTGAAAAATCAGAATATTTTGCTTTCACTTAAAAAATTAAAGCAAGGATTATACGGTATTCTGATATCCACTAGTTTTTTAAGCAAAATCTACTTATCTTTGAAAAAAAAAAACAAGAGACAGCAGTTATATTCTCTGTTTTCACCACAAATAGTTGAACAATTGGAGTAGGATCTGCAGTTCCGATTGAACTCAAGACCATTTGGACATGGGCCCTACCAACCAAGCTATCCCAGCCCTAAAAATCGAGATAGAAACTTATAAACTTCCAACCCCTATTGTTATCCTCAAGCTACAGTGGATAGTCATAGTGCATGGTGAAAGCATAGCTAGTGTCGCCATTGTTCTGCTATTCGCATTTGTAGTCCATCTTGATCTCCTATGAAAAGTTCAAATGATTGTAAATGGGAAACGTTTAAGATGCTGCAAGTTGAAAGGTAACTTAAGGGACCATTTACACTAGGTGCAAATTTTTTACATACGAATGAGAATTTGGTTAATACCTGAAACCGATGCAGTTCATTAACATCGCACTAGAGCTGCACAATGGGCTATTAGCGATGGTCTGGGAAACATCCCTAAGGATGATCCGAAGACAAGCCATCACAATTTTAATCCTCTGCAGAGGGGATGGCAACCCCGCTTCAGAAGCCCGACGACCAGCACGCGAAGTCGAGCACTTTACGGTAGAACAGTTTAACGAGGATCAATACCGCACAGCCTCGGTCCCTACGCAGACTGACCGAAGCCAATGATGCTTGACTTCGGTGATCTGCTGGGAACCGTGTCTTAACGATCAGTCTACTGAATATTTACAGATATCCTGACCTATCTGATTCTCATTCGCAGGTGTTATTTATTTATTTTTTTTTTTTTTTGCATCAAGTGTGAATAACTATTACTGGAGCTGCATACTAATGAAGGAGTTAGTACGGAAGCCGAATCATATACATGAGCATGTGCAGAGGCATGCTAATTGCAGAAGCAAGCTAATACGCATTGGGATTTATCATTCAATCGCTTTTAACGCTCTGTGAATGATTGGAGCTTGGCAAACAATAATATACTATCATTGTTGGCCATGAATTGGAGCCTACTTAAGTAGAAATCCCTCATGTATGCCTGACTCAGATACACCTGTGATGAAAAAATGTCGCATACACGAATTCGGAGATATGAACGAGAACTAGATTGGCACGGTTTTTGTGCGTAAGTTTGTTTTACCACAGGTTCACACTTGCATCTTCAAATTCGCAAACAGGAGTTTTTGCATGAAAAATGAATGTCACAAAGAAAAAAAATACGAGCATGCGCGAATTGCACTACCGAGTGATCGCTGATGCGAATTAATACAGTGAGAATGTTGGCTTTGCAAATGTATAAAGTTCACTTCTACCGGACTTATTACTGTTAGTGGCAACACAATACTTTATTTACTAACATTTCTTAACGCGACCCCCTAGTGCCGTAGATATAAGGAACCCGTAAGAGGAAGTGAAGGTCCTATCTTCTCGATGGCAACGAAAAACCGGTTTTTAGGGTTACCTTATTTTTGTGGTTTATCTTATTATTGGCGTTTTAAAAAAATTTACTGCCTTTTTTTTTTTTCGTTGAGTGTTTAGTTGTACTAGCTCTGATTTCGAATATAACAATATAATAAAATATAAAAAATGGACAATAAATTGTATTTTTACTTTTAGAGTTAATAAAACTTTTAACTCGATTTAGAAATATGTATTAACTTAGTTAATTACTTATTAATAATTAATTTGATAATTTAATTTTACAATGCTAAACTACTAACAGAGCCTTTAGTAGAGTGTACTTTAATGCAGAGCTGCCATCTAGTGATGGAATTAGTAAATCCCTACAGCAATGAAATGAAAATAGAAAGGAGTGTACAAAAAAAAAATTTAATTTTGGGAGGGATGAATTTTTTTTTTATTTCCTTGAAAAATAAGTCGTTTAAGAATTTTTTACATTTTAAAAGAAGAATTTNGGGATGAAGTATACTGGTTCAATCCTGTGTTAAAGAAAAACCAGTGCAAGAAATTTGCTAAATTTAATGAGGGCCCTTTCAGGGTGATTGAAGTCATATCTCCGGTCACTTTGAAAATCCAACATACAAAAAATTTTGGCTATACTAGGGTTGTTCATGTGGAGAATGTGGCAAAGGCGGAACAAAGATTGGAAATTTTGCGATCCAGAGATAGTGGGTTCGGTGACCAAATCAGTGGCAGTGTAGATAGGGAAATTGGGTAGGTAAAGAGTTCTGCTAATCACATTTGTAGCCCGTTTCGAAGCCTCTAAAAGGTTCAAATGATTGTAAATGGGAAACATTTGAGATGCTGCAAGTTGAATGGTAATTTAAGGGACCATTTACACTAGGGGCAAATTTTTCACATGCGAATGAGAACCTGGTTAAGGGAATATATATATACCCGAAACCGAATATTTATCGAAATCCTGACCTATCAGATTCCCATTCGCACGTGATAATTTTTTTTTTTTTTTTTGCTTTTTTGCATCAAGTGTGAATAACTCTTAATGGAGCCGCATACTGATGAAGGAGTTAGCAGTACGAGAACCGAATCATATGCATGTGCAGAAGCATGCTAATGCAAACGTATGGGGTCCTGCAGTGGACTGATCGTTAAGTCACGGTTCCCAGCAGATCACCGAAGTCAAGCATCACTGGCTGCGGTCAGTGTGCGGGTGGGTGACCACTTGGATCAGCCTGCGTAGGGACCGAGGGTGTGCGGTATTGGTCCTCGTTAAACTGTGCTACCGTAAAGTGCTCGACTTCGCGCGCAGGTCGTCGGGCTCCTGAAGCGGGGGTGCCATCCCTTCCGCAGAGGATCAAAATTGTGATGGCATGTCTTCGGATCATCCTCCGGGATGTTTCCCAGACCGTCGCCAATATCCCATTGTGCAGCTCTAGTGCGACGTAAATTAACAACAACAGCAAACGTATGGGAATTTATCATTCAATAGCTTTTTACGTGCTGTGAATGATTGGAGCCTACTTAATTAGAAATCCCTCATGCATGCCCGACTCACATACACCTGTGATGAAAAAATGTCACACATACGAATTCGGAGATATGAAAGAGAACTTGATCGGCATGTTTTTTTTGCGTAAGTTTCTTCTACCATAGGTTCACACTCGCATCTTCAGGAATGCATGAAAAAGGAATGGCACTTAAAATACACACATGCGTGAATTACACTACCACTGATGCAAATTAATACAGTGAGAATGCTGGCTTTGCAAATGTATAGAGTTAACTTCTACCGGACTTATTACTGTTACTGGCAACACAATACTTTATTTACTAACATTTCCTCTAGCGAGACCTCCTCGTTGCCTGTTGCTTAATTTTTAAAAATTTTTTTTTTAACTTTGAAGATGTTGCTTTTAAAGTAAATAATAATAAAAAAAATAATAGAATGTGTAAAACTGAGTAAAGAGATTCGATGTGTTGCAACTTCGACTTGAATAACACATATTTTGATTGTACCGATATAAGTAGTTTCATTTAATTGAACTTAGTTATAAGAATGGATTGTTCAATTTGTTCATATTGTATGAATATTCTCACCACTTTGACGTGCCTATTTGTTGTCCGCATGTGGATTGTTTACTTACGCATCCACAATAATAAACGTACTATTCCCCGAGCAAAAACTCCATCCGTTAAAACGATGGTTGTTTTAGGATCTGGTAAAAATAACTATTTTTAACTACTAATTTAATACTGTTATGCATTCTATGAGCATGCAACATGAATGTTCGCAAACAACATGAATGTTCACAATTATAAAAATTATACTATTTTTGTAACAATAACAGACCCAAACACATTGGTTGCATAACTATGCATACTGTCAATCGACAGAAAATGAAAAATAATCCTGCAGATCAACACGTTGGAACAGTTCTTCAAACGTGCAATATTTATACTTTTTTTGATGGAATTTTTAAATGAGCACAGATGCCCGACCAATAGAGCACTCTTAGTTATTGCTATTTCAAATTAATAGTACCTTTAGAAAATAGTTATAAAAATGATCACTTGAAGCCAGCGACACTTTCTAATTTACAGGAAAATAAAAAATATCTAAGGAAAATGTAAATATATAAAGATCAAAACAACCAATGAGTGCTATCAACGCTCTTTTCCTTAGTAATGATCTCTATTCTTGAAAATATTCACCTTATTGACTATATTTCGCATTAACCTCTAACAAGCTAAATAATTTAAAATACATGACTTTTTAAAATTCAATTTCTCAGCAACTATCCGACCAATTTCACTCAAAGTGAATCTAGTCATTAAAAATTACATTCTTTAAAATGATGTAAAAAAAAAAAAAAATTTAAACCCTGCTGTTAGCATATTTTTTAAACCTAAATGAAATAATAGAAAATAATTATTGTAAGTTATTTTTTGCATGAAATATTTGAATAAGGAAATTTTATAATCTGTGCAAACATATTTCAATATATGACATTCAATTGCTTAAAAATTTCTCGAGATATAGCGAAATACACAAAACGTTATATTAACATTACGAATTGAATCTTTGGACCATTCTCCTGACCAAACTATTCGTACCATATTTCTCAGATTGTGGATACCGCATATATTTTGATGTTAGGAAATCTGAATCCGTCATAAAAGAAATAAATAAAAGTATGTTTATTCAGAGAAAGTATGTTTTTGTGTCATATTTCGTATATTAACTGATTTTAAACCAAGCATATAAATTTTATAAAATTTGGTATTATTTCATTGAAATTTGTTTACATTGCATTCATTAAGACACAAAAAAGTTTTGTGTACAAAAAATTATATTTTATTTAAGAAATAAAATGGTGCTTTTAGACACCATTCACCAAATCAATAAACAAACCATTTAGTTTAGCGCTTGTTTTTTTAGGAAATTTGTTTCTTCTTTTTTTATTTACTGACTTGCAACTTTAATCCCTCATAAAAACATAATGAAAAACCTCAAAAGGAATAATTATGCATTTTCAAAAAATTTAAATTGCCGATAACCGTTTTAAGTTTTAAAAAAATTTAAATAGTTTAAAAATTTCTCAACTGAAAGTGTTTACTCCAATTAAATTACTATTAATTTTCGGGTGTCTTAAGAACCCTTGACTAAAGTAGAAAAATAAAATTAGTGAAAAGTATACGTCACAGTCTTTATAAAAAATATTTATTGAAGTGGTGCGTTTGTGCACCTTTGGCCGAAAATGGGTTAAAATATCTGAACAAATAAATTTGCATATTTGTGGCTATCCCTTTGAACCATTAGGATTTAGTCCTATAGTACATAAAAATCCTATTATTAAATCAAAAGTTGTTCAGGCTTTTTTAAATTTATTTATTTATTTTTGTAAATAAAAGATTACATTTTCTGATGAGGATGTTCTGAATCATCAGGCCTAAAAACCTAGGAAAATGCAGGGCATCCGCGCACCTGAAAAGTCATAAATTTCGGCATTGAACAAAATTTGTCATGAAATGTCATGATTTTAATTATTTTTTTAAAGAAAATCATGAAAAGTCATGGATTTAGGTCGCTGAAAAATCTAATTTTTAAAATGGAATCTAAAAATACCCCTTTCCCCATTTCATGGTGTTCTGAATATCTGAATTTGTAATAAAATCCCCACTCACAGTCATATTTTATTAAAATATAAAATGTTTTTATCATGCTCTTTAAAAGTTATGGTGTTCTTTCAAAAAATGAAAGAAAAAACATCATTTCTAGATCTTTTAAATTTCTGTGATTTCAGAATTTTTGTTATTATTTTTACTTTTTTATTTTATCAATTTAAAATTCTAGCTGAAGCAAGCCAGTCATTGGCGATTTTTTTTTAATTCTGAAATGAGAACAGAAAAATCAGGAGTATTTCTTTCCCTTCCCATGAACAAGAAAAGTATCTTTAGAATACAATTCTGCAAAAAAAATATTATTTGCTTTTGTATTTTTTTCAGCTATTCTATTGCTTCAACTCTTTATTTACTCTGTTTTTTTAAATTTAAAATCTTTAAATATGAATAGGCAAAGTATAACAGTTCTGGTTATACATATCATTTCAATTTATGATGTTATAATGCGTTTTTGAATTTCTTGTTGCCTTTTTGTTGGAAAAAATAGTAACTTCGTTAAGTCATGACAAATTCTAGGAATTAATCATGGAAAGTCATCGATTTAAAAATCTAAAATGTAGCAGATACCCTGAAAATGGACATAACATTTAAGTGAAAAATGAAAGGATAAAATTTTTTCTCTATTTTGCAATCTATGTTTTTTGTATTTTAAGAATGTAAATTAATAATCAATTTATTAATTGCTTAATACATTTTTTATTAATGAAAAATAACTGTCAGTTTAAAGAAATTGTTTTATTTATTATAATGTTTAAAATATTTCAGAGTTCTACATTCATGAAAAATAAAATTAAGATTATCAATTTTAAAACCCCTCCTAGAATGATTTTCTGAGTGTGTCACTGATTAAGACTCCTATATTATTAAGATATATAAATAACACACAACAATAACATTTTTTTATCAGGCAAAATAGATTTCAGTTGTTGGGCAAATTTTATAACTAAGATCTTATGAAAAGCTCTGGATTATAAAAATGGTTCATGGAAGGTGGGGCCACGGTAGGAAGTTCAATTAGACAAACTAGTCGAATTAGATCCCGTAAAAATGTTCCTTAAACAAAATTAGTTTCTGAAAATGATGAAAATATTATCTGTTATGATTTTAAAACGTGCTATTAAATTTTGTTATTATTTCAGTATTTTTAAAGAATTATTTGAAATATTGTTTATGTCTTAAAAATTGAAGCAGTTCAGATCACTTTCGTATTTAGATAAGTGACCAGAAAGGAAACAATTTGAACACATTTCATTTTGTGGATTGTATAGTATGATGTTAATACAGTCGAACTCGTTTATAACGAGCACAAAGGGACCGTAACATGTACTCGTTAAATCCGAGTGCTCGTAATAAACGGGTCCTTAAGGCAGGCTTGCAACCAGAAGAGGGGTGGGGGGTTGGGAGGTCAAATTATTGAGTTTACATAAAATTTAATTAATACTTACTTACTTTAATTAATTTAATTAAATACTTTTCTTAATTTAATGATAACTATCCCCCCCAACCAGCAAAAAATTTCTAGTTGCGCTACAGTCTTAAAGGAAAGAAGCAATAAACGGAAAGAAAAATAAAGGAAAAGATTCTTACCAAAACATTTATTTTTTTCATTAATCTACATATTTAAAATAGTAGTTTGTTAGCTTACTTTGAAGTTTCAGTTCGCGGTTTTTTTTTTATTTCGCGCGCATTTCTTATCATTTTGAAAAAAAGATTGCGAGACAGAAAAATATTGCTCGCTGAAACCAGGTCTTGCTCGTTAAAAGCGACTTCTGTTCCATAGACTTAACATTGATCCAACTAAGTATTCTCGTTTCCCTCGTTAAATCCGAGCTCGTTATAAACGAGTACAACTGTATTGAACTTTTTTAAATCTATAGTGATTAAAAAATTGTTAAATTTACTGTCAATTAGTCTCATATGTCTTTATTTATTAAATTTTTTTGTAGGTGGACATACATTTGAAATGTTTCAGCTTATAAAAAATATAAGTAATAAATTTAGTCCAAGAATTTATATAATTGCAAATTCTGATACATTGAGTGAATGCAAGGCAAAATCATTTGAAGAATCTTTAGATAATGTAAGTTATTTTTTTTAAACTTAAACTATAGGTTTATTACATGCACTTATTAATATTTGTATTATGTCTTGGTACATGTATTTTACTTTGCTACTTTTCATCTGTTAATTTATGTTTACTACTGATTGGTACTATTGGACTACTCTTCTTGGAAGTGCTTTTGATAAGCATATTTACTTGTATTATATTATAGTAATATTAACATGATTCTGCATGTAAGTGTGAATAGTTGATTATTATTTTTTTTTTACAAGGGGCCTAGAAATTTTAATCCTTTACTAGATTAATTAATCAAATTTATTATTGTCATGTCAATGACTAAAAACTCATATAATAAGCTGAAGTTTATGTTCCAATGTGTATGAATCCTTTTCTTGCATCATCATTTATCAGGAAATTTATGGCTGTAGGGAGTCATAAATAACTACTACAGATTCCCTGTAGTTTCAGAAAATATTTTTCCTAGTGTATTTATATTTTAATGTTATGATAAGTATACAAGGGTAATGTATTTATATTTTGATAAATTAGAATTAAGGGAATCTAATCTACCACTAAATGCAAGTAATTTAAACAGATACATGTTAGGTTATGGTTATGAAGACAAATGCTTAAGTTGAGTTCTAATTTTTTTTTCCTGATAATAAATTTGTTTTAAAAAATTCTGCTTTAATTCCCTAAAACTGATAAAAATAACTTACAACAGCCTCAGTATTCTCTGCCAATATTTGTTTGTGCATCTGCACAACTGTATGTAACGAGAAGTTTGACTGAAATTTACGCTCCCTCTTAAAGGCCTGAGCCCTAAGACTTGTAATGTGTGTCTGAGGTTATTTAACATTATACAGATGATAATATAGTCATTCCATACCTGCCAAGTCTCCTGTTTTTTAACGAAGATTCCTGTATTTTATGACTATCTCCTGTTTACCAGTATATTCTTGAGTTTCTCCGTATTTGTTGAAGAAATTTTAAAAAAAATTGGCGATAAAATATCTGCTGGTGNAGTTCAAGTAATTATAAATAATGGTTTATATAAAATCTTCTTTAGATTAAGATTTATCTACACATTTTTTACTTCGCTAAATCTAAGTGCTTATATTATTTCCAATTTTAAATTTCTCTTCGACTTGTATGATTATGCATGATGTATCAAAACTTTACTCGTAGCTTAAAAAATACAGCTAGTAAAATCTCTGTTATTTTATTTCTCCAATGTTGCCAGGTATGTCATTCTATAGTTGATATCTAAATAAAAATAATTGTCATTAAAATAGGAACAAATTGAAAATATTTCTTTATGTTTCTGAATATGAGTCCCTCACTGTGTAAGCTGAAGGTTTTTCAGTTTACTCTTATCATGTTGTTCATTTTTAAAAAAATTTACTTCTTTTCCTAATTTTTTATTTATAATAAAGAAATTGAGGTAATTATGGTTTTAGTGGCCTTGGGCAAAGTCAAATATTTTGGCACATTTCGAAATGTCATGCAACGAAACATGCTTCAATTTTGGAGAATGTGATAGAGATTACAATTTCAGGTGTAAAATATCAAAAATTTATGTATACAACATAATTAATAAAATAAATGTGTTCAATACAATGCTTTGTTCTTTCAGTTACCTGAAAACTATGTGATTGAAAGAATACCAAGAAGTAGAGAAGTTGCACAATCGTATATAACCTCTGTTTTGACAACTCTTAAGGCTTCAATTTTTTCATTCTTATTAATATGCAGACATATGCCAGATTGTGTAAGTACTTACTATCTTCATTGAATTTAATTTATATATATTATATTATATTTAATTTATATACAGGGTTATACACCTGGAGAGTCATAAATTTCGGTATTGAACAAAACTTGTCATTATTTTAACTACTTTTTAAAAAAAATCATGAAAAGTCATGAATTTAGGTTGCCGAAGAATTTTATTTCTAGAATGAGATTCCTCTGCCCCCCCCCTATGTTTTTTGTATTTNCCCCCCCCCCCCCCAATATCATGGTGTTCCGTATATCTGAATTTGTAACAAAATCCCCACTCCGAGTCATATTTTATTAAAATATAAAATGTTTTTATCATGTTCTTTAAAAATGTTTATGGTGTTCTTTCAAAAAATGAAAGAAAAAATATCATTTCTAGAGTGAAGTATGTTTTAAATTTCTGTCATTTCAGATTTATTATTTTTAATTTATTATTTTTATTTTATCAATTTAAAATTCTAGCTTAAGCAAGCTAGTCATTTGCAATTTTTTTTATTCTGAAATGAGAATAGAAAAATCAGGAGTATTTCTTTCCTTTCTGATAAACAAGAAAAGTATCTTTAGAATATAATTCTGCAGAAAAAAAGAAAAGAAAAATTATTTGCTCAGCAAATTATTTTTTCAGCTATTTATTGCTTCAACTCTTTCTTTACTCTGTTTTTTGAATTAAAAATCAATAAATATGAAGATGCAGAGTAAAACAGTTTTGGTTATACCTATAATTTCAATGAATGTTATTATAACGCTTTTTTAATTTATTATTCTGTTTTTGTCGGAGAAAATAGTAACTTTGATAAGTCATGAAAAGTTCTTTGAATTAGTCATCGGGGAAAGTCATGAATTTGAAAAGCTAAAATGTAGCAAATACCCTGTATATATGTTATAAAATAATTTGTTCATAACTTGTATGACTTTATTAATTTATATAGAGATTTGGTTTGTGTGCATAGTTAAACAGCAATGTATTCTGTTATTGGTAATGTCTTTTGTGCTATAGTTTAGAATTACATAGCCATACTTCAATTTATAGTTTCTAATGTTTTTATCCTTTAAAAAAAAATTGCTTTGTTTTCCTCTTACTGATTAGAAATTTTTTTAAAATTAATTTTATAATTCTATTTTTTTGTACTTTTTTTTTTATTAAACATTGATCCTAAACTTACTTTTATATAGATATTATAATAACCACTCTTTCTCGTAAAAATTGGTTTTGTGGCAATATCAAATACATAATTATTAGAGTAAAAAGATACCTCTCTGTTTTTCATAGAGACTCAACAGTTAAAAAATGTATCCTTTTTAAATTTCTTTTTTTAAATATTTTTTAACTGCAAAGTTCATACAATATGGAGATTTAAAATTGTATTAATATTATCATGTGAGAATTTGACCAGAAATAAATTATTCTGACTATATTTACAATCTCATTTGACAAAATGAAAAATTTTATGTTGTTTACCTTTTCGAACCATGAAGTACAATTACAGTTATGAGATTTTAATTGATTACATTTTTTGTATTCATTTAATTAAATTTTTCAAAAAATTTTTTTTTCTTGTTAAATTTCAGCTTATTTGCAATGGCCCTGGTACATGTGTTCCTTTGTGTTTGTCAGCCTTTTTACTTCATGTAAGTTTATTTAGTTATTTCCTTCTTGCTTCATGTAAGTTTATTTAGTTTGTGAATGAAAGAATGGGCTACCATAACCACACAGGACAAAAAATTAGTCACCTGTAGAGAAATCATGAAAAACATCATTTAACACTAGAACTGCGAAGTGGGTCATTTTGACTCAAAATCAAGTAATTATGATGTGAATCAAGTTTAAATTAAAATTTTTTAATCTTTTAAATTTTAACTTTATTAAACTTCAATTATTTTTTATATGATCTCCTACTAATAGAATTTTTATTCAATATAAACAGGTTATCCGCGCACCTGAAAAGTCATGAAAAATCATGAATTTCGGTATTGAACAAAATTTGTCACGAAATGTCATGATTTTTTTCTATTTTTGAAAAAAAATCATGGAAAGTCATGGATTTAGGTTTCCGAAAAATCTAATTTTCAAAATGGAATCTCCCTTCCCCCAATTTCATCCTGTTCCAAATATCTGAATTTCTAACAAAGTCACCACTCAGTCATATTTTATTAGAATATAAAATGATTTTATCATGTTCTTTAAAAATTATGGTGTTCTTTCAAAAAATGAAAGAAAAAATATCATTTCTAGAGCGAATTATCCTTTAAATTCTCTTCTGTGATTTAAGAATTTTTATTATTATTATTTTTTAAATTTTATCAATTTAAAATTCTAGTTGAAGCAAACCAGTTATTGGCAATTTTTTTTTATTCCGAAATGAACAGAAAAATCAGGAGTATTTATTTCCTTTCTGATGAACAAGAAAAGTATCTTTAGAATATAATTCTGTAGAAAAATTTTTTTTTTTTGCTTTTGTATTTTTTTCAGCTATTTCATTGTTTCAACTCTTTCCTTACTCTGTTTTTTAAGTTTAAAATCTATAAATATGAATATGAAGAGTATAATAGTTTTGGATATATCTATTTCGTATAATGTTATTACAATGCTTTTTTTAATTTATTGTTTTTGTTGGAGAAAATAACAACTTCGTTAAGTCATGGAAAATCATGAAAAGTCATGAATTTGAAAATTAAAAATGTAGCAGATACCCTGTATAAAGCTGTCATAATATTAAGTTATCAATTCTGAGGCTAATTTTTTAAAGAATCTCTGAAAACCAATTTTTAATAGCTGAATTTTCGAAAAAGACGAAAATTTAAAAAATACTATTCAACTGTTGTTCTTTTATGTTTTATAGCTCTTTTATTGTATTAAAAAAATGAAAAAAATATACTTTTAAAACCGATGTAATCTGAAGGTAAATATTAATTTTTTTAAAATCTAAAATGAAATAAATAAACAAAACTAATAATTCAACCATTTTCTAAAACGTATAAAAAATTTGTTTCCTTTTTAGAGTCTGGGTTTGAAACATATTAAAACAATCTATGTAGAGAGCATATGCAGAGTTTCAACATTGTCTTTAAGTGGTAAAATACTTTATCATCTCACTGATTATTTTATAGTGCAATGGCCGGACATAAGAAAGAAGTACCCTCACGCCAAATATTTTGGAAGATTGATTTAAATTTGTGGAGAACAGTGTTTATATATGTACAGTAGAACCCCAATTTCTAGACACACAGTTATTGGACCTGATCAAATTAAGACACTGATGCCCATTATAAATGTTTCAATACATCTTTTATCATAACTACTGGTATTAACTACTTATTGTTGCGTTTATAGGCCTTGTGCAATTAAGCTCTAAAAATGAAATTTGGTTGAATTACTGCTGTGAGGAAGAAAAGAGAAACTGGTGCCTTAAAAAAGACAAAAAACAAAATTTAAAAAAAAAAAATTCATTATATCATATTGCTATTTATGATAGGGAAATAAAGTATTGTCATTTTAATATTTATGTACTGACTCATTTAGAAAAGGTCTCGATTATCTGTTGATTTTGATTTTCCAACATACCCCTGGTCCCATGGGTGTCGTTTAATCGGAGTTCTACTAATTATTTTAAATTATTGTGTACATACCTAAAAAAAATTTTTAATATTTTTTTTTAATGCTTCAGCTTCCGAATTCTGTCTTTGTTGGAGTGTTTAAAACCAGTGTCTCAATAAATAATAGAAAACTGTAAGGGTCTAAAAGATTAAACATTCTTAATGTATTAATTTAAGATTCAAGTGCAACTCAGATTTTGCATTTTCTGAAAGAATTTAAGATGAATAATAATAATAATCTAATCCCAAACCCATAAATCTTAAAAAACTATTTTAAATCTGGTTGTAATGAATAAACAGCTTATAAAATAATCTATTAGGTTATTCTTACACTTCATTTACATAAGACCTGCCCTTTATTCAGGACTTTTGATGTAGAACTTCAATCCGTTAAAGTGAGAGAAAAATTATCAGTGGCAATCATCAGATGCTTGAATCTAGTACTAACTGCATGTTCATTCTTTACTCCAAAACTGATATTTTAAACCAAGGTAGTAGGGAAAAACAGATTTTCATACCTTCTGTGACTTTACAAACCTGAAAAATTGAGGATACATAGAAATCGTTCCAGAGTAAAAATCTCAATGTCAGCTCTGGATAATTCCTTCAAAGTAAACCTGGTATAATAGGCAGGTGCTGCCTTTAACTAATTAGGACTGATAGTCCTTCAATCCACCATTAGTAGGCTTCAAATGACTCACCTTTATACAGGGGCAGAAGGTCTTTCATGTGCCAGCTGATACTCATCTCAAGGACAGCTTTGGATAATTCCTACGAAGTAAACCTGGTATAATTGTCAGGCTTTAGGTGGTGCCTTTAACCATCAGGACTCATAGAGTCTTTCAATCCACCACTTGTAGGCTCGCACTTCAAATGACTCACCTTTGTACAAGGGCATAAGGTCTTTCAGACATGTGCCAACTGATACTCATTGCAAGCCTATCTGAAACATCTCTTAAACTCTGCAAGTCTTAACTAGAATGACATAAAGTCCCCATCTTGTAATCGATCATTTGAAGATTCTTAGACCTGGTTCAGCCTGTAACTAGACTATGCTAAATAAGTCCTCAATAACAATGAAGAATTTGCAGAGTTAATCTCAAGCAGGCAGCACTATCTTCAAAATTTTAAATTTTCCCGCGCCTTAAGTGCAGTCATGCAGAGATTATTGGAAAAATTAAGCATTTATCTAATAAATATTTAGTACAATTTGCAATTATTAAAAATAATAAAAGTGATACACAAAAACTTAGTTTGAAATTTGTATAGTCATACTTTAGTTTTGCCCATAAGGAGAAAAAATATACGAATATGCCTGTTGCCTTGCTGGAGGGTATCTTCTGTGCTCCAGTGTTAATACACACTAATAAAAAAAATCATAAATTCAACTTATGTTCCATGAATTTTATTTACCAATATTTAAATAATTTGATAAACAACAAACATATTGTGTATTCAGTTTAAATTGATTCGTGAAGTCTTTTCAATATGAAATATACTTGAAGTTTACTGTTATTTGAACATGTATACTTTCCTGTGCAATAAATAAATCTACTTTTTCTTAACAGAAATACATTTATGTAATTAACAAAAATCATGATTGTGTAGCTAAATTGATTGATGCATTCAATTAATGTTTCTATCAAAGTAGATTTGTTCTTCTTTGGTAGTTCATGTGGAAAAATAAATACTTTATGAATGGTAGATTAATAGCTAATTTCCATTATGTGGTTTACTTCTGTAACCTTCTGGATTGAGAGTTTGCCATCTCCAATAATCTTCACCTAAAAATGACAAAATGCAGTGATATAGGTATGCAAATTAGAAAAGAAAGCATGTACAATTTTATTCAATAATCAGATTTTTATGTAATAAATGCAATCTTAATAGTTAAAAAGATGCCTCTTAAATGTTATTTTTATGTTATTTTAGTTTGAAAATCAGACCCCAGTGTATACTCTCCGAATAGTATATATTTTTTTAGCCACAAAATATTTAAGGTTCAGTCTGTAATACCAATATAGTCTTAAAAAATTTGAGCCCCTTAATGCATTTAAAAAAATCTTTTCTCAAAATCTTTAAAACTAATTATTCAGAATAAACTATTTTGATCACAGTTATCCAACTTATTTTTTACATATGATATAAATTTTATTTTTTTATTATTCAATTTATAATCAAACAAATTTTTTTTACATGCATTGAATACAGAATTGGAAATTTTAAAAAAAATATATCTAATTAATAAAATATATATTGTTTTTGTAATTATTGATAGATATTTTTTGACACATATCATATTTATTTAATGAGTATTCAAATTTTAAGGTTGAAAAGTAGTTTAACATTTTTACATGATGTAAAACTTTTTATAACTGATCATTCAACAAAAAAAAATTCCAATCATTGTTAAATTAAGTAATAGAAAATAATGAATTACTATTTTGCATTAAAACTACTTTGTCAACAACAATCATAAGTTAGTTCAAGAGATAAAATAAAAAAAGTGAAGAAAAAAAAGCTAAGACCTTTTTCTGGCTAAACTATTAGTGCCATAGATTGTGCTTTCCCTTTCAATGGCTATTATTTTGTGACTGTTATATAGAGTTTGAGATTACATTTTTATATGTTAACTTCTAATCATAAAAACATGTAATTCAGTTATTTTATTTATTTATTCTAGCTAGAATAAGTTTTACCTTAAGTTGGAATAATGTTTATAAATGGCTTTAAGCATTTTTTAAAAAAAAATTAATGACATCATTCCTGACACTGAATTGCTCATTATTGATGTAAATCCAAAAATATTAAAAAAAATGTAGAGTTTTATACAAGCTTTAAAACCCTTGTTTTGCAATTATTAACTTATATCTAATATAATTATTGTTTTACTTTGATTTATACTTACACATTTCTTTCAATCCATATTCTGCTTTCCAACCCAATTCTTTTTCTGCCAAACCATTATCACCCCAAATTGCTGGTATATCTCCTCTTCTTCTATCAGCTAACCGAAAAGGCACCTGTTTAAAAATATACCACTTTTATTTTGATGTATTAGTTAATTTTATTGTAGTTGTTAATGATAAATGATTATCTTAAAGTAATAAAGTCTATTTAAGTTAGGTATTAGATCAAGTGAATCCAAATTTTCTTATTTTTTTTTTATTTTTTTTAAGCCAAACATTCTCTATTATGAATTTTTAAAAATGTATAGTATTTAGATTTTGATTTTTTAAAATTATTTATATATTTTTTTAAAAGTTATGTTATTGTATTTATAGTTATAATGTTATTTATAATTGTACAAAAAAAAGTCTCGATTTTTAAGCACTATACCTATTAAGTAGATTGAAATAAAATATGAATTATGAGAAAATCTTTTATATAGATTAAAAGAAAATTTTACTTAAAGTTATATGTTGCATTTTGATAAAACAGGTGTTTAAATTTAAATTGCTATAAGGAATTTGAGAATATAAAAATTTTTAATCTTTAATAAAAAAATAATAATTAAGGAAACAGTGGAAAACCTAAATTTACTACAGGTAATGCAATGAATGTGAACAATTTTCTAATTTAATTTAAACTATGATAAAAATAGATGGCTTTTGAATGTTTGGATTTTTTTATACTTTATTATTATTATTATTGAACTTCTCATTTGTGTTGTGAGAAATACAAAGTAAATAATAACAGGCTGATACGTTTTTAAAAATAAATATATAAAACACAAGTATTTTAAATGTTTCTAATTATTTTATACGTTGAAGAAGAAATAGAGACCCTTGCTATTGTTCAGTAATATTTAATTCCCTTAAAAATATTCAAAATATGAGCTATTTTCCGGTAAATAGGTATAAGGTGATAGCTATTAACTTTTGTTAATATGAAATGGAGTGATCTTAAAGCTACATTGAGTAAACTGTGAAAATTCAATTTTTTCTTTGTGTGATTGTGAATATTTAGGCTGGATCAGAACTTTAAAACTCAAATTTCAAAAGATTAAACATTGTAAATCTTTGTGACACAGCTATACATAACACACATGAATTATAACTGTTAAACAGTTCAAACATTTGAACAATTTTTTTTTTTAAAAAGATATTAATTTCAGTTTAATGACTTACTTTCTTTCCACTAACTTTTTCAAAACATTCCACCAATTGAGCGACTGTTACACCTTGCCCTGTGCCCAAATTGTAAACCTAAAATAGTGACACTTTAATAATAAGCAATTAATTCTTTCAGTATTCAAAACTATGATATTATACAGTTCTAAATTTATGTTTTATTAAAATGTTGAAAAAAAATGTTAATTCAAATTACAATTAGATTTGGAAACGAAGTTTAAACAATAATCTTTGTCTCACTACCATGTAAACAAGCTAACATTGGTAAAACTGCAATTGTAAATTGTGCACAATTTCTAAACTATTAATTTGATAAACTTGTAAAAGTAAAATGAAAAAATATATTCTGAAATCCTTGAAATATCTGATTTCATATTAACTTATGTGTGTAAAATTACATTTCTCTGCGTATGTATGGGGAAAGTCACCACTACTCCAATGCACAAATACAATAATTTAAAAGCTGTTTCAACAGGAATTAAACTAATAATTGGAACTTATTTTTCATTAGCTTTTTTCTGATAACTTTTCAAAAGAATTCCTATTCTACAAAAGAATTTCTATTCTGCTATAAATATTTGTATTTAAAAACATTCTATAATTATTGAATGTAAATATGTATATTTTTTTAAAATAATTTTAATTCAAATGTATACAAAGGTTTTTAGGACTTACAAATGATAGGGTAAAAGCATCCTTAATGCTTTCATTTGTGAACATGGTGCGTAGGGTTTTTAGAAAGTGCTTGAAGGTGCTTATTTTCGATTTTCGTATTTTAAAAGCCCTTAAAGGTGCTTTTTTCATTGAGTGTTTTTTAAAAGTGCTTAATTTTCCCTTTTCGAAAATGATATTTTTTCTTTACCATGTTGATTTTCGCCACATATTATGCAAAAGCGTGCTTTTCATATTGTTCTATTCAACGTTTTCACAATTCATTCAACCACGATCTATTTCGGCGTACCGTTGGTCCATAGCGTAGAAAAGCGCAAATCATTTTACATGTATGATGATATAAATGGGAGTCTGCATTTGCGTCTTCTGAGCTGTGTTCGGAGGGATCATTGCACTCTCATGTGCAACTCTGTTGCATTTTGCAAGATATTCTCAATTTCAGGCTTCATTTTCTACCCTTCAATGAAAAATCTCTCAAGCATTTTAGATGGTTAATATAATAAAAAAAAAGTTCTTTGTCAAAAACTAGTTATTTATCATAATCACTTAAAGTGTTTGAAAATTATTTTGCATTTGTATGATGAAATAATTGGGATTTATTTTGTATTATTGGGAGTCTGCATTTGCGTCTCCTGAGCTGTGTTCGGAGGGTTCATTGTACTCTCATGTGCAACTCTGTTGCATTTTGCAAGATAATCTCAATTTCAGGCTTCATTTTCTAACCTCAACGAAAACTCTCTCAAGCATTTTAAATGGTTAATATAATTTTAAAAAAAAAGGTTCTTTGTCAAAAACTAGTTATTTATCATGATCACTTAAAGTGTTAGAAAATTATTTTGCATTTTGTTAATGTATATAGGGTTAAAAATATTTTTCGAGTGCTTAAAAAGTACTTAAAAGGTGCTTATTTTTTGGTGAAAGATTTGGTTGTGCACACTGATGAACTAAACATATGAATTGGGAAAAAAATAACAAGTTTCCGATTTAAAAAATTGCAAAGGAGAATACTTCAAGCACTTCAGCAAGCGTTTCCTGTGTTGTATTCTTATACAATATATTTTTTGAGCAATATCATTAAAATAATTTATGTCGTGAAATGTTATGCTTATAATAAAAAATAAACAGTAATAGTTTATTTTACTGAAAAAAAATTAAAAAAATTTTAATAATTATATGTGAGTTAAACAAACAGCATTTTTTTTTCTTTAGGAAAAATAAAGTAAATAAAGATTTAAATAACTTAAGTTATTTCATTAATTTTCTGGTCATAAAATGCAGGTTGAAAGCAAAAATTTTATTTTACATTTATTTAACATTAAAAAAACATTGCAGAGAATGAATAAAAAGAAATATCATTCACAAATGTAGAAATTTACAAACTGCAACTGAGTTAAAATAAACTAATGTTTTTTTTGCATTTCAATCATTGTTTTGTGTAAAATGTGTCTGAATAGTTGCATTCAAACTCTTTAATACTAGGAGGCTCCGCCCCCTGCTCGCTAACGCTCCCCAACCCCCGAGAATTACAACGCAATCCTATGTGGTTCACGCCGTAAACCATGGCTCGCTGCGCTCGCTCGCCAATGAACACAATGTTCTAGCACAAAGACATAGTATATTATCATCAAAGACATAGTATTGTACTTATGTAGAAAAATTCTATCAATGTTCTTATTGGCTTTTAAAAAAGTATATTAGCTATTTAGATTGTACATGGTGAAAAAATCAACACATTAGCTAAATGAAAAACATATTAGCAAAATAAATTATCAAATATTGCAGTTGCTCACCTAAATTCAACTAAAAGTGTATAATAAATTAGTTAATGCTAGTAATTCTGAAAGTTTTAGAAAAAAAATTTATTATTTAAAGATATAAACTTTAAACCCTAACTTTTCCTTGTGAGATAATAACCCTCAAAAAGTCTTTCATTTTCAAGAACACAAAAATTTGTTTTATCACCAAATAAAATATTTTTCGGTGATCAGCATTATTGAAATCAATTTCTATATTAATTAACATTTGTGATAAAGTACATAACATTTTAGAACAAAATAAGGATGTTTTACATTCAATAAATTAAAATGCATAGCTGTTAGCATTACCCGAGAATGCTGCATTTCTAATCGGGGAGTTTTGATTTTGGCAGTTCCCCTTGCCTACTGCCAATAAAAGTTTCAATTAAATTTTTTCCAAAAAACTTTTTTTTCTGTAAAGCTCTAAGAAATTAACACTAAGCATTTAGAATTTCTTTGAAAACTCAATTATAGTTTTGGCATCATGGAGCAATTACTGAAAGGCTGTCAAATGACTTAACTCTTGACAGGCCAACATAAAGTTGTCCATGACTAAAAACTTGTTTAGTCAATACTAAACTGATTTTCTCAAAAGTCTGACCTTGTGACTTATTTATGGTCATGGAGAAGGCCAGCCTAATAGGAAATTGTTTTCTCTTAAAAGAAAACGGCAGAGGGGATTAGAGGTATTCTCGGAATGAAAAATGTACCTGCTTCATCATCATCAATTAGTTTAGTTTCAGTTAAATTACGCTGCAAGTTTGTAACAATTAATCTAGTGCCATTACAGAGTCCTTTAGATGGTATTAAATTTTATTATCATGTTTTTAGGGCATGAATCTGAATTGAACAACCTGACAATGNTTTTTAAATAACTTATGCAAAATTGCAAAGCCAATTTTCAATCATTCAACTGTCTTATGCAAAAAATATTCTTCAAAAAATTTGGATATAGTGAACCATCGGTTATAGTGGACACATTACTGAGTCCGCAGACGGTTCACTATAGCGGGGTTCGACTGTATAACTTGATATGCAATCAAAAATAATAAATTATTCAACTAATTTATACCTTGTATCTGGAATTTTTTTCAAGCTTCTTCAGAGCAGCTACATGCCCTGTTGCTAGATCCATCACATGTATAAAATCTCTAACTCCTGCAAGAATTAACAATTTTGCATTTCCTTAAATGATTATTTGTATTCACTCTCTACCTGGGTTGTCTATTAGGTTAAAACACTTTATTTTACACATAAAATCCAAAATATTGGAAAAATCTTTGTGTCTGAAAAATCTTATTTTTTTATATAATAACAGTGTCTAACAAGTAGTTGTTTTCTACTTTTAACAACAGATGGCTCTAAAAAATTTACAAATTCTAACATTTTTTGCTTTTCTAATATAAACAATAAAAGATAAGTTTTTTTTTTCAATTTTCGAGAATGTTCTCAATATTTGGTTTTGAATAGCAAATAGTAAAATAAGGAATCACTTGGGTGTTGCTAAGACTGCAAAGCTTGTAACCATGTTCAAAGCTTTAAATATTTTTTTTTAATTTTCTTAAAACAAATTTGATTAAGAATAAGGTTTTTAAAAATAAAAATTAAGAGTATGTATGAAAAAATATTGTAGTGAACAATTCCAACCCTGCTTAGTGCAAAATTACTAAATACACTCATTTTTTGGATTATCCAGGTATACTAAATTTGCTCATTATTAATTAAAAAGAATTATGTTAACTGCAATTATTGGTTCATTCTAATGAGAATGTCTTGAATTTGTTTCTAAAAAATGTCAGTGATTCCGCATATGCAGTATTTTATTTTATTTTATAACAGCCGACCCAATCTTATGGGTTTACAACTACTAATGTTCAACTCCGTAGCCTTGTAATTTTGAACCCAATTCAGAAGACAAGGGAATTCCTGGATCGAGTTGGGAGAAGTTTGCCTTCGTGGAGGATTTTTTGATGGAGCTAACCGCATTTGCGCTACATGGAAAGGAAAACCACGAGAACCTCCCACGGTTAGCCTGACGGCAAGGGGACTCTAACCCATGATCCGTCAACCACTGAGGATATTTCACGTCAGCACTGTGGTCGATGCAAGCCGGATGCAGAATTCGTATCGACTGGGATTCGAACCCGGTTCGCCTCATTGGAAGGCGAACGCTCTATCCCCTGAGCCATCGCGGCTCGAAAAATCATAGGGAGTTGACACATCCTAAAATTCTAAATCGAGAAAAATAAAATGGCTCGCCTGCAGATTTATGTTGGCAAAAGTAACCAAACCTTAAGATAAAAGTAATAAATTTAATTGTTTATGCAGGGTATTCCCATATTGACTATCCTAAATTATAATCCTAACTATCCTATCCATATTTTAATAATATTTTTTTAAAAAAAACGAAGTCGAGAAAATATTCGCATTGAAAATCACAAATTATTAAGTGCCAAAAAGCTTACAAATTTGAAAACTCCATGCATTTGTAATTTATTCATCATTAAATTTGAATAAATAAGAACAATTGGCCTGTATGTATGAATTAAATCTTTTATTTGCTCTAACTGATCTCAATAGTGATTGGTCAAAGTTTAAAATTGCTTTTTATTTCATTTTTCAAAAAGATTTAAAAAAAATATAGGTTTAGAGTGGTAAATACGGAACCCTCTGTATTTACCTGTACCATCCACTGTATCATAATCACTTCCATAAATTACAAGTTCATCCTTTTTTCCAGTCGCCACTTGACCAATAAATGGCATGAGATTTGTAAAAGGACGTGTAGGGTCTTCTCCCACCAGACCACTGGGGTGTGCACCAACTGGATTAAAATATCTCAGCGAAATAATATTCCACTGCTGTAAATGTTTGAAAAAAATTCTTTAGAAAAATTTATAATAATAATAAAATAAAAAAACTTTATGTGTAGAGAAATATATGAGATTTTAACTTTTTCTGCCCGGCATATATCTTCTAACATTTGCTCTACGGCATATTTTGTTCTCCCGTAGACGTTTGTGACGTTTCCTGTGGGATGAGCTTCGTCGATTGGCAGATACTGAGGATTTCCGTAAACTACGCAAGAGCTACTGAAAACCATGTTATAAACTCCGTATTCCTTCATTACCTGAAAAGCAGATTTTAATCAACAGTTTGATTATAGTTATAAACGGTCACAAAAATATAACATTAAAGTTAGGATTTCCATAAACTACACAAGAGCTACTTAAAGCCATGTTATGAACTCCGTATTCCTTCATTACCTGAAAAGCAGATTTTAATCAACAGTTTGATTATACTTATAAACGGTCACAAAGATATAACATTTAAGAAGGAAAAAAAACTTCTTTCTTTTCCACTGAAAGTGAAATTTTGTGTCGGATTATGAGACCAGATATGCGCCGTCCATTGATGATGTCATGCTTAGATTGTGTCATGTGATATCCGGCATATCATTATTTCTTATTGTGTTTTGGCAACAACAAGTAAGTAAACTCTCAGTTTTTGAATCGAAGTCAAGTTCGTCTGTGGATGTATGAATGGGTCCACCTTATAAACAGGTGTGACGTATGATGTAGCAGAAATCGAATTCTTGGCCATAGATGGCGCCACTGGAAAACAAGAATCGCACACTCTGCCTTAAATTTGCTCGGTTTCACCAAGCAGGCTTGCTCGTGTGGCAAGTGGCATTAGAACCAACCAACCAACAAATGACCTTACAGAGAAGGTAACAAGAAGTGTGACATCTCAAAATTATGGATAAAATAAAAATATTTAAAATCAGCAGATTAAATATTTTTATATTATTTGGATTAGTACTCATTTAATTATTATTGCCATTTTTGTGAATGTAAATTAAAAAACGTAAGGTTTAAAAATAAATTTTTATTTTGATCTATTACATGTGTTTTATTTCTAAACTGCTTGTATATGTTCAGAGCCGTTTTTCGGGGTCCTGGGCCTGTCGCTATTTGGGAGCCCTTTATTATTAATTTTAGTATAAAAAAAGTTTAATTTTGAATTATTTTTTAAAATTTATTTTATTTTAAGGTTGAAAAACAAATACACTATTATAAAAGCGTTAATACATTATTAGTATTGAAAGTTTAATGTAACAGTACTTTTCATGCTTTTTGAGAGGCGAAGTCTTCTGTCACATCAATAAAATTAATTTGCTGCCAGACATCATATTCAATGCTCATGGTTTACAAATGATTCCATCTTTTTTAAATCAACGAGAAAAAAAGAAGAAAACATAAAGGGATAATAGCTCAATGCCCTTAAACTTTTTATTTACCAAGCACTGTTCAAGCACTTCGTTGACACATTGGAAATGGAAATTAAAAAACTAATTGTACTACTGAACTTCAAATTATCTTTTTCGGTTAAAAATAGAGAGAAAGAGAAGCTAAATGATTTTAAAATTTTCGTGGGAAATCCCAAAAGTGTTTTCTTTTTTCCTAAAATAACATAAATAAAAATTCCTGAAATAAAATAAGAAAAAATACAAATGATACTAAGTGAGATCATTGATGCTGAAAGGGTTAAAACACTATCGAGTTGCTTAGTCGGTAAAATTTATAGAAATAATTCTTTCACATTTCTTTTCTCTAACTTCTCTTATTTTTAAACTACTGATATTCCTTTAATTTACAGTCTAAAATTTCTTTTAATCATCGATTAAAAACATAGAAATATTGGATATGTAAAAAGTGGGATCGAACCCCAGTTCCTCACAATGATAGTTCAGTGCCTTAACCACTAGAGCCCCGATTATCTGTGCTAAGGTCTACGCGGATAATAAAAATCGTGCACAATCTAAAAACTCAAAAAACAAGGTCGAAACACGAAAAGTAATTTTCAAATGTGCATGTGTATTTTTTTAAACCTGCACCAGAAATCTTTGTTCTACGTCTAAATCGCTAAAACAACGAATGGTAAAAAAACAATTAGTACATAAATATTTCTTTAAAGTGTTCATACATAGATGTTTGGTGGCTGAGTAGTAGCGCTCTCGTGCCACGGGTCCTGGGTTCGATCGTCGGGCCGGGCAAGGTCGACTCTTCATCCCTTCAGTAGGTCGATGAAATGAGTCCCGTTTGGTTGACCACCCAACCCATCCGGAACATCTGCTCCTGCACCCCAGAGCCCAAGGTCAAGAAAATTAAAATGGGCACAATATGCCTTGGCCCTCTATGAGCTGTCGTGCCCCTGAGTTTAGTTTAATTCATACATAATCTTATTCAGTTACACTTAAAAAAAAAAAAAACAATCATGGATCACGTTAAATAGAATTTTCGATCTCTTTGCGGATAATCAAGAAACGAGCGATCTGATCTCGGTCCTGAAGGAATTAGAGAGACAAAAAGTTATTGTTATAATAGCCTCAATAGAATTTTCGATCTCTCTGCGGATAATCAAGATACAAGCGATCTGATCCCGGTCCTGAAGGAGTTAGAGAGACAAAAAGTTATTGTTATAATAGCCTCAATAGAATTTTCGATCTCTCTGCGGATAATCAAGATACAAGCGATCTGATCCCGGTCCTGAAGGAATTAGCGAAACAAAAAAGTAATTGTAATAATAGCCTCAATAGAATTTTCGATCTCTTTGCGGATAATCAAGATACAAGCGATCTGATCCCGGTCCTGAAGGAGTTAGAGAAACAAAAAGTTATTGTTATAATAGCCTCTAAAATAATACTTACAAAAAATATTTACCAACAGGAACATTTTAGTTTGCGAATTAACTAAAAAAGATATGTCTAAAATTGATTAGTTTTAGCTGGTAATTGATTCCGATTTGAATTGCGTCAAAAAGAAGAAGAAAAAAAAAAGCTATGTGTTTCTGGTGATTATGTGATATTGTTAAGGAATACGACCCAATAAATTTTTATCACGGGCTTTATGTTATGGTTTAAAAGTGCTGCATAAAAATTAATGTAATACTTTCTTTAATAATAAAAGAATAAACTTAGTAATTAACATGGTAAGTACAATAAGAATGTTACCTCTAAAAGATATATTGTGCTGACAACATTATTCTTGTAATAGAACAATGGCTTTTGCATCGATTCACCAACTGCCTTCACAGCAGCAAAATGTATGACGAAATCAATTTTGTGCTGGAAAAAAAAAGAGAGAACTTTTAAGACACTGTAAAGTACACGAAAAGTTCAATGGGATACTTGCAACCAACGTCACGCGTTGGTAAGCCAATCAGGTTCGACAAACAAGCTTGACGTCGCCATCACGTATTATATCTGATCCAAAAATTGACTAGTTGAATCTGATCGAATAATAAACCTAAGTCTAAAGCTATAACGTCAGTGGCGGATCCAGCGGGGGGTTATGACCCCCCCCCCAGATTGAAGGAAAAAATAAAAATAATAATTTTTTTAATAGTTTACAAAAGAAATAAAATATTTTAAAAATTATTTAAGAGGGCATATACACCTAGGTAGGTCGGAAAAATCGATTTTTTTGTCCATCTAATTATGTTCTTCACTGTTTAAAGAATCATAATCCAAAAGATTAAAACGAAATTCGTCATAATTTCATTGTAAACATTAGCAGGACTTGAAGTGCCCAACGATCTTTCCAAGATTATTAATGCCTGTGACATCGATTTCTATCCATCAATCAATATGTTGTTGAGAATTTTAATAACTCTGCCAGTTAGTGCAGCAACAGTCAAAATAAAGAAATACTCAAAATAAAGAACGATTAAATGGACTCGCATTATTAAACATTCATCGAGAAATTGATTTGGATGTTGAAAAAGTCATTGACAGATTTGCCAAAATTTCTAAAAAACGCATTACACTTATTATTTAAAGATTTTGAATTATTTATGTATTGTCCTCATTATGAAAAAAATAAATGAGAAGACTAGCATTAAAAATCCTAGTTTTTTTTTTTTAATATTAAAAAAAAAAAAAAAATTTATGAAACAAAAATTAATTGTAGGGGGGGATCTGAGTCTATGACCCCCCAGGAAAAATTTCTGGATCCGCACCTGTATACTGTTAACACGCCATGCACAACACGTGATTAGATACAACTATGGGATTTGTTGCAAGTATCCAATTGTAAGTAGTACAAGAAAGCAATAAAAAGTAGTAAAATTAGGTCCTTCGTTTTTCAATAATTCCATTAATTTGAAAATTATTAACCTAGGTACGGTGGGTTTAGTACTATGATGTTAATATTAAAAGCAAGTTAATAACATACGTAAGATTTAATTAAAAAAAACGTGTTCAAACTAAGGAAGTGTGTTTAAATTTGTATTAAGAAAAAATTATTATTATTCTAGTTCATCAATTTTTATGAAAGAATTGCAAACTGATGCATGTATTTAAAGATAATAGTTTTGAAATTAGATTTTAGTTCATTAGATACTTGAACATCTTACATTTTTTTTTGGCTATTTTTTCAAGTTTTCAGGAAGGTTCAAGTTTTTATGAAGTTTTGGTAAATTAAAATTTTATCTTGTAATTTTAAACGTATTAAACTGCCTTTGTTCTACATTTTTTACTATTANAAGTAGTAAAATTAGGTTCTTCATTTTTCAATAATTCCATTAATTTGAAAATTATTAACCTAGGTACGGTGGGTTTAATACTATGATGTTAATATTAAAAGCGAGTTAATAACATACGTAAGATTTAATTAAAAAAACGTATTCAAACTAAGGAAGTGTGTTTAAATTTGTATTAAGAAAAAATTATTATTATTCTAGTTCATCAATTTTTATGAAAGAATTGCAAACTGATGCATGTTATTTAAAGAGAATAGTTTTGAAATTAGAATTTAGTTCATTAGATACTTGAACATCTTACATTTTATTGGCTATTTTTCAAGTTTTCAGGTAAGTTCAAGTTTTTATGAAGTTTTGGTAAATTAAAATTTCATCTTGTAATTTTAAACTTATTAAATTGCCTTTGTTCTACATTTTTTACTATTATTCTTTTGAATAGGTACTAACATGAAAAATTTTCCTATTCTATCTGGCAAGTAGGGTTAATGTTACCCCATTTAAACCCTTAAGTTTTTATTTTATAACCGTCGTAGAACAGTCGACCCAATTGTGGGTTAACTACTACTAATGTTTAATTCCGTAGCCTTGTAATTTTGAAGATAATCCAGAAGACAAGGGAACTCCTGGATCAATTTTCGGGAGAAATTTGCCTTCGTGGAGGACTTTTTTGATGGAACTAACCCACATTTGCGTTACATGGAGGGGAACAACTTCTACGGTTAGTCTGATGGTAAGGGAACTCTAACTAGTAATCCGTCTACCACTAAGGATATTTTACGTCAGCACTGTGGTCAGTGCGCGCCGGTTGCGGAATTCGTATCGATCAGCTATTGCTGGGATTCGAACCGAGTCCACCTCACTCGGAGGCGAACGCTCTATTCCCTGAGCCATAGTAAGTTCCTTGGATTCAAAAGGTTTTTGTACTTAAAATAGGAATCCAAAACCGCTTTATTTGTGCCGGAAACTAAAAACCTTTTGACAACTAAAACGTTGAACATGAACGGTGTTCCAAGAATACCAAATGTATGAAATCCAAACTTTGTGGTGTACGTTACCTGAGAAAATATGGAGGATAGTCTTGCTTTGTCCATCAGGTCACATTCATAAAATGTTATTTTCTCTCCAGTTATTTGTTCTGCTCTTTGAAGACTTGGAGCCTCTCCTTTTTGACCTTAAAAAGAAAAATAAGTTTCTCAAATTAATTGAATAAAGGAGAAATTGGAATTTATATTTCCCCTTCAATCAGAAAAGGGATTCTGCAGTCCTCACGTGAACTTATGGAGAATTATATGTGCGCAAATTTTTTAATTTTGGAATATTTCTTGTTTCGTTTTATTAATTCAAATGTGTCCTATTGCACCTAGGGATCAAACTTTTAATTTTAAGTTTCTAAGCGATTTTAAAACTTTCAAAATGTTTTATAAATACTTAGAAGCATTCCCGCAACAGTCCATTGTGAGCAAGGAGCTGGAGTGCTCCAAAGTTGTGTTTTTCCTGGAGCTGGAGCTCAAAATTATCTTCTTTTTTTTTCTTCTTTCTGCTTGTGCTTTTAATTTTTGTGCTTTTAATTTCAGGATGATTCTGTTAATTCGTTTCAAGAATAAGTATTTTATTTTTAAAATTTGGTTATGCGGTATTTATTTTCATCATAATATCAAATAATTATGACATACTAATCATAGTATTATCTAAAATTCATTGTCAGTTAAAATACTATTAAAGTCGAAAAAACCAATTTCAGAATTACAATACATTTGTAATGATTTAGGATTAAATATGAAGGATTCATTAGATTCAATTCTTTTCTTAAGATTGAACCAATAAAACTGTGAATTAAATTAAATTTGTATTTACAATGAGTTGATGATTATGTTATTGCTTTTTTAACGCGCCTTTTTACATTAAAAATTTCAAATTAAAATCAGAAACTCAAAAGCATGCATTATTACTATTTGCCAGCTGAGCTGGAGCAACAAAATTCTTTCCTGACCAGGGATTTCATGGAGGTGATCACCATTGCGCACAGAACGCCTTTACTTTCAAGACAAATTGGTACCCTTTAATCTGGAGTTGAGTGAGCTGCACGTAGCCTCCTGAGATCATACCCCAGCTCTTCACTGTAATAGCTCAGGGCTTGAACCAATGAACTACTAATTTATCGATTCCTACAAGGCTAAAATTTGATACTACCTTCTAAAAAAAAAACTGAGAACTTTTAAAAATACTTATAACCTTAAAATTTTATAACTCATTTTGATAAATGAAATAAAAAGCATTTATTAATTTCATAATAAACAAAGAAATTGCGGTCATATAATTCTCCTTATTCGGAAGCAAGTGTGGATTTTATCATTTAAATCATGTGTATGGGCTGAGATGCTAGGAAAACTTCACATTTACTTTTTTATGGTAACACCCACTTAAATATGTTAAAATTAGTTTCCGAATTTTATATACCTCAAAGATAAAAAAAAAGAGCAATCTTTTTTTTGCTTTGAGGCAATCTGAATAATTAGTGATCAACTTTCTGCTTTATTCGCAACTGACATGCAAATCTTAAATACATTTGTCTATTAGTATTCACTATTAAGTTATGAAACCAGACTCAAAAATTTTGTATTAATTTTATTTTTATTGTTATTTTAAAGCGTTGTTTGATTAGTTTTATCTTTAAGACTTAAACAGTGAATTTAAAAATAAAAAAAAAAAATTAGCATTTTTGTAGATAATTGTAAAGCATAATTATCAAAAAACTCAGACAATTTCATGCAAAGACAATTATTTTTAATTATTAGTTATTACCTTTTGTTGTTTAGTTTAAAAATTGGTTGCAATTAAAGGAAACTTCGATATATTAAATATAAAAATTTTCACACCATCTGCGCTTGTTAAATTTTAAAGTTTGGCAGAAAAAAAAAATAAAAATGAATTGAATAGCTCCCCAGAAATAATGCAAAAATACAGTTTTTTTATTTTAAAAAATTACTAATCTTTAAATTTTTATTACTTAGAAGCTATTTAAGATAAATATTTCAAATTTTATCATTTAAAATAATGAAATATAATGCTATGTAAAAATGATATAACGATATAAGTTTCGATATCATGACATCGATATACATTTTATCATATTTTCTTTCTTCTTTAACATAGTTTTTCTTTTCTTTCATGAAGTGCGGCTTAGAACGAAAATAGCAATTCGTTCAAATTTTATCATTTAAAATAACGAAATATAACGCTATGTGAAAATGATATAAGTTCCGATATCATGACATCGATATACATTTTATCATATTTTTTTTTCTTTAACATAGTTTTTTTTCTTTCATGAAGAGCGGCTTAGAACGAAAATAGCAATTCGTTTAAATTTTATCATTTAAAATAACGATATAAGTTCCGATATCATGACATCGATATACATTTTATCATATTTTTCTTCTTTAACATAGTTTTTCTTTTTTTCATGAAGTGCGGCTTAGAACGAAAATAGCTATTCGTAATATTTCACGTAGTTTACGAAATGCGAATATCTTCAAGGCAAAACACCATTGTCTTAAGTGGCATCTTTCGTTCAAGGTTATAAAAGAAGAAAAAAAACTCACCTAAGACGGCATTGACAAAATTGTCAATGACTATGACTTCATATCCAGCTTGCAGCAATTCTATGACTGTGTGACTGCCAATAAATCCTGCACCGCCAGTCACGAATACACTTTTCTTGGAATTCATATCTGTAGGGAACAATCATCATCAATACAAACAACAATAATGAATCTTAATCGATACCTTCATAAATATATGTTAGCTTTTATATTTACACTGCTATATAGTGATTTAGATTGCACAAATATACGTTAATTGTTTCCCTGAAAAATATTTTGGAAGTTGAATGATCTAATAGCTATTTTTAGCTGGGTAATTAATACTTTTCTCTTTTTTTTTTGCAAGGATAATGGCAACAGGTTTTCTGAGAAAAAACAGAAAGTATATATCATCTCTCATGTGTCCTTTTTGAGCTTTACTGAACTTCGTTGTTCATTTACGTCGCATTAGAACTGCACAATGGGCTATTGGCGACGGTCTGGGAAACATCCCTAAGGATGATCCGAAGACATGCCACCACAATTTTGATCCTCTACATCAGTGTCTCGTAAAACTTATGACTTTTGTGTACCCTTTCTAAATTTTTCGTAACGCTGTGTACCACTAATAAAAAAATGAATATATTTTTTACAATAAAAAAATTGCACAAAAGTTAAAAATCACAATAGGCTGTTGACACCACTCATTATTAACTGTTAACACTGCAAAAAAAAAAAAGCCAATAGAAGAATACGTAATCGTAATAAATTTTCATGGCTAGCTTTGTTTTTAAATGAAAATTTTTGAAATGATCGTTTGTTTAAAAATATGTCGCATAAGAACGCGTACCCCTGGGGGTACGCGTACCACACTTTGGGAAACACTGCTCTACTTGGAGGATGGCACCCTCACTTCGGTAGCCCAATGACCTGCGCGCGAAGACCAGCTCTTTACAGTAGAACAGTTTAACGAGGACCCATACCGCATACCCTAGGACCCTATGCAGACTGATGCAAGTCGTCACCCACCCGCACACTGACCGCATCCAGTGATGTTTGACTTCGGTGATCTGCTGGGAACCGTGTCTTAACGATCAGTCTACTGGGACGAGCTTTACTTTAAAATAATTTTCATGTTACAATGTATTAAATTAAGAAGGTATTTTAAAGACTACGAAATAGCGCATCACCTAACTAAGTATCAAATTTTAAAATTGGGGGGATTGGGAGTTTTTGTGTTCTATTATGGCTCCACACCATACAAATTCCGCAACCGGCTCGCGCCGATCACAGTGTTGACGTAAAATATCTTCAGTGGTAGACAGATCACGGTTTAGAGTCCTCTTGTCGTAAGGCTAACCATGGGAGGTTTCGTGGTTTCAATTTCTCCTCTGCATGTAATGCAAATGTGGGTTAGCTACAACAAAAGTCTTCGACGAAGGCATATTTCTCCCTATACTCGATCTAGAAGTTTCCTTGTCTTCTGGATTGGGTTCAAAATTACTAGGCTATGGACATTGATAGTCGTAAACTCAAAATTGAGTCGGCTGTTCAACGACTGTTACAAAATTACAAAAACCTTGTGTGGAGCCAAACAAACTAAAAGAAAAAGAATAAAACTTTCTCCTTGTACACATTTACAAAATTTTTTCCTTCAAGAAACTAAATCAATCTTATCCTTTAATTCAATTTTAATTTCAAGGAAGAGTTACAAAAGAACGGAAAAATTAAAATTATTTAATTTCAAATTGATAATTCCAAAAATATATTCTTTTATGAACTCATTTTTAAACAAGATACGCATTTACCTCCGTGAGAAGGCGTCGAGAGCAGATAATTTTTATAAAAAAGAGGAAAAAAAGTACAAAAGAAAAAAAAAATAGTGAGACAAGAATTTGTATAGGCCTATGCCCGTAGCATTTTACTCGAAGATTATGTAATAACGTAACATGTGTCTAGTGTTGTTAACACGATAATTGCAAATACCAGCAATTAAAGTCAAATTGTACAAAGTTAGCACTAATGATTGACCGACTTTATATTTTCGAAGCTATTACTCGTGATAAAATAAATATACCAATCTAACGCAAAATTAATGAAAAATTAACCACTTTTTTTTTGTTTCACACTGTCATTAGTTCCTAATGCCGCATTTTATAAGTTCTTACAGTGTTTTCGGCATTAGTGGTTTATAAACAAAACAGCATCTTAAACATGAGAGTGGCAACGAATTATCTTTAATGACTTGGTCACCAAAATCCCCGGACTATGTGATTTCTTTTTAGTGGATTATGTCAAAGACAAAGTCTATGTTCGATGCAAGACGAAGACGCTCTTTATGGATGACTGATGAAAGAACTTAACTCATTTATATAACAACAACACAACAATCGACAGTGTGAAGTGGGTGGAATAGACTTATTTACAGTACATTAGTTGGTTGTCGCGTAATAAAATGATAACTCATCGAATTACTGTAACTGAAAAAAAGCTATATATATATACATTAATCCTTAGCAAATTTTTTTTTGTACTAAAGCTTCGAAAATGTAAATATTTAAAATTTGGTTGAGCAAAATGTTTTATTTTTAATAAAAATTAAAAAAAAAAAACTGAATTAAAAGCAACAAAACAACCTCAAGCAACAAAAAGCAAAGCATTTTTTTCCTACTGTAACTTATTTACACACTTAACTGTATAGGACTTAATCCATTTTTTTCCCTATCTCTGTAGCACAATATTTAACACAGCTTTCCATTGTTGTCGATTTTTTATTGGCCGGAAAATCATACGGTAGAATTCAGTTTTCCCACATTAATTTCAATATTTTCTAGTTTGTCCTCTGCACAAAATTAATAAAAACCTTAAAGATATTGTTTTTCTATAAAATACTTTTGTATTCCTAATTCAAAGGTAATATATATATTTCTCATTATTACGTTTTCGATTGTTTTCTAAATTAAGAGTTTAAAACTTAAGCATTGTTATATTAATTTTAAGATAAACTTTTCGTTAAATGATTTCATTTTATGAGAACAATATTATGCATTATGACAATATGATGCATGCACAAATTGAATTTATCAGCTTGTTTGGTAAGCGAAAATATTAAATTTCTAACTGTGAATTCACCTAATTTCTTATAAAAATATACTTTTAATTTTAAGCGTTATTTTAAGAATCTTAATCGAATCATAAACGATATTGTTTGGACACAGGAAGTTGAGGCACAAGCGTAAGCAAACATGATGTTTCTTTTAATGCGTATATTTAAAGTGAATAATTTGAACTTCCGAAGCAAAAATTGCTTTATATCAAGAAGCACCAATTATAACGAAGCAATCAACGGGGTTGGTGAGCAGTAACGAATAGGGGCTGAGCACCTTGGTCATTGTATAAAAATTTCACCTTAAACGACATAAAGTTTTTATGTACAATTAAGAACCTTATATTTGCAAATTTTACTACATTTAAATTAAATTAAGCTGAATTTTTACAGTTATAATCTCTGTTTGACAGCGTTGAGGTACCAGACAAATTTGTATTTATTAAGATAGCTGCAAATTCATCTGTAGAACTTACCTAAACCTAAAAATTTTAATTTTCACTTTAAAATTCAAGAATTCTATCCTATTCTACCGAAAGGCATTTACTTCATTGTATTTAAATATGTTTCATTCACTTCACTTTAAGAAAAGCTTTATCGAACTAATAATTTACCTTAAAATAGAACAAATCCCTTTTTCAGCGTGTTAACAAAAATAATCCATCACAATGCAGTCTAAATACTACAAACAACTTGGTCTCTTTGTGTTTAGAATTCATGGTATATTGCGTAAATACTCGACACTGCACTAAACAGCTGACTGCATCTACCTTTTCATTTCATTGTGTAGAGTTTCACACGCGATGATGCTTTCTTCCTCAATTGAAACTCGCTACCTTTTAAATTATACAGCACACATAACTTAATTTACATGCGGGCAGTTGAGCTTAATCCTCTTCAGGATCGCCAACGAATACATAGCTAATAGCTTGACTATTTTTAACATGGACACTTAAAGTATAAAAGCACGGAAGCATTTTTGTTAGAAACAATTTTATAAGAAATATTTTGTCAGCACTCATTTTTATTTAGCTATTGTATATTTAAGTATAAAAAAATCGATGTAAGAAAAAGATAAAAGGAAAAAATATTTACTATCCATATTTATAATTTATGTATTATAAATATTTCCTGTTTTATTTTAAAACGGACGTTGTAAAAACCGATCCATTTTTGGCCAAGTTCAACTCCGAAGCCTTGTAATTTTGAACCCCACCCAGAAGACAAGAGAACTTCTGCATTAAGCACTAAGCGGAAACCTAGTCTTCTTATTATTATAGGATATATTAATGAAACTAATCCGCATTTGAGTATCAGGGTTCAAACCTCCCACAGTTAGACCAACGGCAAGGGGATTCAACCCATCATTCGTCTACCACAGAGGATATTTTACATCAGCACTCTAGTCAATGCGAGCTGGTAGCAGAATTTGTATTGACCAGTCATCGCTGGGATTCAAACTTGGGGCACCTTATAGGGAGGTGAGCGTTCTATCCCCTAAGCCACCATGGCTCAGATTAAAAATATTTTTTTTTCCTCCTACAGGCTTTGTGAATTTTTAGGAAAGCCAAGGAGGAAGAACAGTTTATGTCGTTTTTTCACAAAAAATGACGATTGACCGTCATTTGTAGCATTTTGAGGATTACTAAGTTTTGATTTAACAATAACAGTACTGTGGAAAAACCCTTCCTCTACGCGCGCAAAATTGATTTTTTTTTAATCGACTTTTATTATACAGGGTGCGTAGCCATATTATTCAACAAAAAATAAGCACCTTTTAAGCACTTTTCAAGCACTCAAAAAATATTTTTAAACACTTTAAAAAAATATCATAATTAGGCAGGGTTGGAAAGTTTTTGACAATTGACGGTTTTATCTTGTTAAAACGTCATGATGCGCTACAGACAATACGCCAAAATAGATTGGGGTTGAATAGAACAACGTGAACTGTGTCTTTTTGCATAAGTTATAGCAAAAATTAACAAGGTAAAGGAAAAATCACATTTTGAAAAAGGGAAAATTAAGCACTTTTTAAAAACACCCAATGAAAAAAGTATCTTTAAGGGCTTTTAAAAAACGAAAATCGAAAATAAGCACCATTAATCACTTTTTAAAAACGTTAAGCACCATGTTATAGACATAAACAGTTTTTACCTCATATATATTTTATTAGTCAAAGAGCAGCCCGATAAAATAAGAAAAAAAGAGAAAGAAAAAAGGGGTTCGGTTAAGAATTAGTCACCATAGAATTGTCTGTAATAAATTAGTTTGTAGAAAAGACCATGAATATAAATTGACATTACTGAACAAAAATAGTGAAGGAAAAAAAATTGAAATCCGGCGGCAATTAGTTCCGCTCATCACTTTTAGGTGCGTTTGAAACGATACATAAATTTGATCGTATTAATATTAACCCTCTTTTTTTTAAGCATTAAGTTAGAGTATTATTAATATATTTATTTTAAACAGAAAATATGTGACAGTTCTTCTTAAATGAAGTCTATGATGAGAGTTATTTATAGCCTCATACCTGACAAAACTAATTAAAAGTGCGAAAGTTACTTTTAATACAACTAAACAATTCTGACAACTACTAATTTATCTGTTTTTAAACTCACTAACACTGTACTAAACCTTTTTTAATAATTAAACTTCAAAATACAAATGATTTTTCATACATTATATATCTGAATTATTATTTGTCACTAACAATAAACAACCTACATGTTTATTAGGAAGAAATTCTACTCTTCTCGTTGTGAATTCTGTGCATTTATGAGTCCGTCTCCACTCATTTTTTTTTCCTTTTAGAAAAAAAGTTTAGTGAATTTAACATAGAAAGTAATAGAACTCAAGTGGAGAAAAGGAATGATCTTTTTACTGAAAACTATTCACTTTCAAAAAAAAGAAGAAAAAAAAGAAAGAAACGCGAAGAAAACCTCTCAGGGTTAGACTGACAGAAACGCAGCTTTAAACCTTTTCTGCGGATTCCCTCTCCTTTAAAACAGTTTTCGATAACAAAATCCAAAACTAAAAAGAAATTTACAGAGTAGTTTTCTGAGCAATAACATTTCAAATTAAGTCGCACTTTTAATTTGTTTTATATTTACGAAAACTATTTGTTCGATTTTGTAAAATAAAATAAATTTTTTTTACTTAAAAATTTAAGTAGCATTAGGCATAATTCAGAAACGTGAAATATTACTCCGACTAAATCAAATATTCGAATAGTTACAATTTATAAAACAATTATTGTGAAATTAATATTTAAAAATAGAATGACTATTTCTTAAATCTAATATGTCAGTGATTAAAAGACTCCTGAAAATCATATTCTTTTACAAATAACATGTGTCGCTTTCAATAACAGGTGCGACATTTGGAAAATGGATTGGCAGTTATTAACATGAAGCATTGTTTTCGTGTTATTTCTGACAAATGGCAATCACGTACGTGTACTACAGACAGAGAAGATGAAATTGTTTCTGTTTTAGTATGAAAAATAAAAATTTCTTCAAATTCCAATAACTTAACGAAGCCAAAAACCATGAAATTTAGGAAATAATCAATTAACTAAAATCATTTAGAAAGTTTTTCAATAATTCGCTGACATTTATGAAATAATTTGTAAAAATATAAAACTCTAGTAAGGAAAGATTTTCGATAAACTTAAAATATTTGATTTCTAATATTTAAGTATACTACATGTATACATTCATGAATAAATTTATTGAAAGCAATTCGGTTACCTAAGACTTCTAAAACGTTTATTTTCGTTTGAAATTTAAAAAAATAAACAAAAAAATTTTGATTTCGCATCAATTTGTAAGAATTATTTAAAACTAAACTGAATGCTCATTTATTTAAATGAATAAATTAAACCAAATTTGTAAAAACTCACAAAACACAACATTTTAATATACAAACAGAAATCCAGTATTATTTTGAATAATTGAATCAAGCAGATGGTTTTAACATTTCATCAATTTATCAGTATGCTTATAAACTAAATTTGTAACACTAATGCAATTCAATTATTTGAAAAAAATTAAGAAAAATCAATACAAATATCCACAATTCGACAATGACAATTCGATTTATAATTAAATAAACACATTTAAAAAATTTAAAGGTTTGCTAACCTTAATTTTCTAACATATTGAAGTTTGTTACTGTAACTATCGAATNTTATATAACTAAATTTGTAACACTAATAACTAAACTAAATAAATAATTATAAACTAAATTTGTAACACTAATGCAATTCAATTATTTGAAAAAAATTAAGAAAAATCAATACAAATATCCACAATTCGACAATGACAACTCGATTTATAATTAAATAAACAACTTTTAAAAAATTTAAAGGTTTACTAACCTTAATTTTCCAACATATTGAAGTTTGTTACTGTAACTATCAAATAAATCTTATTTTATATTCTCGATTAGTACTGACGAATTTTTGAGCGTAGATCTTACTATTAGTATTGCGATTTGAATCAAATTAAAAAAAAAAAAACATATTTACAAATTATATAAACACAAACTTCATAACAATGATTACTCAAAATATTCATTAAAACAAAAGAAAAGGAAATTTCAAATGTAATTTTCCAAGATATTAAAGTTTGTTATTGTAAGAATCGAACAAATCCTATTTTGTATTCTCGATTAGTACTGACGAATTTTTGAACGTAGATCTTACTATTAATATTGCGATTTGAGACAAATTTAAAAAAAAAAAACACGTTTACAAATTATATAAACACAAACTTCGTAACAATGTTTACTCAAAATGTTCATTAAAGCAAAAGAAAAAGAAATTTCAAATGAAATTTTCCAACATATTAAAGTGTGTTATTGTAAGAATCGAACAAATCCTATTTTGTATTCTCGATTAGTACTGACGAAATTCTGTACGTAGATCTTACTATTAGTATTACGACTTGAGACAAGTTAAAAAAACATGTTTACAAATTATATAAACACAAACTTCGTAACAATGATTACTTAAAATGTTCATTTAAGCAAAAGAAAAGGAAATTTCATATGTAAACAGAAGAGCTGACAACTAGAAGATTTAACTGACCTGTTGCGTTTCAAGTGTTTTGCTTGTGCTTCGGCTACGCCTCCGCTGCCCGTGTTGATTGTCCGTCATTCACTCATAACAATGGTTGCTTTCTATTTGCATTCAACATTAACTGTTTTTGATTGGTGTTTAAAACGCCAGATAGAGGTCATATTCAGCGATATAGCTTATTTTTACCCTTCACTTTTTTGCGTGTGTGAAAGAGGAGGAAATGGACAAAAAGAAATACAGGAAGTATAAAGTAATGAACTTGTTGGAAATTAAAGTAGTGCTTATTTATTATTAGATGATTTGTTTCAATAAGGTAAACAAGTAGAGTGTTTCATCAAAAAATGTTGCAGAACTTATATTACATGAGAAATTCCATCAAATATGTATATTTTGAATACTTCATATGCATACTTCTAATATATGCATTCCAAGTTTATCAAAGAAATAAAGAGTTTAAGAAATAAAATAAAAGAATACCCTTTAAAAAAAAAAATTCGTTCAAAACAAGGCCGTGGAGTCTAATGAAAAAAAATTCTATTGACTAACTTTATGGACTAACATTTAACGACTACAGTTCGTTAAATGTTAGTCGATAATTAAATTCGTTCGTTATAATCGATTCGTTAAATGCTTGTTTCGCACACATCCGTTTCGCGTTACATTAATATATTTGTCAAAATAGATAAGAATTGTCTGAGTAATAGATAATGATTGTAAAATAAATTTAAATTAATTTTTTATCTGATTTATAATTAATAGATAAAAATTGCAAATAGATAGAAAATTTAATAAATAGATAAAAATTGTAAATCTATGCTTAAAATTACTTAATGAATACCCGAAATACTGAATGTTAATACATAAAAATATTTTAATTTATATTCATAAAGAAACCTGTATAAAATATATTTCTAACCGTCCCTCCGTAGTGGTTCTTTAAATCGTTTGAAAATTATTTAGATTATTATATATATATGTGAAAAAAATATTATTCAGATGAATATATGACAATTATTTAAAGATTAACTTAGCACAAAATTGCCTTATTACATTTATTAAATTAATTAACTCACAAAAATAATTAACTTATCACATTTATTAAATTTATCAACTTGCAAATTTAATTAACTTATCACAAAATTAGTTATACTATAATATATTATCTGATTTTAAAAACCTTCAATCCAAATTGCATATATAAAAAAGGAAATATATAAATGATATAAAAATTTGAAATTAACATTTGCTTAATAACATTAATATTTTTTAGGATTCGATGAAAGTTTTAATTGAGCATAAGTCTAGAACAGATCCGATTCAAAGTTAATCAAACGTTCAATGTTATTCAAAAGTAAATAAAACGCGATTTAATAGTGTTCATAGTAAAATAAATCGTAATAAAATTATATTTTTAAGTAAAAAAAAATCAGGCAACATATAGTATAACTGTGTCCTGAAAGATAAAAAAAGAAAATTTTGATTTTGTATTAAAATAAAGACTTATTTATTTAAATAAAATTAAAACTAAATTTAAATCTATATACTCGCAAAACACACCATTTTTTTTTTATTAACAGAAAACTAGGATTATTTCGAATAATTAAATCAGTCAGTTTTTAACATTCCACCAATTTACTTCACTTGAATAAATTCGTAATAGTAAGGTAATTCAGTTTATTTTAGAGAAATCAAGAGGATAAAATATGAATGACTATATTTCAGCAATAGCAGCTAATTTATGCAATTAAATAGACGCATTCCAAATATTTAAATTTTGCAAAGCTTTCAGACAAAATTTTTTTTTATATCACATTTTAAAGCTTGTTACATACATATTTCTCTTATGCGACACCATAAATTCGGGTATTTCTCTGTCTATTAGCAACACTAAAGTTATTATACATTTTGTTAGGTTGTCTTAAGTAATAATTTAAGTAGGGTTGAATAGTTAGCTATAAGTTAAGTATTAATTTTGTATTTTTATAGAAATAAAAACTTATTACGGAGTAGTTATTTAAATTTATTTGTGATCCTTTCTAAAATAGCGGTAGAAATTTTAAACATAAACGTTGCTATAATGCCGCATACGGCCATACCGATTATTGAAGACGGAGCTCGTCTTTTTGGAGCAATAGCATAAATATATATTATACGATACTCAAGTTATGGATCGAGAGGGTTATACTGCACGCAATTGAGGGGGAGGGGTGTTTTCTATTTTATCTCAGGACATGGTGAAAATAATTTTAATACATCTGCTGACTAAGTCCCGAACCCGTACTTTGTGCGCTTTATGGCTGCCAGAAAGATTTTAAATTATTACTAAAATTCAATACATAAAAAAATCAATATCGAGGACATATCTTTAAAATAGTTAAAATTGATATCAAAGTACTTCCGAGCATCTGAGAGGGGAAAAAAATGCTTGTGTTTTCTATTCTCATTTGAGAACAATGAAAAATAAAGAACAATGAAGTAAAAAATTTGGTTTTCTCTTCTACAGAAATTTTCGTTCTATTTTTGCAGTTATTACTTTTAATATCCACATCGTTTTTAAAATCCTATATTTTTAATACGATGTTATTTATTTCGATATTATTTATAACACATTTATTACTGAACTAAATCTTGAAATGAAAATACGCATTTAGTAAACCCATTTTGAAGAGCCCGATTCGCGTGATTTCGCCGTCAATCTTTTTTTCGGTAGATTTCACGCTTTTTTATTATTTTTTGAAATGTGACGATGATTTACAAAATGCGAAAAAAGAAATAATGCGTTTTCCCCCCTATAAAATGCGAGAATATCGCCCATAATATTAAAATTAAAAAAAAATATTACGTATTTAAATTAAAAATATTATTTTATCAATTTTTTTTTTAAGTTGACGCTTTGGTTATTTTAAATTAGTAACACGCATATTTGTTATTAGTACTAACAAAGAGAAGTATGTCGCAGAAAGCCCGAAAAAATTCTGCTTGTGGCAGAATTTTGTTAGAATTGCAAAAAAAGAATTAGCACACGAGGTGTTAGAATTGCAGGAGGTGTTGAAGAATTAGAATATTCAATTACAACTGTGCTGTGCATTCGACTCGGTTACCGTTAACGTTTATATGTTGTACAAGATAATTTTGAAAAAGGATCAAGCTGGTCGTCAAAGGTGGCTAGTAAAAATAAAAAGAATGTACCCCAATTATTTTCTTTAAATGTCGTTGTGTGTTTACGAAGTTGGGAGTGGCATAACGCTCAAACAAAAAGATTTGGTGTCCATTTTTTTGGGGAAGACGATAGTAGTTCCAAAGGCTTTCAAAATTTCTTTCATCTGCAAAACTAATTCCTTTCTGTTCTGATATTTTATCTTTTTAGAAACTTAATTACCATTTCCTTTTTATTTTTCCCACGGCGCTGGTGAGCCTTAATATATTCGAAACTAAACATTATGCTTTTGCAATGCAAATAGTACCTTAAAAAAATAGCTTCCATACTACCTCTAATAATATGTTATTTCACAAGAGACAGTGGGAGAACTTAAATGATTTTTTGAGAAATCGGAGATCGAAAAATAAAAGGAAGAATCTATAGTGTGTATTTAAATAAATTTTTTTATATTTGAAAGAAACTTAGAATCTAAAGACTGCACACAAGGATATTTTTTTCGATATAAAAACGAAATAAGAAGGGGTGGGGCAATTTTCACAGAAAATATATTCGAGAGAAACTTACCTTTTAATGTTCTTTTAACCGCAGACGTCCCTAATTATTACTGTTGTTGGAAGTCAGAAGATGTTCTTGACTATCTTTTCTCAAGTGTCGTCATCGAAAGAAACGTTTTCTTCCGAAAAAACACGAAGAAAAAGTAACCGGTTTTTTCTTTTACCTTCAATAACCTTTAACCCATCCGTCAGACAAACGCATTGCCTTCGGACAAAAATGTCTTTCAGATGAAAGTGTTTTTGTAATGGTGAAAAGGTCGTTTGCCCTTGTATCAGTCAATTAAATCGGAACTTTCCAATTTTTTTTTGGTATTGAAAAGTTGCAATCGACAAAAATAAATAAGAGTGGCAAAAATTCTCAAGACTGAAAAAACTTCAAAATAAAAAAAATGGCCTTTGTCTCAAAGATTTTAAATAAATATAATAATAATTCGAATCATTTTAAAAACAAAAATATTTTTTTTTTCTGTGAAAACTAGACAAAGATGTCTGGAACAGATTCTAACATTAAAAATATAAATTGATCTACCTTTCACCATTAGGTAATAAAGAGTAGACATGCTCTTCAATATAATGTAATAAAAATTACGCTGCTGACCAAATTAAGTTTTTTTTTAAGTATCCAATTTTTAAAAAAAATTATGACTTAATATTTTTAAAAAATATACATAAAAGTGAGTAGTTAATTCCATAAGCTGTATACGCTGTTCAATAGAAAACAATGAATCTTACTTCGCAATCCTCTTGTTTTGCCTTGGTAAGGTATTAAGTAAAAACGATTCAATTAAAGCTAGAGTTAGATTTTTTTTTTTAAAAAATTAAATTTTATTTTGTGCTCTCTCATAGTAAAAGAAATCATTCATCACATAAAAAATATTCGAATAAATATTTTTTTTACGATTTTCATAAGCATTTACAAATTATATGAATACATCCTCAAATAAATAAAGTTTTACAGCGCATACAGCCAACATTTGAAAGTTCCAAAGAATTTTCATTTTATTATTTAAAATAACATTCGGCTTCTAACAACTTTACATTTACCCGACTAACTTATACTTACCAATCGATTTGTTATCAAGGAGTGATTTATAAGAAATTCAGAATTTGAAATTTGCTTTTTAAAAGAATAGATAAAAATTAACTCAATTAAATGTATAATCTAAGCATTCAATTGTTATTAACCTCACTCAATCAACACTAGCTAGCTAAGAAACTCATATCATTATATTAGTTTTCTTTAGCTTGATTTTTGAAACAAAATTGACTTGGATGTTAACGTTTTGTCAAAAATCTGTGAAGTTCTGTCACTTTCCTCTCTGTTAAGACGGAAATAAAGGTAGAAACATAAAAAGAAAATTTTTGCACTAAGTTATAGAACTTTTATAATTGTAAAAGATAAGTTTACATGGATTATAGATATAGCAATGTATACAAGACTTTGATAAAATAAAAAAACTTT